TTCTAAACATAATAAAGAGAGTTATTCTTTATAAACAGAGTTTGTTCTTGACTTAATCACTTGAATTTGTATCAGAGCTTAAGGCGAAGCTTGAGACCTGCGATATATCCAAGCATGGGAGATATCGTTGCAAACCCTAACCCTAACGCGAAGGAGAGCGTTCCTTCTGCGATCCAATGTCCTATGTTAACCGCGACAAATTACACGGTGTGGGCTATGAGGATGAGAGTTCTACTGCGAATCCATAAGGTGTGGGAGACGATCGAACCTGGTTCAACCGATTCCAACAAGAATGATATCGCAACATGGCTTCTCTTTCAATCTATCCCGGAAGTTCTTATTTTGCAAGTCGGCGAACAAGGATCTCCTAAAGGGATATGGGATGCGATCAAATCACGCAACCTAGGAGCTGATCGTGTCAAGGAAGCAAGGCTTCAAACCCTAATGTCCGATTTCGAGAGGATCAAGATGAACGAGTCGGACAAGATAGATGACTTCGCAGGGAAGTTATATGAGCTAGCCTCAAAATCGGCTTCTCTAGGGCAAACCATCGATGAATCGAAGCTTGTGACGAAGTTTCTCAACAGTTTGCCAAGGAGCAAGTTCATTCACATCATCGCCTCTCTCGAGCAAGTGTTGGATCTAAAGACGACGAGTTACGAAGATATAGTAGGAAGGCTTAAGGCGTATGAGGAAAGGATTCGCGATGAGGAGAATCAAGGAGATACGCAAGGGAAGCTGCTATACGCAAACTCGGAGCAAAGTAGTTCCATTTCGAGAGGGAGATGACGTGGCAGAGGAGGCAGAGGAAACAGAGGACGAGGCAGAGGAGGGTCTAGCTCTCAAGATCGATCAACAAATCAGAACCAACCAAAAGACAAGAAGGATCGGTCCAAGGTGATTTGTTATCGATGTGATAAAGCTGGACACTTTGCATCTTCCTGTCCTGATCGACCACAAAAGACACAGGAGGCAAATAAAGTGGAGACAGAAGAAGCTGATGAAGCACTTTATATGCATGAGCTGGTGTTTTTGAATGAGGAGAATCTAATACCAAAGAACTATGAAAACAAAGGAGGTGAAGAAGGACTTTGGTATCTAGATAATGGAGCAAGTAATCACATGACGGGCAACAAGGCATTCTTCTCTGAGCTCAACGAAAACATAAGGAGCAAAGTGAAGTTTGGAGATGGCTCGTGCGTGGGAATAGCTGGAAAAGGATCGATTCTGTTTCAAAGCAAAACAGATGAGCAGAAACTCGTATCAGATATCTACTATATACCCGAACTGAAGAGCAATATTCTGAGTCTGGGGCAAGCTACTGAAGCCGGATGTGATGTTAGAATGAGGCAGGATTACTTGACTCTCCATGACCCAAGTGAAAGACTCTTGGTGAAGGTCATACGGTCGCCCAACAGACTTTACAAAGTCAACCTGAAGATTGGAAAGCCGATATGTCTAAACACAAGGATAGAGGATGAGACTTGGAGATGGCATGCAAGGTTGGGACATATAAGCTTTAAGACCATGAAAGCTATGTCACAACAGGAGATGGCCTATGATCTACCAGAGATTCGAGATGAAAAAGGATTGTGTGAGTCATGTTTAGTCGGAAAACAGACTCGACAAGGTTTCCCTAAGACAACAATGTTCAGAGCTTCAAGATCATTGGAACTTCTACACGCAGATCTGTGTGGTCCGATTTCGCCACCAACCATCGCAGGTAACAAATACATATTTGTTATCATAGATGACTTTACAAGATACATGTGGTCGATCTTGTTAAAGGAGAAGAGTGAGGCGTTTGGGAAGTTCAAGGTGTTCAAGGAGCTAGTTTAAAAGGAGCTTGGAAGAGCAGTATTGACTCTTAGAACAGACAGAGGAGGAGAGTTTACCTCAAGGGAGTTCTATGAGTTCTGCGAATCAAAGGGGATCAAGAGGCATCTCACAGCTCCCTACACACCACAACAAAACGGTGTTGTAGAGAGGAGAAACCGAACCCTAATGGAGATGACTAGGATCAGTCTTAAGGCTATGAAGGTACCTAACTACTTGTGGGGAGAAGCAGTTCGACACGCCACATATGTAATCAACAGAGTACCTACAAGAGCTCTTAAGAACATGACTCCTTATGAATGCTTGCGAGAGAAGAAACCAAGTTTAGGGCATCTACGAGTATTTGGGTGTCTTGCATACTCAAAGGTGGAAGCTGCAAATCTTAAGAAGTTGGATGATAGGTCACAGATGCTCGTACACCTTGGGATTGAGCCAGGATCTAAGGCGTACAGACTCTATAATCCAGAGACAAGGAGAATTGTAGTGAGCCGAGATGTGGTTTTCGATGAAAAGGCAAGCTGGAACTGGAACAAGCCAAGAGACGGATCAGGAAAGGATCCAGGGATGTTTCAGATGAGATGTGGTGAAGTTATTGATGCAGGAGAAGGACCTGCAGTAATCGGTTATGATGCTGAAGGTAAAGGAATTGAAGAGCGTCAAGCGACACCAACAGCAGTGTCGAGCGACACTAATGAACAAGAGTGTCGAGCGACACCATCAGCAGTGTCGAGCGACACCAACGAACCTGAAGCAGATCATAATGCAGAAGAAGATCCACCTAACGAAGCTGATACAGAGCAGCCGCTTCGAAGATCATCTCGTCCGATACGCAAGCCAGGGTATCTGGATGACTATGTCTTACAAGCAGCGATTGAGTGTGAGAGACTGCTACTCTCAATAGATGATGAGCCAAGGAACTTTAAGGACGCGAAAGGTTCATTAAAGTGGAGGCAAGCATGTAGAGAGGAGATAGAGTCTATCAACAAAAACAAGACATGGTTTTTAATCGACAAACCAAGGGAGGCAAAGATCATTGGTCTCAAGTGGGTTTTTAAGATCAAGAAGAATGCAGATGGTACTATCTACAAGTATAAGGCGAGACTTGTGGCTAAAGGATATGTACAAGAATCAGGCATCGATTTTGATGAGGTATTTGCACCAGTTGCAAGATTAGAAACCATAAGACTGTTGATAGTATTGGCAGCATCACATGGATGAGAGATTCATCACTTAGACGTGAAGACAACATTCTTACATGGAGAATTAAAAGAAGACGTCTATGTTGAACAGCCTGAAGGATTTGAGATAAAAGGGCAAGAACAGAAGGTATACAAGCTTTCAAAAGCTTTATACGGTCTAAGGTAAGCTCCTCGAGCTTGGAACACGAAGTTAGATCAAATCCTGAAAGGAATGAAGTTCATAAGATACTCCAAGGAAAGTTCAGTGTATCGCAGAGAAGAGGGAGGATCATTATTGATTGTTGCTATATATGTGGATGATTTGTTTGTCACAGGCAACACTCTGAAGGTTATAAGTGAATTCAAGACAGGAATGGCAACTAAGTTCGAGATGTCAGACCTTGGAATGCTGACTTATTACCTTGGCATCGAGGTTCATCAAGGGAAGGATGGAATCAAAATCAAGCAAGAAGGCTATGCACGAAGGATCTTAGCAGAGGCGGGCTTAGAGACCTGCAATCCGACTTTAATACCAATGGAATTCGGATTAAAGGTTTCAAAGGCTCAAGAAGAAGAAGAGATCGATCCTACGTGTTATAGAAGGAATGTAGGGTGCTTAAGGTATCTGTTACACACGCGACCAGACTTGGCTTTTTCTGTTGGAGTTGCTAGCAGGTATATGCAGAGTCCTCGCAAGTCGCATGGCAACATCATGAAGCCCATTCTACGGTATCTTAAAGGGACAGTCACGTTTGGCTTGAAGTCTACGGTACCAAAGAAGATCGTTGGTTTTAGTGACAGCAGTCACAATGTGGATCCAGATGATGGAAGAAGCACCACCGGACATATTTTCTACTTTGGTTCCTCACCAATCACTTGGTGTTCGCAGAAGCAGGACACAATGGCTCTGTCTTCGTGCGAAGCTGAGTTCATGGCAGCAACAGAGGCGGCTAAACAAGCTATTTGGCTTCAAGAACTTTTGAGCGAGATCACAGGGTGGAAGACTGAGCATATTGTCATCAAGGTCGACAACAAGTCAGCAATGGCGCTCACCAAGAACCCAGTATTTCATGGTAAGAGCAAGCATATTCATAAACGCTACCATTTTATACGAGAGTGCATTGAGAAGGAGTTAGTCGATGTGGAGCATGTGCCGGGAGTTGAGCAGAAGGCCGACATTCTTACTAAGGCTCTGGCGAAGATCAAGTTCAACGAAATGAGAAGCTTAATAGGAGTTCAAGACATGTCCAAGATCAAGTCGAAGCTTAAGAGGGAGAATGTTGAGTAAGCATCGACATCAAGGCCAAAGCCTATATTGCTTAACAAGTCGGTTAAGTTAATTAGATAGGGTTTTGGAATATTTCCTTATTAGATTAAGAGTTATCTAGTTCTAATAGAAAAAGGAAAAGGTGTTTAGGGAAGTTGTCCTAACACTATATATATGTAAGTCATTGATGAAGTTGCATCAATGAGAGATACATATTTTGGTATTTAGTTTTGAGAAATTTTCTAAACATAATAAAGAGAGTTATTCTTTATAAACAGAATTTGTTCTTGACTTAATCACTTGAAAAACTGGTTCTTCACCTCCTCTTTTTCTAGAAGAAAAAGAGCCGCCACAATTTTAATTAATTGAACTATGCGATAATGGTTGACTCCGGTTGGTGTAATTAAGGGATCGATTTGAAAACGAAAGAGAGGGGAAATTACAAGAGCTAAAGAGTGTGTGTTGAATGAACTTACAAAGACATGTGAAGCGCCCCAACAGCCAATGCTTTAAACACGTCACGGAATCCACTAACCAAAGTCAAAGCAAATTGAGTTTTTTTGTTTTTTTTTTTAATAAATCACTGCATAAGGCAAGACTTGCCAATATAAGGACAAATAGAATTTTTTGTTTTTTTTATTTTCTTATAAATAGCCGCATAAGCAATAATCATAAAAACCTATCACTTCCACAAATACATAAAAGAAAGAGGGAAAAAAAGAAAGAGAAATGATGATAATTCCAAGACAATCTTATTGCTTGTCTGGTATTGTTACCTTGTATTTCTTCTTCTTGGTTTCCCTCTTCCTACACACTCTTGCTTCTCCTTTGCTCCAATTTTGCGGTCATGGCCAGAGAGATGCTCTTCTGGAATTCAAACACGAGTTACCGGTAAATAAATCCAACTCAAGTCCATCTTTAAGTTCATGGAACAAGACTAGTGATTGCTGTTTTTGGGAGGGTGTCAAGTGCGATGCTAAATCTGGCAAGGTGATTTCACTTGACCTTAGTTTCACCTCTCTCAACAACTCTTTGAAACCAAATAGTGGTCTTTTCAAACTCCATCATCTTCGTTACCTAAGTCTTGTAGGTTGCAATCTCTACGGAGAGATTCCTTCTTCATTAGGAAACCTTTCCCATCTCACACATCTTGACCTTTCGGATAATGATTTAGTTGGTGAAGTTATGGCTTTAGTCGGAAACCTAACCCAACTAAGATACCTAAGCCTTAGCAATAACAAACTCAGTGGGAATATTCCTGTTTCATTTGCCAACTTAACGAAACTGTCCCATTTATACATCTCAGGCAACCAGTTCACGTGTGTGGATTTCCCTCTTATACTAGAAAATTTAACCAGTTTGTCCGTCTTAAACATTGCCAATAATCATTTTGAATCCACGCTTCCACGTGACATGAGTAGATTCCACAACTTGGAGTATTTTGATGAGGGTGGAAACTCATTTTCCGGGCCTTTTCCTACATCTTTGTTCATGATTCCTTCGTTAACATGGGTTACTTTGAGCGGAAACCAGTTCAAAGGACCTATAGAGTTCAGTAACACATCTTCTTCCTCTAAGCTTCAGTCTCTATACCTTTCTCAAAACAAATTCTATGGCCCTATTCCCAAATCCATATCAAAATTTCCCAATCTTGAAAGTTTATATCTTAGTGGCAATAACTTCACTGGGTCAATCTCCACATTTATACCAAAGTTAGTCAATATGGTTATGCTTGATCTTAGCCACAACGATTTTACTGGACCAATCCCTAGATCAAATTTAGTTAAACTCGAGTTTCTTGATCTTTCCGACAATAAGTTGGAAGGTGAGATTCCCGGTTGGTTAGCGGGCGTGTCGACATTGATGCTTTCTCGCAATTCTTTCAACAGTTTTGCAAAATCATTTGAAGTTTCCGATCTAAGTTATATCGAGTGGTTGGGTCTTAGTTCAAATTCTTTTCGAGGACCATTACCTTCTTGGATCTGCAAGCTTAGACCGTTAGATCTCTTGGATTTGTCTAACAATAGCTTCAACGGCTCCATCCCTCAATGTTTTAAGAACACTCTTGTTGGTCTCAGAGAGCTAAGTTTGCGGAACAATGATTTCAGTGGAATTATTCCTTCAGAGATATTTGCCAATGCTACCAAGCTAGCTCTAGTTGACGTTAGCGGCAACAAGTTGGAGGGAAAGCTTCCAGAATCATTGATCAACTGTGAATCTTTGCAACTTTTGAATGTCAAAGGCAACAGATTCAAGGACAAGTTTCCATCTTGGTTGAGTTCTATGACGTCATTACATGTCTTGATCCTACGATCAAACAAGTTCTACGGGCCGGTGTATGATCCTCATGTGTCCATTGGGTTTCAAAGTTTAAAAGTCATTGATATATCACATAATGACTTCACTGGAACTTTGCCACCTTTCTATTTCTGGACCTGGCGTGAAATGACCATATCATCCGAAGAAGATGGTAGCATGTACATGGGAGATCCCGGATTTGGTGATTTCTACCGTCTTTCGATGGAAATGGTGAATAAAGGTGTTGATACGAAATTTGACCTAATCAGAAAAGACTTTAGAGCTATTGACTTTTCGGGAAACAATATTTTTGGAGAAATTCCAAAATCCATTGGGTTGTTGAGGGAATTGCATCTTCTCAACTTGTCAGGTAACGCGTTCGCAAGCAATATACCTCAATCATTGACAAAACTGACAAAGCTCGAGGCACTAGACCTATCTCGGAATCAGCTGTCAGGTCAGATTCCTCCAGATCTTGGAAGCCTCTCCTTTCTGTCGACCATGAACTTCTCACATAACAATTTCGAAGGTCCAATACCAAAAGGCACACAGTTTCAAAGGCAAAATTGTTCAGCATTCATGGACAACCCCAAACTCTACGGTCTCGAAGATATATGCGGACAAACTCATGTCCTGAATCCTAAACCACAAGAAACCGAGGATTTGTTGGAGCCAGAAGAACAACAAGTGATTAGTTGGATAGCAGCGGCCATAGCCTATGGACCTGGTGTGTTCTGCGGATTTGTGATTGGACATATCTTCTTTACACATAAACACGATTGGTTCATGGAAATGTTCCCTCGAAGCAATCCCAGAAGAAGTGCCCGTTGAACACCTTCTCTTTTAGTCTATTGTCAGTGTTTATGGAGAATATGTATGTGTGTGTTGATCTCCAAATGTAATTTTCTATTTTAAGGTTTTGTAATAATTCAAAATGCATTCACAAATGTTTGAATTATAGACTCCATAGTTGATCGATGTATCGGGTTAATTCCTTATCCTCTGGAAAGCTTTAAGTCTTTCATGGAAACGAATTACAATTCACGTTATTTTAAATCTCTCTACGAAAACTTTCCAAGTCCAAAAGCGCAAATGGTAAATTTTTATTCTCCTAAATCAATGGTAAACTCTTGCTTATCACACACGTCACTCTTACAGGACTCAAATCCAAATAAATGACTAAGGGTGCTAACCAAACAGTAGAGAAGTATATATGGTATGTATATAAAAATAAATATTTAAATAGTCATCACTGAATTCCCATATGCAATTTTCTTTTACTCAAATGGAAATTTTCGATTTTAAAGTTGGATGGGAAAAATACATTATTAAATTATAAATTCAAACATCAATCTATCTCTCTTTTCATTCTCTTTGATGACACTATCAAAAGAAGTGAATTAGTTTTTAGCTATAGCTTGGCCGGGATGTAATGAGGAAAGTCCCAATCGGTCTTGATGTGGTTTCGATTTGCAGCATCTTCCTCACTCCAGCCTCTCCGTCCGCTGCAAGCGAGAACAAGCTCGGCCTCCCAACCTAATCGAACAAGTACTCAGTTAACATTTCGTGTGGATTATCATATGGTTGATCGTGTGAGAGTACTCATATGTAGCAATAGGATATATGTAACTTTCTTCTTAAGCAACCCTCACGTGTAAACTAACTTTTAATTAATTGCTGTGGTAAATGAAATTTGCGTCTGTGAAAACAAATATTTGATTATCAACTTCAGCTGTGTGTCTTATAAAATTATTAATTGTTAAACCCTGTGGGAGGCTCCTACTTCAGTTTCTTTTTACTATGGCTAAATTTCAACTTCAATGCTTGAAAGAGATACTTTTGGCGTTCCCTGTTCCATTTTATAAATAAATTTTATGTAGGAAATTGAACCTAAATTAATTTAAAAAATATGAATCTACTGGAAAGATAGTGTGTGATTATGGGGTTTTGGTCTAGCATGTGTATGTTTTTTTTTGTTGTTGTTGAAATGTGAGAATTTCATTGAATCAACAAATTAAAATATTTACAGGATCCGAACACTAAGATTTGGGACGGTTAAACCTGAGCTAATAGAATTGAGACAAAGCAAAAAAAAAAAAAAAATTCAAAAACAGAGCAAAAGAGTTTAAAAAAAAAACAGAGGACTAGATTGAGAAAACCAAAACGTTCGAAAAGGTTCATCCAAGTTGTTCTGAAAAGGCACCAAATATTCAGTAGTAATAACAAAAATTGATCGGCGAGAGTGTTCATTTGCAAAGGGAGCCCAAATTAAACCAAAAATTTTTTTATTGATTTTTAATTTGTTTAGAAAACACCAAAATCCTAAATCATTAAATACAATACAAAAAACTTTTAGGAACAATAAACTTCTTATCTTCTTTTTTTTTTTTGTTAAAATTCTTCTCCTTTGATTTTAGTGAGAGAGAATATATTATTACTTCTTCTTATTCTATTAATTATTGATAAAGATAGTCCAACAAAAAATCAAAGTCCAACAAAAAATCAAATGTAATTTGAGAAAACAAAAAAAGATCAATTGCATAATCTCTGAAAAGCTTAATGAATATCAGGAAGTCAACAACATAAAGTTATGGAACTAAAAGTGAATGATCATCTCTTTGTTTATAGCCTACATTTGGATTACAAATCTTTTTAGTTTGTATGTTGCCTTCAGATTTTAAATCTTGACAAATCTTTGTTCTGTTGTAATCAAACTTATTTGTATGCTCAAAAGTCCAAATAATATCTCTTTAAAAGGAGTCAAGAAGATGAATACAACATATTTAAAGAAAAAAAAAATTTTAGTTGTAATGACTAATATGACTAAGGAATTTTTGTTTTGTAAAAAGTCGTATTTCTCTCATGCAACAAATTATTGGGAAGTAATTGTAAAATTTACCAATACGTTTCTCTTATGCATAAAACTTCGCAACTTTAGACGTAAAAACCAAAATTTGTAACCAAATGAAGGGACTGATAAATCTTATTAATTAGAAATAATACAACTAAAATCATGGAAGTAAGTAACTATTTTGGAAACAAATTTAAATAAAATAAAAATCCCATAACTGTAGAGATTGGATTTTTAAATTATTTTTTCGTATTCTATAGTCTTTTCAGACAAATTTCATAATTGTAAGATTTGGATTTTTAATTTGTTTTCAATTTTTATATGTTTCTTTGTCTAAAGTTGTAGATTTGGGTTTATATGCCAATTTTCTGTACCAAAGTTTTCTACTTCTACATAAAGCATCCCAAAAAGTAAAACAGATGTTAAGAGGATGAAATTATGTGATCAAAGCCTCGATAATCTTTTCAAGCATGCAAGTGTTCTTAAGATTTAGCATATGGAACTATGGAACCATAAGACGTCACTTTGAAAAAATTTGGGCTGATAGTTTTTAAATTCGCTTTAGTTAACGAATATTAAAGTTAGCGATTAAATTCAAGTGAAAGATTTAGCATAGAAGATTATCTCCAACGTGAGATCTATAGTGATTTCATACTAAAAACTTGGTGAAGAAAAGTGGTCATGGGTTTAATACAATTTGGGATATCATAGTTAGAACTCCATTATATTCATTTTTGATTTCAGAAGAGTTTGTGAAAGACTTTACCAATTAAAATAGGAAAATCCGAATAAATTTATCTATTTATTTATAGGATATGCCTCTTGAGTTTATAACCATAAGTTGATATTTTATACTTAGTATTTGTTGGATTATCAACTCTATATTTTGTTTAGTATAATATGTGTTTGATTAGCTTCTTTGAAGACAAAATAATAGCTAAAAAGAAACTAATAAAAATTTATTTTTAAAAGAACTAAATAACAACTTTTTTTTTTTTTTTACAAATCTAAAAAAGAAAATTCTGAATTGAGTTTATTTAAGTTACAAAAAACTTAAAAATATTTTAAAAAATATAAAAAAAATTCTGTGCATTTGCACGGGTAATCATCTAGTTGAAAATAAAGAGAGGGGAAAATTACGAAAGTTGAGTGTGTGGTGAATGAAACTTTCAAAGACACATCAAGCGCTATGAGCCAGTGATTTAAAGACGTCTGTTCCACGGCGAACCCCACCGTTAACAAAAATCAATGGAATCCGACGACTTGAGGCAAGACTTATCAAAGTCAAGACAAATAGAGTTTTTGTTTTCTTTTTTATTATCTGCATAATCCATAATCATAATTAAACATCTATCACTTGCACAAAAACACAAAAGAAAGAAAGAAAAAAAAACGTAATGATGATTACAAGCCAATCTTATTGCTTTTCTGGAATTGTTACCTTGTATATCTTCTTCTTGGTTTCTCTCGTTCTACTCACTCTTGCTTCTTCTATGCTCCACTCTTGCCGTCATGACCAGAGGGATGCTCTTTTGGAGTTCAAACACGAGTTTCCGGTAAATGAATCCAACTCATATCGATCTTTAAGTTCATGGAACACCAGTATTGATTGCTGTTTTTGGGAGGGTGTCATGTGTGATGCTAAATCTGGCAAGGTGATTTCACTTGACCTTAGTTTCACCTCTCTCAACAACTCTTTGAAACCAAATAGTGGTCTTTTCAAACTCCATCATCTTCGTCAACTAACTGCTATGAGTTGCCATCTCCATGGAGAGATTCCTTCTTCATTACGAAACCTTTCTCACCTCATACATCTTGACCTTTCGGGAAATGATTTAGTAGGTGAAGTTCTGCATTTGGTGGGAAACCTAACCCAACTAAGATCCCTAATCCTTGGCTATAACCAGTTCAGTGGGAATATTCCTGTTTCATTTGCCAATTTAACGAAACTAGCCAGGTTTGACATTCAAGGAAGTCAATTAGAATCCACGCTTCCACCTGACATGAGTGGATTCCACAACTTGGAGTATTTTGGTGTGGGTGGAAACTCATTATTTGGGCCTTTTCCTACATCTTTGTTCATGATTCCTTCATTAACATGGGTTGATTTAGGGAGAAACCAGTTTAAGGGACCTATAGAATTCAGTAATTCATCTTCTTCGTCCTCTAACCTTCAGTATCTATACCTACATCAAAACAAATTCGATGGCCCTATCCCCAAATCCATATCAAAATTTCCCAATCTTAAATTTTTATATCTTAATGGCAACAACTTAGTTGGGCCAATCCCCAGTTTAAATTTAATCAAACTCGAGTTTCTTGATCTTTCCGACAATAAGTTGGAAGGTGATATACCGGGTTGGTTATCGAACGTGTCGGAGTTGATACTTTCTCGCAACTCCTTCACCAGCTTTGGAAAATCGTTTGAAATTTCCAAATTAACACAATTCAAGGCCTTGGATATTAGTTCAAATTCTTTCCGAGGATTCACATCAAATTTATTCACAACGGATTCAATTTATCTTAACAACAATAAGTTGGAAGGCGAAATACCAAGCTGGATAGGAAAGCTGGGGGAGGTGGTGCTTTCCCACAACTCTTTCAGCAGTTTTGGAAAATCATTTCAAGTTTCCTCTAGAGTTATATCAATGTTAGATTTAAGTTCAAATTCTTTCCGAGGACCATTACCCCATTGGATCTGCAAGATTACAACATCATCAAGGGTCGCTGCTTTGGATCTGTCCAACAATAGCTTCAGCGGCTCCATCCCTCAATGTTTGAGGAGTACAATTGTTGGAGGTCTCGAAGTGCTCAAGTTGCAAAACAACAATCTCAGTGGAATTCTTCCTCCAGATCTATTCGTCAATGATGCTACCTGGTTAAGTTACCTTGACATCAGCGGCAATCAGTTGGAGGGAAAACTCCCAGAATCGTTGATCAACTGCCGTTATTTGGAATTTTTGAATGTGGAAAGCAACCGATTCAAAGACAAGTTTCCATCTTGGTTGGGTTCTCTGCCGTCATTAAAAGTCATGTTCCTACGATCAAACGAATTCTACGGGCCGGTGTATGATCCCCATGTGTCCATTGGGTTTCCAAGTTTAATAATCATCGATATATCACATAATGACCTCAATGGAACTTTGCCGCCTTTCTATTTTTCCAGCTGGCGTGAAATGACCATGTTAAGTGAAAGAGTGGAAGAATACATGGGTGATGGCATTATATTCCATCTTACTATGGAAATGGTGAATAAAGGAGTTGATACGATATTTGAGAAGATCCGAAATGATTTCAGAGCTATTGACTTTTCAGGAAACAATTTTGTTGGAGAAATCCCGAAATCCATTGGATTGCTCAAGGAACTGCGTCTTCTCAACTTGTCAGGTAACGCATTCACAAGCAACATACCTCAATCATTGGCAAATCTGACTAAGCTCGAGGCACTAGACCTATCCCGGGAATCAGTTGTCAGGTCAGATTCCTCCAGATCTTGGCAGCCTCTCCTTTCTGTCGTCCATGAACTTCTCCCACAACAATCTCCAAGGTCCTATACCACAAGGCACACAGTTTCATAGGCAAAATTGTTCTTCATTTATGTACAACCCTAAACTCTACGGTCTCGAAGATATATGTGGACCAACTCATGTCCCTGATCCAAAACCACAAGAAACCGAGGATTTGTCGGAGCCAGAAGACCAACAAGTGATTAGTTGGATAGCAGCAGCGATAGCCTATGGACCTGGTGTGTTCTGCGGATTTGTGATTGGACATATATTCTTCACACCAAAACACGAGTGGTTCATGGAAAAGTTCCGTAGAAGCAATCCTAGAAGAAGTGCCCGTTGAATACAATCTCTCTTCGAGTGTTTATGAAGCATATTTATGTGGTGATCATGTGTGTGTTCTCCAAACGTTATTTTCTATTTTATGGTTTTGTAATAGTTTTCTTTGGTGTCTTAAATTGAAAATGCATTCAAAAACTTCTTCCTACACAAATCACAACCTGTGAGAGTATGAATGTTTGAATTATTAATCGATTGTCTTCGAGAAATCGGAGGCGTACGGAGTTGTGCATCCTCATGACGATCTTCTCGTGATCAAACTCACCATAGTCGACCAAATCATAGAGTCCATAGTTAATGTATAATCAGATTAATTCATCAAACTATACCAATGGTTAGTTATCTGGAATGCTATATTCTTTTGGTGATTATGATTTTTGGACTCTTTCATGAGAACCATGGATTCACGTCGTTTTTAAAGTCTTATCCTTACGAAAAAATTTTAAGTAAAAAAGACCAATGGAAACTTTTCTTCTCCTACATCACAGAGGATTAAAGTCTTTAACACTCTTGCTTCTCACACACGTCACTCATGATATGCTATGCTACAGCAGATTCGAATGAGAAATTAAAGATTGGAATAGTGAGGGGTTGTTTTGAGGATGAAATTAAATATTGGAGGACTCAAGGCCAAAGCATTCACGCAAATAAATAAGGGTACTAACCAAACAGCAGAAGAGTACATACTATGTATTTTTTCAAACGGTAAAAAGTAAATAGATATTTAGATCTCAATATTTAAAAACTTTCACTGAATTCTCATGCAATTTTCTTTTACTCAAAATCTAGTGAATCTTTCTCACCTTTCAAAATCACAACAAGAGAAATTATCTTTCTTGGCCACTGATGCAAAAGCTCCACCTTTATAGTCCCAAAGAGCCTAACTCAGTCGAACTCCAACTAGAGTAATTAAACTTGGGTTAGTTCTTGAAAACCTGCGCATCAAGTTCTTTTTTATATATAAACCCTTTTAAAAAATTTAGTCTTCCCTATAGAGAGGCATCATTTTGAGCATTACAATAAAAACATAATTAGAAAAAATTAATATATGATTATATATGGAAAATTTTGAGTCAACCAATATACACGGAATAAGACGACTTGGCGCAAGACTTGCCAAAAACAAGACAAATTGAGTTTTTATAATCTTTTTAAAAAAAAATCGCGTAAGCCACAATCATTGAATAACCTACCACTTCCACACAAACACAAAAGAAAGAAAAGAAAGAAAAAAGAATCCGACCACCCGAGCCAGTCAATCACGGCTTCGGTCTAATATTATATACATTTGAGGCACAAATCATCTGATGCTAGAGAGGATTAGAAGAATTTTTTTTTTGTGTGTGTTTTGGTTTTATAAATAACTGCGTAAGCCGTAATCATTAAAAACCTATCACTTCAACGCAAACACAAAAGAAAAAAAAGAAGAGGGTAATGATGATTTCAAACCAATCTTATTGTTTTTCTGGTATTGCTACCTTGTATTCCTTCTTCTTCTTGGTTTCCCTCTTCCTACACACTCTTGCTTCTCCCATGCTCCACTATTGCCGTCATGACCAGAGGGATGCTCTTCTGGATTTCAAACACGAGTTTCCAGTAAATGAATCCAACTCAAGTCCATATTTAAGTTCATGGAACAAGACTAGTGATTGCTGTTTTTGGAGGGGTGTCACGTGTGATGCTAAATCTGGCGAGGTTATTTCACTTGACCTTAGTTTCTCCCCTTTCAACAACTCTTTGAACCCAAATAGTGGTCTTTTCAAACTCCATCATCTTCGTAACCTCACTCTTGCAAACTGCTATCTCTATGGAGAGATTCCTTCTTCATTAGGAAACCTTTCCCATCTCACACATCTTGACCTTTCGGAAAATTATTTAGTAGGTGAAGTTATGGCTTTAGTCGGAAACCTAACCCAACTAAGGTACCTGAGCCTTAGCAGTAACAAGTTCAGTGGGAATATTCCTGTTTCATTTGCCAATTTAACGAAACTGTCCTATTTAGACATCTCAGAAAATCAATTCGAATCCACGCTTCCACGTGACATGAGTAGATTCCATAACTTAGAGGAATTTTATGTGGGTGGAAACTCATTTTCCGGGTCTTTTCCTACATCATTGTTCATGAATCCTTCGTTAACATGGGTTGTTTTGACGAGAAACCAGTTCAAGGGACCAATAGAATTTAGTAATACATCTTCGTCCTCTAAGCTTCAGGGTCTATACCTTTCTCACAACAAATTCGATGGCCCTATCCCCAAATCCATTTCAAAATTTTCCAATCTTGAACATTTATTTCTTGGTAGCAACAGTTTCACTGGGTCAGTCCCCACATTTTTGTCAAAGTTAGTCAACCTCGAAATTCTTGATCTTAGCCACAACAATTTAGTTGGGCCAATCCCTAGATCAAATATAGTCAAACTCAAAAGTCTTGATCTTTCCAACAATAAGTTGGAAGGTGAAATACCAGGTTGGTTAGCGGGCTTGTCGGCATCGATGCTTTCTGGCAATTCTTTCAAAAGTTTTGCAAAATCATTTGAAGTTTCCGATTTAACACAAATCATATTGTTGGATCTTAGTTCGAATTCTTTCCGAGGACCATTACCCTCTTGGATCTGCAAGCTTAGATCGTTAGATCTTTTGGATTTGTCCAACAATAGCTTCAACGGCTCCATTCCTCAATGTTTTAAGAATATTGTTGTTGATCTTCGAACGCTAAATATGCAAAACAACGATTTCAGTGGAATTCTTCTTCCAGAGATATTTGTCAATGCTACCAGACTAATAAGAGTTGACGTTAGCGGCAACAAGTTTGAGGGAAAGCTTCCAGAATCATTGATCAACTCACGTTATTTGGAAATTTTAAATGTGAGAAGCAACCGATTCAAAGACAAGTTTCCATCTTGGTTGAGTTCTCTGCCGTCGTTAAATGTCTTGATCATACGATCAAATGAATTCTACGGGCCGTTGTATGATCATCCCAATGTATCCATTGGGTTTCAAAGTTTAAAGGTCATTGATATTTCACATAACGACCTCAATGGAACTTTGCCGCCTTTCTATTTCTCCAACTGGCGTGAAATGACCACATTATCCAAAGACATCTCTACTGGCATGTACATGGAAAATCCCGGGTTTTCTGGTGGTTACTACCTTCCTTCGATGGAAATGGTGAATAAAGGAGTCGATACGAAATTTGAGCAGATTTTAAAAGACTTCAGAGCTATTGACTTTTCGGGAAACAATTTTGTTGGAGAAATCCCGAAATCCATTGGACTGCTCAAGGGATTGCGTCTTCTCAACTTGTCAGGTAACGCATTCACAAGCAACATACCTCAATCGTTGGCAAATTTGAAAAATCTCGAGGCACTAGACCTATCTCGGAATCAGCTGTCAGGTCAGATTCCTCCAGATCTTGGAAGCCTCTCCTTTCTGTCGACCATGAACTTCTCACATAACAATCTCCAAGGTCCAATACCAAAAGGCACACAGTTTCAAAGGCAGAATTGTTCTGCATTCATGGACAACCCCAGACTCAACGGTCTCGAAGACATATGCGGAGAAACTCATGTCCCTGATCCTACACCACAAGAAACCGAGGATTTGTCGGAGCCAGAAGAACAACAAGTGATTAGTTGGATAGCAGCGGCCATAGCCTATGCACCTGGTGTGTTCTGCGGATTTGTGATTGGACATATCTTCTTCACCCAAAAACACGAGTGGTTCATGGAAATGTTCCGTCCAAGCAATTAATCCCAAAAGAAATGCCCGTTGAAGAGACCTTATCTCTTCGAGTGTTTATGAAGAATATGTATGTGTGTGTTCTCCAAATGTAATTTTCTATTGTATAAACGTCTTTGGTGATATTTGATCTTAATCTGAAAATGCACTCAGAAACTTCTTGCTAACATAAAATCCCAACCTGTGACAGTACACGAATGTTTGAATTATAGACTTCAATAGTTGATAATTCCTTAAACTATTGTGTGTTTATGATTTTGATGTCATATAAATTAATTCTCGTTGTTTTTAAGTCTTTTTCCAAGTCAAAAAGCCCAATGGTAAACTTTTCTTCTCCTAAATCACTCAGGATGAGTCTCTAATACCATTGCTTATCGCACACGTCACTCTTGCTGTGCTATGCTACGACAAATTCGTTTGGGAAATCAAATATTGGAAACGTGATGATTAAAGGCCAAAGCCTCCAAGAAAATTATTAAGGGTACTAAGTACCAACCAAACAGTAGAAAAAGTTTATACTATTTAGTGTTTCCTTAAACGGTTAAAAGAAAATAGATATGTTGATCTCAATATTCAAATGCTATATAACTGAATTCTCAAATGCAATTTTCTTTAACTCAATCGATTTTTAAATTTGGATGGGAAATACATTATTGAATTATAAATTCAAACATCAATCTATCTCTCTTTTCATTCTCTTTGATGACACTATCAAAAGAAGTGAATAAGTTATTAGCTATAGCTTGGCCGGGAAGTAATGAGGAAAGTCCCAATCGGTCTTGATGTGGTTTCGACTGATCTCTCTCAGCGAACGGCAGCCACTTAGTGCCATTGTCAGCTCGAACTCGTCTCTTAGCATTTGCAGCATCTTCCTCACTCCCGCCTCCCCGTCTGCTGCAAGCGAGAACAAGCTCGGCCTCCCGACCTAATCAGTTAACATGTCGTGTGGATTATCATATGATCGATCGTGTGAGAGTACTCATATGCTAGCAATATGATATAGTCATTTTCTTGGTTTTATTTGGACAAATTTAAAAGTTTGGCGCACAATGTGAAAAAGTGGTAAAAGTCAGGGAGAGACAATCGGAGTTATTTTAGTGAAACTGGAAGTTATTAGAGAATCGATTTTAAAAAAAAAAAAAAAAAAAACAGAGAGGAAACAGGGGAAATGACAAGAGCTAAAGAGTGTGTGATCAATGTACTTACAAAGACACCTGAAGCGCCAAGAGCTAATGCTTTAAAGACATCGGTTCCACGGCGAACCCCACCGTCAAGAAAAACCGGAATCCGGCCCTCCACGGCCTTAACCACCTGCAATTTGAGTTAGCACAGTCGAATCAAATTCGAATTACAAAATAGAAAGAAAAAAAAGCTGAAGGCTCTATTCATAACGGTTGCTTAACCTCTTCGAGGGCCATTATAGTTGCAGGGACATAATCGAGCTGTCGAGCTCCGTGATTAGAAACTATGATCCCTGCAGCTCCATATTCAACGGCGATTCTTGCTGCACAATTTAGAATGATCAGATGAATCTTCTTTAACATTATGGAAATTTTAAAGTAAAAGGCTGATGCAGATTATTACCATCCTCTGCTGTAATAACACCCTTAACAAGAATTGGCAAGCTTGTGATAGATTGGAGCCACTTTATATCCTGGAAGAAGAGAAAAGACAGTGAAAAGAAGCGAGTTATTATGTTTCTGAATCTCGCGGACGAAACAAGCGAAAATCTTGCTACAGATTCTGACCTTCCAGCTTAGTGATTGATCAACTTGACCAGCAACATATGAAGCTAGCCCTGAGTCATCGGTCTGCAATTATCGACAGAAAACAAAAAGAAAAGATTTTTAAAGTATTGAGCTTTTAGATCCATTTGTGTTTATCACTGTGCCACTGACCTTGTCGATTTTCCCAAGATCCAACCCTTCGAAGTTCTTCAACGTAAGACCTCGAGGAAGAGCAAATCTGCAAAGATAATATCCATCAAGCATATAAGCAAAAGACCTCACAAAAATTTTGTTTTTGCATGGAGTGAAATTTCATAACCTGTTTTTGATGTCAGATTCTCTGCGTCCAAGCCTCGGGGTATCTACTGTAAGAGCAATCGCTTTGAATCCAGCTTCTTCAGCTCGTTTCACTAGCTGTCTAACCACATTTCTGTCCTTGTAAACCTGACTCAAGAGAATTAACAAAACCACATTTGAAATCCAAGCCAGACCAAAAGAAGTAGTAGGAGATCTTCTGAAACTTACATAGAGTTGGAAAAAGCGGATCCCAGGCCCTGTGGAAGCAACTTCCTCAACACTACAAGTAGCCCATGAAGATAAAGTCTGAAAAATATCAAAGTTTCATTTACGAAATAATCCAAAAGAGCCTCAAAAGTAAATATAATGAACAGAGGAGATATCAAGTAAGGTGAGAGTTAAACCATGATTGTTCCAGCAGCAGAAGTAGCTCTCGCAGTTGCAAGCTCGCCTGCAACGAAAATAAACCATTTTCACATAGTGAGAACGAGTATTCTCTAAGTAAAGAGAAATGAGAATGCATATATATACATGTTAAACTCCAAAAGCTAAGACCTTTTTATCAGAAAACGTTACACTAAGCTAAAAATCTTCTTTTCTTCACAAGATAACTCTAAAAGACTTTACCATCAGGGTGAGCCATTTTCTGCATTGCTGTAGGAGCAATCATGATTGGCATAGAAATGTTAAACCCTAAAACCGTTGTGCTCACATCAATCTCGCTTACATCGATGAGTATTCGAGGCCTAAATCTGTTTCAAACACAAGAAAACAGTTATAAATTCTCCCACATATAAAACAATCAAAGGGAGATTAATTCCTTAGTTGTTATAATTCGTTTTCGCTTACAGGATCCTGGAGAAAGCGTTGCGATTCTCCTGAAGAGTCCATTGATCCTCTGCACCAGATGCATAATAATCATAAACCATCTTCGGTAATTTCTCCTTCGCGATCTTCTCATATTCCATCACGTTTGTTATCTCCATTTTTTTTTTCTTCTCAAACCTCAAAATGAAAACTTGTCCTGTTTAATGAAACACCTCCATCATCAAAATCACTTCCTCAAATTTAAGATTTGGGAACAATAACGAAGACTGGAAACTACAAAGGTCAACTATAAACAATACAGTAAGCGATTACAGAACCAAACAAAATCTGACTCAGATTCTAAAATCACAGGATCTTCACTCACTCACTTTGATTCTCGATTATAAAAAAAATCCAAACAAATCATGAACGAGAGAGCTTACAGAGAGCTTACAGAGAGCGGCTTCGTCTTCTTGGGAAGGTGGCGAAGAATACTATAAGAAAAAAGAAGAAAATAATGTGGGATTGATTGAATATTCCCGATGTAGACGTCACAAAACAACGTACGTCTCTCTGTCTCTGTGTGTATATTTTTTTTTTATCTGTTCTTATCACGTGACTTTTTCACATTTATCAACCAACCATTAACATGCCAAACTGTTAACCCGGTTACCTGATTAATCTGTAGAATCACAGAACCATTTTTGGTTCGATTACGAACCGAACCGGGAAAAAAACCGAACCTTTTCCCTCCGTCTTATCTCCTCTAGGGTGGGAAGTTGAGTGAGTGAGAGCCATTGTAGGAGAGCTTCTAGAAAGAAGAAGAAGAAGAAGCCATGGCAGTGGCTCTTGCTTCTTCTAAAGCTTTTTCCTCAGTCTCTTATGCTTTACCTCCATTCAATCGGTCGAATTTCGTGTTAGCTATCTCCTGTTCGAATCCTGTAGACGTCGTCGATCGGAGAAGAAGAATCTTGATCTTCGGTTCTAGTTTAGCGCTCGCGTCGACTCTGCTTGGTTCCAATCGTCAGAGATTTCCGGTTGAATCTGCGATCGCGTTGGAGCTATTCAAGGAAAAAGAGGATGAGCTCGAGGACGAAGAAGAGAGAAATGTCAATCTCTTCCAGGTTTCGGCCTAATTACTCCTTTGAGATTGACCCTTTATCTTTTTCTCTGTAGAAAAAAAATCTCAATTTTGCTTGCTTTTCGCAGAAAACTTCGCCGTCTGTTGTTTTTATCGAAGACTTTGAGCTGCCCAAAACATCGACTGATAACGAGTTCACACTCACTGATGAGGGAAATGCGAAGATCGAAGGGACAGGTTCAGGCTTCGTTTGGGATAACCTCGGTCACATTGTAAGCCAAAAAAAAATCCTTCTTCTGTGTTAAGCGAAAGAAAAACTCAAGTTTCTTGTTTTGAATCCTGGAAAAAATCTGAAAAAAGCTTGTGTCTTGTACAATGTAGGTAACAAATTATCATGTCATTGCCAAGTTAGCTACAGATCAGAGTGGATTACAACGTTGCAAGGTCTCCTTCTTCTTTATACCAACTGCAGCGAAAAAAAAACACAAAGCCAAACGAAGTAACTTAAGAGCAAATTACTGTGTGGTCTTTTGTGCAGGTGTCTCTAGTTGATGCCATCGGAACAAGATTTAGCAAGGTTGGGAAGATTGTGGGTCTTGATCCAGATAATGATTTAGCTGTGTTGAAGGTAATCTTAAGGAAAAAGACGTTGAGCATATTTTCTGACCATTTTGAGTCATACCTGTTTAGTCCTTATTAACACCTTTTACATTTTCAGATTGATACCGAGGGACGTGAACTAAAACCTGTTGTTCTCGGTACCTCCAGTGATCTACGAGTTGGTCAGAATTGCTTCGCGATCGGGAATCCCTACGGATATGAAAACACTTTGACAATAGGGGTAAGAGTAAGAAGTTCCTGAGTTCTTGTATATATACTCGAAACATTTCACTGTATGTTATTCATGGGGATTTGTAGGTTGTGAGTGGGTTGGGAAGAGAGATACCTTCACCTAATGGGAAGAGTATTCGAGAGGCTATCCAAACAGATGCTGATATTAACTCAGGTAATTCACAAAACATCTCTCAGTTTCTTCTATTTGGTTTTATGAATATCGCAGTTTTTTCGTTTATGTAATGCTGTATATAGGAAATTCTGGAGGGCCATTGCTTGATTCTTATGGTCATACCATAGGCGTGAACACGTCCACTTTCACCCGCAAAGGTGAAAATGTGATCTTTTACCAAATCTAAAGAACATAAAACATAAATCTGTTCTTTGATTCTCTGTTTTAAAACTTGAATAAGATACTGAAGAAAGAGAATGTTTGTGTTGCAGGGTCGGGTATGTCTTCCGGTGTGAACTTTGCCATTCCCATTGACACAGTTGTTAGAACAGTACCCTACCTCATTGTGTATGGAACAGCTTATAGAGACAGATTCTGAAGAAAACAAATATCTTTTTTTGTCTTCAATAATGTAAATACAAAAAAATTCCAAAAGGGTTTCCAATGCATGTATACATTTTTTCTTGATAAGATTTTGTGAATCATTTATCATACAAATACAAGGACACAAAATAAAGATTTTGATTTTGGGCATAATGAAGAGACCAAATCCATGATAATATTGGGTTATACATTGATGAAATCTGGAGAGATACTCTCGTGAAGTATTAAACGAGAGCTCAATTACTGAACCAATGAAAGCTGTTCCTCGATAGAGCAATCGACATAACAAGAGGAAGGGATTAGGATCATACCAAGACAACGCTGTTCAGTAGGCGAAGGAGACGATCTTCTTATGCTACGAGATACTCCACCGTGACCTGGAGAATTTTAGTAGATTGAAATAAATCAAAAGTTTGGGGCACAATATGAAAAAAGAGTGAAAATCAGGGACATGCGGTCAGAGTTATTTTAGTGGAACTGGAAGTTAAGGGAGCGAGTTGAAAACGAAAGAGAGTGTGAGACTTCTATCGGTGGATGAACTTACAAAGACACATGAAGTTACAAGAGCCAATGCTTTGAAGACGTCAGTTCCACGGCGAACCCTACCGTCAAGAAAAAACTAACCGGATCCGACGACTTGACGCAAGACTTGCCAAAGTCAAGACAAATTGAGTTTTTGTTTTTTGATAAATAGGTGCATAAGCCATAATCATTAAAAACTATCAATTCCAAACAAACACAAAAGAAAGAAGGAAAAAAAGAAGAGGGTAATGATGATTTCAAACCAATCTTATTGCTTTTCTGGCATTTTTACCTTGTATTCCTTCTTCTTCTTGGTTTCCCTCGTTCTACACACTCTTGCTTCTCCCATGCTCCACTATTGCCGTCATGACCAGAGGGATGCTCTCCTGGAGTTCAAACACGAGTTTCTGGTAATTAAATCTTATTACTCTTTGGAACATCCATCTATAAGTTTATGGAACAAGAGCACTGATTGCTGTTTTTGGGAGGATGTCACGTGTGATACTAAATCTGGCGAGGTTATTTCACTTAACCTTAGTCGCATCTCTCTCAACAACTCTTTGAAACCAGATAGTGGTCTTTTCAAACTCCATCATCTTCGTAACCTAAGTCTTAGTTTTTGCCATCTCTATGGAGAGATTCCTTCTTCGTTAGGAAACCTTTCTCATCTCACACATCTTGACCTTTGGGGAAATCATTTAGTAGGTGAAGTTCTGCCTTTAGTCGGAAACCTAACCCAACTAAGATACCTGAGCCTTGGCAGTAACGAGTTCAGTGGGAACATTCCTGTTTCATTTGCCAACTTAATGAAACTGTCCTATTTAGACATCTCAGGCAACCAGTTCACGTGTGTGGATTTCCCTCTTATACTAGAAAATTTAACCACTTTGTCCTTCTTAGGCATTGCCGATAATCAGTTTGAATCCACGCTTCCACGTGACATGAGTAGATTCCACAAATTGGAGGACTTTGATGTGAGTGGAAACTCATTTTCCGGGCCTTTTCCTACATCCTTGTTCATGATTCCTTCGTTAAGAGGGGTTAGTTTGAGTGGAAACCAGTTCAAGGGACCTATAGAGTTTAGTAATACATCTTCGTCCTCTAAGCTTTCGGAGCTAGACCTTTCACAAAACAGATTCCATGGCCTTATCCCCAAATCCATATCAAATTTTCCCAATCTTGAAAGTTTACGTCTTGGTAGCAACAATTTCACTGGGTCAATCCCCACATCTATATCCAAGTTAGTCAACCTCGTTAGTCTCAATCTTAGCCACAACAATTTAGTTGGACCAAGCCCCACATCCATATCAAAGTTAGTCAACCTCGAAACTCTCCATCTTAGCCACAACAACTTCACTGGGTCAATCCCCACATCCATATCAAAGTTAGTCAACCTCAGTGATTTCGATCTTAGCCACAACAATTTCATTGGGCCAATCCCTAGGTTAAATTTACCAAAACTCCAGCATCTGGATATTTCCAACAATAATTTGGAAGGTGAAATACCTGGTTATTTAGCGGGCCTGGGGACGTTGTTTCTTTCTGGCAACTCTTTTAGCGGTTTTGACAAATCATTTGAAGTTTCCGATTTAACACGAACCCAGGGGTTGGATGTGAGTTCAAATTCTTTCCGAGGACCATTACCCTCTTGGATCTGCAAGCTTGTATCGATAGAAGTCTTAGATTTGTCCAGCAATAGCTTCAACGGTTCTATCCCTCAATGTTTGAAGGATAGTTTTACTGGTCTCATAGAGCTAAATTTGCGTAACAACACTTTCAGTGGGATTCTTCCTCCAAAGATATTTGGCCGTGCTTTCAACTTACTGTTAGTTGACGTCAGCGATAACCAATTGGAGGGAAAACTTCCAGAATCATTGATCAACTGCTATTTTTTGCAACTTTTGATTGTGAGAGGCAACCGATTCGAGGACAAGTTTCCATCTTGGTTGAGTTCTTTGCCCTCGTTACATGTCATGATCCTACGATCAAACAAATTCTACGGGCGGTTGTATGATCGCAACGAGTCCATTGGGTTTCAAAGTTTAAAAGTCATGGATATTTCACATAACGACTTCACTGGAACTTTGCCACCTTTCTATTTCTCCAACTTGCGTGCTATGACCACATCATCCGAAGAAGTTGGTGTCTTGTACATGGAAGATCAGTTGTATTATCATGATCCCCGTTATCGTGATCGCCACCGTAATTGGATGGAAATGGTGAATAAAGGTGTCGATACGGAATTTGAGCAGATCCTAAACGATTTCAGAGCTGTTGACTTTTCGGGAAACAATTTTGTTGGAGAGATCCCAAAATCCATTGGATTGCTCAAGGAATTGCGTCTTCTCAACTTGTCAGGTAACGCATTCACAAGCAGTATACCTCAATCGCTGGCAAATTTGAAAAATCTCGAGGCACTTGACCTATCTCGGAATCAGCTATCAGGTCAGATTCCTCCAGATCTTGGCAGGCTCTCCTTTCTGTCGACTATGAACTTCTCCCACAACAATCAGGAAGGTCCTATACCACGAGGCACACAATTTCAAAGGCAGAATTGTTCTGCATTCATGGACAACCCTAGACTCTACGGTCTCCAAGATATATGCGGACAAACTCATGTCCTTGATCCTAAACCACAAGAACCCGAGGATTTGTCGGAGCCAGAAGAACAACAAGTGATTAGTTGGATAGCAGCGGCTATAGCCTATGGACCTGGTGTGTTCTGCGGATTTGTGATTGGACATATCTTCTTCACCCAGTGATTGGACATATCTTCTTCACCCAAAAACACGAGTGGTTTATGGAAATGTTCCGTCGAAACAATCCCAGAAGAAGCGCCTGTTGAACACCTTCTCTTGTAGTTTATTGTAAGTGTTTGTAAAGCATGTGTATGTGTGTGTTCTCCAAATGTAGTTTTCTATTTCATGATTTTGTAATAAACGTTTTTTTGGTGGTATTTGATCTTAAACTGAAAATGCACTCAGAAACTTCTTGCTACATAAAATCACAACCTGTGACAGTACGAATGTTTGAATTATAGACTTCATAGTTAATGTACAATCGGATGTCATTCAGAAAGACTAAACATTTGATGAACTCCGGAGAGATTCTCTCATCAAGTCGTAAAAGAGGCTCTACTCTTTCAGCTGAATCAACGAAAGCTGTTCCTCGATAGAGCAATCTACATGGCAAGATGTCCTGCAAGAGGAAGGGATTAGGATCATACCAAGACAACGCTGTTCAGTAGGCGAAGGAGACGATCTTCTTATGCTACGATACTCCACGGTGTCCTGGAGAATTATGTTTCCTTGTTTGTCAATGCAATGGAAATTTCCAAGGAAGAATCTCCCGTCTTTGATTCCCACGAGCATCTGGCGGAACAAGAGCTTCCTCACTCGAGCTATCGGATCTAATTTCGACCCTTGAGAGGTCGATGCAACAGTCGTGGCGCTTCTCTCTGCATCTTGTTCCATTCTTGTATATGCTTTACACCAGAACAAAGCTTAAACATCAATAACACACACAAAGTAATGAGGAACAATCACATTATGAAGAAATAGAGTAACATTCGAATCAGATAGATGCAATAACCGAAGTTGTAAACTTTGTTGTGTCAAAGTCTTAGTTGCATATTGTTATTGGCTCAATAATATGAACAGAGTGGTTTTTGAGGTTTAACAAAAACAGTGCAAATTCCGGAATCTAAAAGTTCAAAAATTTGACACATAGCAACTACGAATCTAGCGAAAAGACGATTACAGATTCGAGCCAGTCTACTTTCTAATTTCCCCCACACAGCCACACCATCCAGTCATCAACACGAAATCAGTTCATAAACAATGACCAAAATCGATCAACAAACACGGAGTAAGCCCAGAAGATACCCAAAACCAAAGAAATAAAAGCAAATCGGACAAGGAAAGATATAGCAGAAGCGAGAAAAGATTCTGTACGTAGTAGTCTTCTGAGCTTCACCGACGAGGCTCAAGAAACGCTATGATTAATCGACGGCGTCGATTCGCGCTCAGCTGAGAGTCTGAGACGATTATCGGAGAAGACGAAATAGATTATCGCGTATGTTCCGTACTACGTCGGTTTTGCCGAAAAGCCCTAAATAAGAAAACGGCATCGTTTGGGAACGGAAAGAACAAATTGACACAAAAATTTTGGGTCTTATTTGTCAATTTTGAAGTAACGGGACCAATTACGAAATAAAAAAGAAAGGTTGGTCTAACTGATCAAAGAATCTAACTTATCCGCCGCCGTGTCTTCTCTTCCGTCCTCCTTCATCTCCCGAAACGTTTTCTCCGACCAATCTCAATTTTGTTTCAAAGTTGTTCTTGTTCACCTACATCTGTGCCAATCTCTCCTATCGTCTTTTTTAACTTCCGTATGTCTTGGTTTATTTTGTCGAATTTCAAAACTCTTATGAGCTCCAAATTGATCACATTGTCACTTTGATTTTTCTCTAATTTCACTCAATTTCAGACTCGTCTAGACTTGTTTTCTGTTTTCTCAATTTTATCCGACTCTTCGAATCAGATATATTGTTCTTACTAGCAAAAGTTTTCTCCTTTACGTGCCTTTAATCACCATTTGATCTCAACTCTGTTTCCTGGTACACTAACAATGGTTGAGCGGAAGAAACGGAAATCTAATCACAGAAACAACAATGAGGACAAGAGGAATCAAAAGAGGCGAATTTCGCATGACAACGATGAAAACATCAACAGGGACGAACTTGTAATTTACAGAATCCTATGCCCTGTGGCAGTCATTGGAGGTGTTATAGGTAAGAGTGGTAAAGTCATAAACGCGATTAGGCATAACACGAAAGCGAAGATCAAAATCATTGATCAGTTACCTTGCAGCGAAAGAGTCATAACAATCTATTGCTCGGTTAAAGAGAAAATCGACATAACAAAGAGCGAAACCGAGCCACTATGTTGTGCACAAGATGCTCTTCTTCAAGCCACGAGGCAATTGTTAGCGCTGGAAATAACACTAAGATAGATAGAGATGATTAGAAGCAATGTCGCCTTTTAGTTCCGTCTAGTCAATCTTCTAGTGTGATCGGTAAGGCTGGTTCGAACATTAAGAGGATAAGAAGTAGAAGTGGAGCTAGTGTTAAGGTTATTTCGAAAGATGTCTCGGATCCTTCTCACGCTTGTGCCTTGGAATTTGACAATATTGTTCTGGTTAGCCATCTGGAATTGCTTAATATTCTCAATCTTGCTTGCTTTTCTTTTGCTAATTGATTGTTATCGAATGTTTCGTCTTTTCAATCAAGTAGATATCTGGTGAGCCTGAATCTGTGAAGAACGCACTTTTCTCTGTTTCTGCTATCATGTACAAAACCAATCCCCAAGAACAGATTCCTCTAGATTCAACCGTCCTAGAAGTTCCAGCTAGGATTGTTATGCCATCGGATCTTTCTAATTCTGTCTATCCTCAAGCTGGATTATACACAAATCATGATCCTGTTCTTCGTAACGGGGACCTTCAGGGTTATGCAGAGTTCAATGCCTGTTTTTTGCTTCTTCTCTTCCGGTGTCTCATGTTTTTGGCGGGTCTTCAAGATCAGAAGAGTTGGTTTTGAAAGTGTTGTGCCCTTTGTCCAATATTGGCCGTGTTGTCGGGAGAGATGGATCAACCGTTAAGGGAATGAGAGAAGCAAGCGGTTCTCGTATTGAAGTTAATAGGGCAAAGCATAGTGATGATGAGTGTGTTATCATTGTCACTGCTACAGAGGTTTGATTCCACTTTTATCCTTCTTCTATAAGTTTTGTTTATATATTGTTTTTGTTGTATGAATGAATACTCCTTTTTGTGTGTTTTCTTCAGTTTCCTGATGATGTGAAGTCTATGGCTGTTGAAGCTGTTCTTCTTCTGCGAAGATCAATGATGAGGATGAGGAAAAAGTTAAGATGCAACTTCTTGTTCCTTCCAAGGGTATTGGATGCGTTATAGGGAAAAGTGGCTCGGTCATAACCGAAATCAGGAAAAGAACCAATGCCAATATCCGTATCTCGAAAGGGAATAACGATGATCTTGTTGAGGTTATGATCCTCATCAAAGTTCAAATCTTTTTTCTTCTGTTGCTTTTATATTCAGTTTTGAAGATTCATTTCTTTGTTACCATTAGGTATCAGGTGAAGTCAGCAGTGTAAGAGATGCTCTCATCCAGATTGTTCTAAGACTTCGAGAGGATGTTTTAGGCAATAGAGGCAGCTCTGCTGCTTGGAATCCTCCTGAAAGATCTCATGATAGTAGTTTCTTCTCGAGTAGTAGTAATCCTGGTTTACACATCCGTTTTGGGGAAGTAGCTTGGGAATGGTTTCTTCAGGCGGACTCTATGGTTATGGAAGTTTCCCTGTAAGGTCGCATGTTGAATTCCGCTGATTCTCTTGGTGTAAATGTCATACTCATGACTTAGCCTATTTTTTCATAAATAGGCAGGAGGTAATGGTTTTGGATCAATCGGTTCATACTCATATGGAGGGTAAGTTTGCAAACTACAATAAAGAAGTTGGCTTATTCTTTATCACTTTTTTCATGACTCTGTAAATGTTCTTTCTTGATTATTAGATTGCATTCATCTTCTGCCTTGGACATTCTAGTCCCGTCGAATGCAGTAGTAAAGTTATGGGTAAAGGAGGCGGCAATTTGGAGAACATAAGAAGGGTTTGTTTCTGAAATCTTTTGATCGTTATTTCGGTTTTTCTTTTCCCTCCTTTTTTTTTTTCATTTGGCATACTTCTCTCTCTCTCTCTCCTTCAGATATCAGGAGCGATGATAGAAAATTTCTGATTCCACAACTTCACAAGGGATCGCATTGCTCTCCTATCAGGCACACCTGAACAGATGCGTTGTGCAGAGAACTTGTTCCAAGCTTTTATTATGTCCATTTGAAACAGTTTTTGGAGGTCATTCCTTCTCTCTGTCTCTAGCTTTTTTGGTGAGTTTCCATCAATTCGGTTTCTTCGTGCTCTACCTCTGTCTCGTTCTTTCTCTCTTCGGTTTTGCTCCATAGATGTTAAATATCTAACAAATGGTGCCATTGTTAATATGAATAAACATATTCTTTGAATCATCTTCGGGATTTGAATAGTGTTTGGAAGGTTTCTGATTCTTTCAAAAGAGATCATTTAGTGCATTTTTTTTTCATTTCTTTTGCAACATGATAATTTGAAATCCATTGGTAAATAAAGAAACCAGTCTACTTCTTCAACTTTATGATTCTTTGCTTCAACTTATAAAAATTCACTTGGTTTATCTCCATTGATCTCATTTCCATTTGGAACTCTGTTCTTACTTCCTATAAACTTGGAATTTTATAGGCAAAATTTGATCGGAATTAATGATATATTTTGAAGTATATATACTGTATTTAGTTACTTCATCAATGCTTACATTTCAATTCTTTTTTTACATCATACAACGGCGAACCAAATTGTACTGAGTTCGGTTTAGTAGATTATGGTTGTTTAGTATGAAACCACGAGAAGAAGTTTGATTCCACCAAACCGGATGAAAATGATAACGAGTCGTCCTAGTGTTACATGCAGAAGACCCTTTATCATTTATAATTGACGTATTTTACCTACAGTTTTTGTTATGACATCCCGTACCTTTAATAAACTAATATATATCATCTATGATCTATATACGCAAGTATGACGTGAATTCTGAACGAGCCTATTCGCGTGTACACGTAAATATTTATATAATATTACATATCATATAGGTAAAATGTAAGCACTCGTATACTATAATACTATATCATTCTTTTACATATAATGTATATATAATGTTGTGATGTTATAGAATAATATACGTATACGTAATTTGATTGTGTTCTGCACATGTACATACGGATGATTACAAACACAGACATATGATTGGCTGGGTCGTATCATTTATATATAAACTTGTACGATCAAAACAAAAACAAAAACATAAAAAGTCTGAGAAATAATAGTAGATAGATGATCTGGAAATCGTGTTACAAATATATTTAGCTGGATTTGTTTATTACTTTCTTGAATTATGATGCAAGGGTATTATTTAGGACGGAAGAATCTTAGATGTTTCATGATCTTTTTTCTTTTCTTTTTTGAATAAATTTTTCTCTATTTTCGAGTTACTTATGTTGCTGCTTTTGCATTTAATAGTCACATGTTTCTCTGATGTATTCCATTATTTTGCATCATATTCTATTTTTGTTTTTGTTAATTTTCTCCAAGATTCTACTTTTTATGTTTAAATCTTTATTTCGTGAATACCCTAAAACCACTCATTTATTTATCTACTTCAGTATTTGACTACATGATATTTGAAAAGATAAAAAGAGTTACAATAAGATAAAAATAAAAATAAAAAAATATAAAAAAATGTTTTCGACCAAAAAAAAAAAAAAATGTACGTCGATGAACTTGTACGGACGGAACAATGCGGCGTTGTTGATCAAAGTGAAAACGGCGGGGCGTGTAAAGCAAGAATGGACACATGACACGACGTGCATGTGACACCAATATCTGCGGCTTTTGTTACTTACTTCTCTGCTAAGTCTCTTCCCCGTATTGATTCAGATCTAAATCAATGCTCTGTACTGTGCTATTTCAGATTCAACACATCACATGACTTGTCTTAATGTATCTTTTTCATATCTTTACTTTCTTTCTATTTTTTTCCAATCATATATAAATATCATCATCTCAGGATTCTCAACTTGTAGTATTAATTATATTGAAGCTGGTTACAGTAACACTAACAAGAAGTCGTACCAAGTATGTGTCAGGCAAAAACTTGGTTCCTATACCCATTCTCATATTTTCTTTTGTATGCAAATATCTTTTCATTAAAAACAGACTTGTAAACCAATGATATGGGAGAAATTTTAGAAACTTTTGAATGTTGTTTAATTTGAGAGATATAGTTGGTAAACTGAGAATTATGAATTATTTACAGGAAAAAACTAAAATATTTAAGGGTTAGTAAATATTATTATATAAACCAATAGAAAGTCTTTGAAGTTTTGAGATACATCTATTGTCTTTTGTGCTCATACCTGTAAAACATTATAGACAAAAGCACTCGATTCTTTTGTTCATTACAGACGAAACACGATTCTCCTAATATAAATCTTTGATCGTGGACCCATTAAATTGAATTATCGAAATTACAGAAAAGAAAAAAGAAGAATTGGCCTACGAGTAGACTGGAGCATTAGGCAAATCCATTTCATCAACAAATGACCTAACGACTTATCATGTGGTACAGCTAAGTCGAAAATCGTTTATTGTCTATCTTATAATAATACAACTCCATATCATGCCATGAATAATCTTGTATAAAATAGCTATACGACTGTATCTTCTCATCTATCCATATTTGATTATTCAACACACCCACGAAGCATCACAATTATTTGTGTTATTATATACAACTAAATACATAATATAATAACCAAATATATGAAGTTTACTGATTTGCATCAGTCGTTGTAACTTGTGATACCATCCAGATTCAAATTGACATAATACATACATATTACTGGAAAAAAAAAATACTAAAATACAGTATTACAACAAATTTTGTTTTCAAATATGTATGAGGTTCAATCAGACAGTGGATGGTGACTATGATAAGTGTGTTCAGAACTTCAGATTACCATTTGAAAATTATCGTCTAAGAGTTTATATTGTATGACCATGTAAATTGAGAGATTACCATTCGGAAAAAAAAACTTTCAACTTAAAAGATTACAACTGATTTATATCATTTGACTAAAATTCAAATACATATAGTGATTTGTGTTAGTATTATCGGTATATACAGTAGATTCAAACGAAAATTATATATGTGCAATTAAGCTGTAGATGTCAAAACAATAACGACAAAAAAAAAGAAAAAAAAGATGTCAAGACAATATTCATATCTTTCACATCAACCGCAATAAGTAAATTAATCACACATTTGGCTTAGTTTGCTAATTTACACTAAACATTGTTTCTTCACCTGAAAACATTTTTTTACGAGTTTGCATTTGTCTATGTTGAATGTTTACACCGTCCCTAAAATCAACTAATCTATATTTGAATTCAGACATTAACGACTATAATGAAGTTTCCCAATCATGTTATAAAATCAATGACTTTATGATCTCTAAGTGTGTCTGCACCGTGTGAAGAGATTAGAGAACATAAATTCATATAATAGATTTAGATTAAGAGTAATCTAATGACAATAAAGAAAAAAAAGGACAGTTTACTAAATAGTAAAAAGTAATGGTTATTAACTCTTTATAATATTGGTGTCGTCTACTTTCATTTTAGACCAAAATATGGTCATTGTACAAATAAATTCTCTCAAAAACAAAAAGGAAAAAAAAAAAAAAAACTCCGTGGATCTAAAATTTTGCTCCTTCCATTTATATCCTCTCGCTCCATGGATTCCTTTCCTCTTTCTCTCTCCCTCCACAAACCTCTCTTCATGCGTTATCTTCTCTCAAAGATCTGATTCTTCCTCAAAAACTTCCTCCACAAAAATTCCTCTTTCTCCATCCCAAAATCGTCCTCCAATGGCCATAATTCTCCGTTCAGATCCGCTCTCTCGGATCCATCCCGAGCCTCAAACCCTAGAAATCGACCACTTCGACCACCTCCCCGATTCCATCCTCCTCCTCGTCTTCAACAAAATCGGCGATGTCAAAGCCCTTGGTCGATGCTGCGTCGTCTCCAAGAGGTTCCATTCCCTCGTTCCCCAGGTCGAGAATGTCGTCGTCCGCGTCGATTGCGTCATCTCCGACGACGATTCCTCCTCTCTCTCTCCCGATAAGCCTCGATCCGCCGTCTCCGGTCCGTTCTCGGCGATTTTCCGTCTCGTTTTCGGCGGCATTTTCAAGCCGTTACAAGCCCTTGGTCAGTTACTCGGCTCCAAGCGTTCATCTTCTGCTTCTTCTTCCGCGTCTTCTTCTTCTTCTTCGTCGTCTTCTTCTTTGCTTATCAGTGGAGGAGAAGACGGAGAGATCGAACATGGCGGCGTCACTCACCATTCCCCTACGCAGGTTCTCAAAAACTTCGACGAGATTCGGTTCCTCCGCATCGAGCTTCCCAGCGGCGAATTGGGGATAGACGACGGAGTTTTGTTGAAGTGGAGAGCTGAATTCGGCTCCACACTCGAGAATTGCGTCATTCTCGGAGCTTCCTCTGCGATCCACGCCGCGAATTCGAACTCTCAACCTCCCGTTGACCTTACCAGCAACAACACCACCGTAACGGCGACGGCGGCGGCGGAAGACAACGGGAGTATACCGGAATCGTTCTACACAAACGGAGGGCTTAAGCTTCGTGTTGTATGGACGATTAGCTCTTTGATCGCTGCGTCCGCGAGACACTACTTGCTGCAGCCAATCATCTCCGAGCACAAGACGCTCGACAGTTTGGTGCTTACGGATACAGATGGGCAAGGAGTGCTTTGTATGAACAGAGATCAATTAGAGGAGCTGAGGGTGAAACCATTGTCAGCTTCTTCGGCTTCTAAGAGGACACTTGTGCCGGCTCTGAACATGAGACTATGGTACGCTCCTACCTTGGAATTGCCAGACGGGACAGTGTTGAAAGGAGCGACCTTGGTGGCGATAAGACCCAGCGAGTCGAAGAAAGAGGTGTGTGATGTTTCGTGGGTGTCTTCTGCGTTCGATGAGCCTTATGGGATAGCTGCAAAGATGCTGGTCAAGAGAAGGACTTACTGTCTTGAAATGAATTCCTTCTAAGCTGCAAAGATTTCGGACTTTTGATCTTGAGGTATGATTGCTGCTCTGTTTCTGACTAATTTTGAGTTTCAATTGTGTGAATGAATATCTAAATATTGGCACTGAATTGGTCTCAGCTTATCAACATCAATCAGAGTATGTGGCTGTTGTAGTTGATGATTAATTTGGGCGAAAAATGAAACCTTTATTAAGCATTCATCATAACGTGACATTAAAGATTGGAAATTTATTTGTTCTCAAAAGAAAAGATTGGAAATTTATGTTTTGGACAAGTTTCATCATAGAGGACACACAACCTTATAATCTGCTCTTTCCTTGTTTGATAGGTGAATCCCAAAAGGCTAAACCAGGTTTTGAAAAGAGAGAATAGAATGCATAAAGATCAGTTTTGTCAATTCCCAGCTTATAGAGACTTATGACTCGATGCTCTCTGTTGTTGGTCAAGATCTATGATCTCCTCAGCTTCGAATCCAGCTGCTTGGTCACCAGAAAGAAACCGCATTCGCTGGCTGTTTTATTTTTTTAATTTTCAGCTCGCATAGCAAATCGTTTAAGAGCAAGTTTCTATCTTATAAAAATCTTCCTCGCTGCCCTTTTCTTTCATTAGCATGTGAATATTATTTGTAGGTACAGTTGCTTCTCCTTCTCTTTATATATACTTCTCCCAAGTTGTTTAAATAAATAAAATAAAATTGAGCAATGTAAGTATTTTTTTTTTTATTACTGGTTACAACACCAAGGTAATATCGTGGGAAATTAGGTCCGTAAAAAAAAACCACAAACAAAAAGAGTGGCAATCTAATGTAAGTGTCGCATCTGTCTTTTTATCTTTTTATCTTTCTTTCTTCGCCGAACCCATTGTTTCGGCATCAGATCAACCCAGATCCCAAATCCAACATATGCCAATATAGTTGACGAATAGTTTTTTTTTTTTTAACATTTAGTTGACGAATAGTTGACATCATAATTTATAATTTAATTTTAGGTTATTTTGTTAAGTTAAAGAGATATATATTGGTAAATATAAACAAGTAATACAGTTTCACTATAGGTACGTGGAATGAAACCTATTTTGATGACAATTTAATCTTTGAAATAGGTTAGCAAAAAATGTCATGCTAGATATCAAATATCCTAGTTGAGAGAAGAAAAAAAAAATCATGCTTCCAAAGCTCTGAAATCGATCTGATTTTCTCGTTAATTGCATTTTTTTAGCTACAGATTTTTTCAAATGATCTAGAAAGTGATCTGAGATGTTGGTGATTGTGACCAAAAATATAAAATTCTTTCTCAATTCTTAATTAATCAAAAATTCTTGGAGTCATAATTTCGGTGGCTCCGTTGATTTCAGTAAAACAATAAAAAAGTCTCGTCCCATTTATGCGACTCCGTGTGATGCAATACAACAAGGCTTGCAACTATGGCTAAATTCAGTTGAAAGTGGAAGTTTTAGAGTTTTATAAAAATTATGATAGAAATTTAACCATTCGAAAAACAAAAATAGAACAATTTATTTGACAAATTCTTCTTTTTAGCAAGATTGAAATCTCGCACTATCATTGAGAATTTCAGCAATGATGTAAACTCTTTTGTGAAAAATCAATACATTTATTCACATAAGGATTTATATATATAAAAAGTCTATAATTAAAATAAGGAGAATTTTGGCAAGAGAAAAATAAAGAGCACATGTTCTAGAAGTGACAAATGACAACCTCGTATGCGCAAACGGGTGATTCGATCATAAAAAAAAAAAGCAAATAATTCACATATGATATGGTTAAGATTGTTCAAAATGTCTTGACATTCTAACATATTTTCATCATCACCATCCTCATCCATTCATCATCATTTCTAATCTTCACATGGAAATCGTTTTTCTATCCAATTTTTCATTGAACTTTAAAACAGAAATTTAGATATAAATATTATAATTCCTTATAACTGTAGACAATGAAATAGGACAAGAGAAACCGTTGCTTTAGTATTAAAAGAAAAATTCAAGGTTCATGCATGCACTCCTTTCGTCAGATGGATAACATTTGCTAAGCAAATAAAACAAATAATATCTAACCATGGGACCATTTTTTTCTTATAGCGACCGTACCGTAATACAATTATCTTTAACCATTCGAATCAAATTACTTTATATACTATACATATTAACCTTCACCCTACATATTGTTACTAAATCACATCCAATTATAAGTCGTTTGTAAATCAATAATCATAGTGTTACTGAAATTCTTTCCAAGGACTAATAATTAGTTAAAGAATAGACAAAAACATCACGATATAATGTAATAAGATTGTTCTTATCACATTAACCAAAAATGGACTGGGAGCCACAGGTGGAGTGTTCCTGGTCAAATTGAAACTTGGAAATATTAAAGTTCTTGAAATAGAAAGTTTTTTTTTTTAAATGGAAAAGATTTTAGAAAATTGTACATCTTAAGTTGCCTAACAATCTACGCATCTTCTTCTTTCTCTATCCTTCTAAGAAAACTAATCATAATATGTGTCCACACCATTTACAGATTTACAATATGAATTGAACGTTGTACGAGATTTAAATCTAAAACCCTTGTTATAAAATTTTCTTTGATCTTTATAGTAGGTGAAATCTTGAATTTCAGTACAACTATATAATTTTTCGAAAGAATATTTTGATGCGAAAACTTAAACAATTATTGGTCAACATTAAAAAATAATAATATATTTTTTGTTCTTCTTATTATTTCACTAATGAAAAACTAGTATATAGAGAGGAGCTTCGTTGCTCAAACCCTTTTCTCTTCTCTCTTAAAAACCCCAACATTCATCTCTCTTTCTCCCTTCAAAAACCCTTAATTTTCTTTATCTCCAAAAATATTTTTTTTTAAAATTAGTGTTTCTGAAAAACCCCATTAGGATAAAATGGATTATGATGCATTAAGAATCTATTATATAATAGGAGAGTTTTCTTTCCTTTTAAAGTGTCCACATCAGCATCACTAAAAACAGTCTATTTTAAATGTTTATTTATTAAAACAATAATTATATTTATTATTATATTTAAAATTTATATCAGTAAAATCTAACATAAATTTAGAATATTATACAGATTAATGAATAGAATAAATTTTAATTGATATAAACTGGACTAATATATATATATAGATATATTTTTAAGTAAAAACGAGATATTGTTAAAAACTGAAAAAAAGAAGATTAGAGAAAACGGAAATAAAAAAATTAAGATGATGATGAAAAAAAAAAAAATAGGAAGAAGAAGAAGAAGAAAATGGAAAATATATTAAAAAAAGACATATATGAAGATGAAGTAACTAAAAAAGAAGTAAAAGAAGAAGAATACACACACTCGATAAATAAAAATAAGAGATGAAAAAAAAATTAAGAAAAATAAAAAAAACTGAAAAAAAAGATAAAGAAAAACTAAAAGAAAAATAAGAAGAAGAAGAAATCAAAGACGATAAAGAAAAAAAAATAACAAGAAGAAGAAAAACACGAAACCGATGAAGATAAATTTTGGAAAATACGAAGACTATGAATTAAAAATAAGAAAAAATAACAAAAGATGAAGATAATAAACTATAAAAATATGAAAATAAAGGAAAAGAAAAAAATTAAGAAAAAAGACAAATATGATAAATTAGATATTTAACAGTTTGTAATAATAGTTATTACTTCATATTTCTTTTTTCAGATTTAATATCAACATATAAGCCCGCGCGAAGCCTGCGCGAAGCCCGCGCGAAGCACGGAATCAATATGTAGTAGGTGAAATAGTAGAAGATGGAAAACAAATTGATGTACCACCTGGATTCAGATTTCACCCTACTGATGAAGAACTCATAACTCACTACCTCAAACCAAAAGTTTCCAACACTTTCTTCTCTGCCACTGCCATTGGTGTAGTTGATCTCAACAAGGTCGAGCCTTGGGACATACCAAGTAAGTTTCACAACCTTTCCAGATTCAAAAGTTATTTTTAATATAAGAAAATAAAAATTGGGACTTCTTATGTTTACATCTCATATATGTTTAGTAAAAATTGCACAAAACCTACAAACAGTTTGAGACTGCATGCATTTAGTATCGGTCCTCTTTTTTTATTAAATTTTGGCCCTTGTCATTATTAATTAAGGTCACCATTTTTATTGGGATGGTTTTGGTGGGATAGGGAAGGCTAAGATGGGGGAGAAAGAATGGTATTTCTTCTGTGTGAGAGACCGGAAATATCCAACCGGTTTAAGGACAAACCGGGCAACTGAAACCGGTTATTGGAAAGCCACAGGTAAAGATAAAGAAATTTTCAAGGGTAAATCACTTGTGGGTATGAAGAAAACTCTAGTCTTCTACAAAGGAAGAGCTCCTAAAGGAGTAAAAAGCGATTGGGTTATGCACGAATATCGATTAGACGGCAAACATTCTATCCAAAATCTTTCCCAAATAGCTAAGGTAATATTAGTATTTTTGTGTATTTTTTTCCTCATATTTCTGGTTCACATGAAATTGTTTTTCTGTTTGTGAATGTAGAACGAGTGGGTTATTTGTCGTATTTATCAAAAACGTGCTGATGGTACTAAGGTTGACTTCTCCGGTTTAATGATGCTTGATTCACACATTAACCGAATCGAACCGATCGATTTACCTTCGCTGATGGATTGTTCTCAGCGAGACTCCTTCCCTGGTTCGTCGACTCACGTGACCTGCTTCTCCGACCAAGAAACCGAAGACAAAAGACTCATTCAAGAGTCCAAAGACGGTTCTGGTTCTCCGGTTTGCAATGATCTTATGTTTCTACAAGACAACTATTCGCTAAAGAAGCTATTGCTTAACGGTCAAGAAAGTCAAGTTCCCGGTATTGATCCCTCCGGTTTGGCCGGTACGGTAGAATTGGATTGCTTTTGGAATTTCTAAGTTGTAACTTATGTCATCGACTTGTAGTCATGTGTTCGTGTGTGTAAAATGAAGATTCTTGTTACATTTTTTTTTTCTGTAAAAAAGAAAGAAGAAAAAATGGCAGAAAGTCAATCTCTTCTGTCATGTAGAGTTAGTATTTTACTATATCTGATAGAATTCTCAATTAAATAATATGATAATTTCCTTCGCCATATTACAATGCTAGACCAAATTAATTTATTGATAATTTTCAACATTATTATTATCTTGAATTAAACTAGAGTAGCTAGAATCCAAATTTGTTTACTGTTCTTCACAATGACGAAAGACATCTGTTTAGGCCACCAACCAAAGAGTTAATATTACGACTTATGAGTATATTCACAAAGTTGAAAAGATTTTATCAATATTATATATATATATATATATATATATATGTAGATAATGTTATGTCAAACATATATATTATATGTTTAGGTGTCATCTTGTTTTAATACCTTTTTGCCAATCTCTAAATAACCTTCGAAGGTTACATCAAAACGTATGTTTTTGAAAAACGGAATTCCGACGACAATTACCCTAAAATCGACAATTTGTTTTTGAAAAAAAAAAGGTGGTTACATCAAAAAATTCAAAAGAACGTATGTGATGAATATTAAAGACTGTGTGAGTTAGTTTTTCAACACTACCTGAATGCATAAACAATATTAAAATCACTAACACGTTTAAATATCTGGAAACCAACTTTAATCCAATATACCCAATCTTATTCCATAAAGCCCGCCCAACTATCGTTATGGCCTGTGATCATCTCTGATGAGGAGCTTCACCAAGGGGCTCCTAGTGTCAAGGTCTGTGTTGGAACATTTTTACTTTCTCATTTGAATCTGAAAAGTAGAAGACTTTGGAAACAGCATATATGAAATTTAGTTTTTATGGATGGTCTAAAGAGTTAATCAGTGTCCAAAAGACCAAAACATTTGACATTTTTTGGAGCATTATTTTCTGTGGATTGAATTTACTTACCTTTTGTATCTTCGTTTCGTTGTTTTTTATGCTGAGGAAAGCGGAAGACAAGAAGTAATGCTGCTCACTTCATTAATATCTTTTGGTCTACTCTTGTTAAATTGACAAGTCTAGCTTTGGGAATGTAAGATTATACTCGGTACGCAGCAGCTCGATATGTGTCTCAAGCTTAGGGTTTTAGGTTCGGACAGATATAATTTGCATTGTTTCCTTCTTTATGTGAAGTGGTGGAAATGGATGAACTTTTTGATCAGAAACCAGGACTAAGGTATTGTATGGAAGAAGCTCTGGGAATAACAAAACGTCTGATATATAGGCAAATATCAAATCAACACTCTGGTTTGTGTTATGACACATTGAAAAAATAAAAATAAAAAACTTACACATTGATTCCACGAGCTCATAAACAGCAAATGAGTTACTTGATTGTATATTTCATATACGATGTTAAAGAAAAGGTACATTTCATAGACAAAAATCTCCAATTAAAACAGTGTTTGAAAGACATTAAAAATAATTTCAAGCCTGTATCATGAGTCATATTCAATCTTCAAACCATTGGATCCGCATTCGGTCTTAATAAAATTGATTATTTGTATCACTTATAGCAATGTGTGATTAAAATTTTTAAAAGCTACTTATCATATAGCCAGCTTAAAACAATTCGATAATATTGAGAAATCGCTTCACATTGATTACATATGCATTATCATATAATATGATTCTATGAAGTATATATGTATCTTGGTTCTGATTGAATATTGGATACTTCCACAAGAAAGAGCCCACTTGTTTTACTTTCTGGCAGGCAAAAAGTTGTGATTGGGACGAAATTATTGTACCCTTTAATGGAAGCCAACTTTTGACAACAAAATCGTAATTACATATGCAAATTTTAGTGGACAGTTAAGTGATAAAAATGTAGTATATATGTCACAATTTGAATAAAGAAAAAATGTGTGTCTCAATAGTGTTTCTTTAGTTTTAATAGATATAATTTTCGTAATAATATCTTGTGAAAACACTATTTATCAAAAACGTTCACACAAAAAATGTTACAAGAAAATATTAATTATATTAAAATGTTATTCTCCGTTTTTCTATTAAAGTTAATCTTTCTAATAAAAAAGAAGTAGTTTTACTTTGCAATAATTTACTTTTATGTATTTTCCTATAAAAAAAATTATTGCTTCAATTGATATGATATCCTCTTGTATTGTAAATATAGTCCCTTCAAATCAAAGTAATCAAATGATCCAGGTGACGAATGAAGTCATGGCCGGTTATCAAATCTTTAAATTTATTTTTCACTAAGAACATGTCTCTAACCAAACTTACTTTTCTCGTCTTCACTTTATGGTGACATTTTATGACTTAAGCATAGCTTAAGCTTAGCGTTAGGCATTGCTTAACTCTCAAACAAAACACCCAATTATAGTTGCAAACGATTCATCTAATTTTCTTTGCTTTAACTTTAATCTAAGTTGTAATAAAGAAAGATAAATTAACTAGTTTTTACTAATCATGTATAAACTTAGTTGACGTTAATAATATAAAGCTCTATCAAAACTCAAAGGGACTTTATTTTTGAAACAAAACAAAATCACGGACTTCTCATTGTGCTGTAAATAAAACAAACGAAAAGAGACATAATAATGGATACTTAAAGGCTTGTAGAGAAAGAAATAAAAAAAATAGATGATTAAGGGCTTTCCGAACATTAAGGCTTTTTTCCTCCTAAAAGTAAAGTATTAGATAATATATTATACATTGATGTAGAAGAAATTGACCTCTCTACTTTTCATGACTTCATGTATATCTGCTTAACTTAAATTCCAAATCTGGTTAGGACTCAGTACACCGCTCTGCAAATGTCTGACATCAAGTTTAAATAGAAAAATTGCTAAAAATGCCGTTTTATATAAGTATTTTTTTGTTTTTTTTAGCATTTTAAGTTTTATTATTGTTTTTTTTAGCAGTCAAATGACGAAACTACTTTTTTTAGTCTTCTCGTTTAACGTTTATCATCTACAAGCATACACGCTAATACTGTATAGGAACTAAATCACATGTATAGTACACTATTTTCTAATAACACTTTGAAAAAGTCTAATAAAACTTAAATAAAGTTGCCAATTTTGATTGAAAATATCATGGATTTTCACAAACTTTGAAACAAAGCTATATTTCTCATTTTAAAGTTCTACTATTTTAATTGGCCTTTTACGATTCTATTAGCAATTATCGAAGAAAAAGCTAAAATACTACAAGCATGTATAAGATTTCGATTATCGTAGTAATTAATCGAAAGTGTAAAACTTAATGAGATTCTTATTTTCCACCCTTTTATTAGCCTTATAGTCTAAACTTCGTCTAAAGAAACTCTAATTATAAGAGAATTGCATACAACAACTTGTAATTAGCAATCACCAAAAGATGAGGAAATCGTCAGGAAACAAAACTCGTGTAAGAAAACTCAAACTGGTCTATAAAAATCAGAAGGGGCTTTTTTATTGGGCCTTTCTTACGGGAACTACAAAGAAAAACTGTGTTTAAAAAATATCGGTTCTATGAAAAACAAAAGAATAGATCGCTTAGATGGGCCAAGGTTTTAAATTTCCAGTGTATAGAGTGACTAGTGACTACAGTCTAACACCAATTTCGAAGTTCTAATCCTATGGCGAAATTATACATATATAGAGAAATTCTTATCGATATATCATATCGTTTTTTATATGTATAATACTGAAACTTTTGACCAGAATACAATTTAAATTAATAAATTCCATAGAACTATGTAACATGTAAGGAAAAGAAATTTTGTCTAGTAAAAATCGAATTTTGATAACAATTATCAACAAGGTCATTGACCGTAAACGATCATTTTATCACTTTCCTTACAATGACAAGAAAAAAAGAAGTGGACCTTTTTCTAATGAGAAAGTTCCAGTACCTTTTGTTATATGTAGTTTCCCTCGGTTTGGGATCGGCGTGTGATTCATTTTGAAAAACTCGACGATCTTCCTAAACGAGACTCCAACTAGAGAACCTAGAAAACGCAAATTTTAGAGAGGTCTTTAAGAAATACTATTTTTTGTTCTATCATTTTTGTTTGTAAAATGGACCATGTAAACGCTAATTTTTGTTTCTATCTTGTAGTCATTGTAAACGTGATAAAAACTCAATATAATAAATAATATGGACCCTTTGACTCTCTTGTCATTCAGAAGTCGCAGAGTAGAGTAATTAATTCGAAAAGTGTGCGTTAAAGATGAACAGAGTCACAGAGACGATATCCAACATTGGAACTTGGAAATACCACGAAATATTTACGCAAGCAGCAAAATCGTATACACAAACCATTGTAATTCTATAGTACTTCACAAACCATTATAATCCTATAGTAGTACTAAAGGGATTATTTATCAGCAAACTTTTGTCAGTTGCAGTGGTGCGTAAATTTTTCAATCACTTATTGAAAAATCTATTTACTGTATTGATTATTGAATAAATTGGTTGTGGAAGAAAAGAAAACAAATATTTATTTATCTCTATAATTTTTTTAAATGTTTTTAGGCCACTGTAACGGTTCTTTCAAAGAAAAGTTCTGCAGATAATAATTTTATAGTCTTTCTCTCTTTGGAAAAATTACTTTAATGAACCCTCTTATTTCCAATAAACGTGATAAAGCCTCAAAACACATGAAACACAAGTAAAACAACTTGACTCTAAATCCCAAAACCACACAAAAGTTGAAAGCTTTCTAAAATATATAAACAACTAAAAGAATGAATTTAATAATACTTTGTCTAGTACCCTAAAAGATGGGTTAGCCATGTGGGTGCAGAAGATCAAGTAGCCCATGAAAGAAAAAGTTAAAAACTTAAAATAATAAAGACAGATCATAACAAAAATTATGAAAATTTGGAAATAGCCATTGTAGAAGACAACAGCTGTCAAATGGGGAAGATATATCATATATTATATATAGATAAATAGATGTAAAACATTACATATAGAGAGAGACTGAAAGAAAGTGATGAGAGATGCTAAGGAAGAAGGGAACCAAACAGAGAGCACAACAGGAGACAAATCATTTTAGTTTCACTCTCTTCAATACATAATGGGCATTACCCCTAAATTTTCCAGTTTCAATTATCTACTATCACAATTATTTATTTCTCCTATAAATGTGTATATCTCCATTTATGTTTTAAGTTGCCTGTCTCCTCACTTTAATTTCTGTATATTTTCTTCTGATATTTGATTTGATTCAATCTAGTATCCTTAAAAGGATCACCCTATTACCTTGACCTATACTTGTTCATGAATACCAAGAAATAGTATCTTCGTACTATAACAATTAACTAAAAAAAATTTACTTTACGCTAAAAACAATAAAACCCAAAATATAGTATAAGCTAAAAATTGAATTATGAAGTCACAAACAAAATGATATTTTCTTATCAGAATACAACATTACAAACCCTTCGAAAAGATTTCCAAATTAGAAACTCGAAAAAAAAAAAGTAAACAAATTTAACACACATTAAGGATGATGATCAGAAGATAAAAGAAGAAGAAGAAGATTGACATTTTGGATGAATAAAGCAAAAATAAATAAAGAAACTTAACAAAAGATGCAAATGGTAAATATCATCAGTTCTTGCCTTTGCCCTTTTGGTCTGAGTTTCTGGATCCATTTTCATAGTAAAGCTGAAACTGGTGATTGTGGTTGTGTGGGTGGTGATTCTCTGCAGGCAGTGCACCGAACAAGAACTGTGGACCTCCACCTTCTGATGATGGAAACCTCTGTAGATTAGCGAGAAATGACTGATTATGATGATGATGATGATTTGTTGAATTGGACTGAAGGGTCCCCCTGTTGAAACCACTGAACCCGGCGGAGGCCACGGCGGTTCCGGCGCCGGAGGATGTCGACATGTTGAAGTCGAGATTGAACGCTCCACCGCCGTTGGATCCTGCCGGGGAAATTAGATGGTCGGGAACGAAGGAAAACTCTTGATGAGGATGATGATGATGATGATGATCGGAGATTGATGAGAAAGGGTGAGAATTTGTTTGAATCGGGAAATGGGTTTGACCCGACCCGAGAATTAAACCCGAGCTGAAATACTCCATTTGAGCAGGAGCAGGCGATGAAGAAGGAGCCATCCATTGCCGGTTTGTGTTAACCGGATCTGAACCGGAATTTAACAGATCGGTAAAGGAGGTAGTGTGACTGTTGGTATTATGGTCTCTCTCCTTGGTCTCTTTCGCTGTTCTCTCTCTAGCTCTCTCTCTAGCTTTATCCCTGAGCTCCGATCTCGATAAAGACAACCCAGAAGAGTTCTTGCTCGTGTCCGAATTGCTACTACAAGCCGATTTAGACAAGGAATTAGCCGCAGCACCGGTTAGTGTCTGGTTCTGATTCTCGTCGTCGGTTATCGGGAAATTCGTGTTGTTGAGCGAAGGAAGCTCGGAGATTGAATCTTCCGCCGCTTTGATAAGCCATTCCACGGCTTTGCTGGGCTGATCGTAACCTAACCGGTCTTGAAGGTCGTAAAATTGAAGAGCGGTGGAGACTGATAACCGGACACGCCGGTCACGTGGGCCTTTCGAAGTCCAGACTTTGCTGTGTCGATCTTTGCCACCGGAAGCTCTCGAAACCCTAATTATCCGGGAAGAGTTGTGGTGCCACCGGCTTAACCGGTTGTTGTTGTTGTTATCCACGACGTCTCCATTGTTATTCTTCATCAGATCTCCAATCATTTCATCATCTCCGATTTTCGGAAACATCTCACCAACAATCTCATGCCTAAGCTTTTCAAAATACAAACCCCATATAAAAATTAGGGCTTTTTTTTGTTTACCCCCAAATTTAAAAATCTAAACTTTAGGGTTTTTTTTCTGTGGGACTTAAAGAAGAAGAAGTGGAAAAAAAAGTGGGGTTTAACTCTCTTTTTTTTTGGTTCACCCACTGTACTTCGAAAGCATTGATGATGAAAACCCTCAGAGGAAAAACCAAAAGACAAGAAAAAATAAAATTAAAAAGGTTGTGTTTATTCTATTTTTTTAATTTAGGGTTTTTGATATTTCACCATCAAAGTCAGTAGATACAGCTTCGTTTAAGCTTGTCTGCAGCTGTTTCAGAGTCATCAAAAGCACTGTCTGAAACAATTTCAGCCACAAGCAGCCTGCAATAAAAATATGAAACAAAAACAAAGAAACAATCTCATAAGAACAAATCTCTAGATATATATAAGCATATATGTGTATATGTTACATCCTTATCTACTTTTCTACAGATGACTTTCATATATATACATATTTAAGATATCAGTTATTCTGAATCGAATTTATGCTCTACTCTTTTAGATCTGACAGATAAAAAAACAAAACAAAAGATGATTTTGATTTTAGAAAAATGGGGTTAAAGTTCTTAATAAGTCTGATGCCAAAGATAATTAAAGTGAGAAAATCAAAGAGCAGCTACAAGAATCAGAAGCTACGATGAATAATTAAGCTACTCAGTTGATACCAATCAGCAGCTTTCGGCTGAAGCGATTATCACTGGAGACTTTAAAGATAAGAAGACAAAAAATACAGAAATCGAGTTTCATGGTTTATTTAGCACTCTATATAAAGATTGGTGTTTCTAGTTATGAAAAGAGAGATGATAATAATAAATATTTAGTTGTTTCTTAGTCACCAACAAGAAAATTAATAAATTTAAAAATCTAAAGGAATCATTATTGCTGTGTTCTGGATTCTATGCAGATCGAAACAGGTGTCAAGCTCTTGCTTGATTGTATGAAACGAATTAGGAACAAATAGGCTTATTTCTAAAAAGAATTTGGCTTTCCTGGTTTAGAAACTCTCATCAGGAAATCAAAATCATAGATCTAAAATTGGGTTTTTTCGAATCAAGATTGCAAGAACCTCAAAATTAAAGTTCTTTTATCTTGTAAAGATAAGTTTTTTTTCTTCGTTTTTTCTTCATGAAGAATCGAAACTTTAGTGTATGAGAATTTGAGACTTACAGAAACAGAGGAGCTTGAACTTGAGCTTAGTTAGTAGGTGGCGTGAAAGAGGGCTAGGGTTTTAGGGATTGTAAGAAAAACAATTAGAAATAAAATCCGAGAAATTTGGAATTTCTTTGATGGTGATTTAAAGGATTGATGATCAGATGGAGAGAGAGAGATTAGGCACAAACCAGTCTTCAATATCTATTCCCCTTTTTACCCCTTATTACATGACTCTTTCACTGAATTGCCATATTACAATACAAATATCTGATTATATTATCATCCTTGGTATATGAAATTATTACATGACTTGGAGTAGCATTTAGGGTATTATGATTTTAATACAGTCCGATTGTTTTTCCCTTTTTTTCTATAATGTGAAATTGTTTGATTGTTTTAAGTTTACTACAGACACAATATATTAAATTGTCATATTGTCTGGTTTTGGCTTTCAAAAACACACAACAAATTAAATTCAACTTTTAGCAATCATTTTAAAGTAAACGGGTAACATGAATTATACTCAGTTGATTTGAGTTCGATCGCTACAAGATAAAACTTCTAGAATTAAAAAGGAAACATGTGGAAGCTTTAGAATATTGCTATCTATGGTACCATCAAGAAAACAAGGCTAATTTTGATGGAATTTCTGACAATTTCTGATGAAATTTTGATGATTTATTGATTTATAAACATTTTCTGACGATATTTATAATTTTTGGTTTTTTTAAAATTTTCATTGGAAATCTATGATAATTTTTTTGATAGATTTCTAACCATATTTATAATTTTGGGTTTTTAAAAAATATATGACGGATATGATTGCTTTTATTATAAGTATTTTTATTTATTTATTTGTAATTAATTTTTAAAATCTATTAGAATTCCGTCGAAAATTTTAAATTTGACCATGAAACCCACAAAATTTGGCCACCAAATTTTTTTGGCAAATTTTTCTAGATAAACAGATTTTTTCATGGATTTTTGATGGATTTCCGACGAAAATAAAAAATACCGTCAAAAGAAAAATAAAAAATTTTGAATTTCTGTAAATCAATGTTTTTTACGGATCTCCGACATAAAATTTTGTCACAATTATTTTTATAAATATAACTTCTTCTCTCAATTTCTCACAACTATAAATTTTAACTATCTTTTTAAAATCGATTTTTGCTCTCTCTAACATTACAAAAGGTTAGTTTCTTAAAACTTTTGTATTTTTGATTTTTTTAGTTGGTTTATTAGATTTAGAATTAAAATCAATCTATAGTTAGGTGGTTAGATAGGTTTATAATTATGTTATTTAGATTTATGTAATAAAGTTGTATTTTTATATTTGTATACATATTATATACTGAATTTGTTCTTTTTTCATGTTTTTAGAAAATGAAACAAGAAATGGATCAATTGGAGGAAGATCAAAAAGAAGAACATCATATTGTTCAAAAAACAAAAAAGGTGGAAAAAGTTCAACATAGCTATGATCTAAACAAGACTTTTTACACACTGGTGTATTTTTATAAATTTTATTTTAACGTTCAGATCAACATTTTAGACCACATAATTTTGGTTAAAACCATAAATTTGAAAAAAAAAAATTATTTATCATGACACTTCGCCTAAAAAAATAAATATCTGATATAATATGTTACTTTGTGGTTACTTTCTAGTAATAATATAGAGAGATATGTAATGTTGTTAGAAACTGAGAAAAAAAACTCAAAAAAGCAGTCATATTAACTACAAACGTTAACGTTTAATAACAAGTCACGCGCCTTTCTCTCTGCTTCTCTCCTCTTCAATCTTGATTCTTCCTGTAATAGTATATCAAATAGAGCGGAAGATCTATCTGTCGAGTTAAAAAGATCTTGAAATTGATTATCGTCACCTACTTTCTTTGTTGTTTGTGCTAACTAATTTACAAATCAGTCTCCATACGTATAACGTTATTTCGCAATTTATACATGCTTTTATCTGTTTATTTTTTTTGTTCTCAGTAACGAGTTAAATGGATCGATTCTATTCATAATGCGTGAATTAAATAAGATCAAAATGTAAAAGAATTAAACGTGAATGTGTGTAAAGTCTTAAAATGTGGGAAACTCTTCCTCTTATGAGTATTCTAAAACTAGATAAATAATTGGAAATATAGATAAGGAAAATGATAGTTAAGGAAGCATGCAATTTTTGACTTTTTATAAAACTTTCTATAATTCCTTTTCGCTCAACTAATCATATTGATCAAGAATGCAAACCCTTTTATAATTTATACAACTATGTCATTCCCACATCATAGCACTTGAACTCCATGGAAAATATACGTAGAATGTGATTTTAAGAATTAAACATCTGTGCATTCGTGCAATTTGAATAACTTTGATATGCGAATATGCGATGGTTAATGTGATTTGTGGAATTTTTTTTTTTTTTTCAAAATGATTTGTGGATTTCAATAATAGTAATTAAGAAGAATAAACGAAGCAAAAGGAGGAGCAAGTGGTTCACGACGGGCTCGAGAGCACGTGTCGCTGTCTTAACGGACACTTGCTGACTTCTCGATCACTGTTGCCTTTACCAGACGGCCAGACCAGTGCACGTGTCTGCTTCTCGGTCATCCAAATTTCCGCTTACTCTCTATTACTATTAGTACTATTTTCTTATTTAAATTTTAAAAATTTCTGCTTCTGCTCATCATCCAATTCCTTTTTATTGAATTCTAATCCATTTTGGATAAAAGTTGTTGTTAAAGTTAAAAAACATAAAATAAGCTAAAACCTATACCTGGCTCTTATTTGTTGTTGTTAATATCAGTTATTAATTGCGAGTACTAAGGATTTTATTGGCATAGAGTTATAGCTAATCATTTCTTCATTTTACATCATAGACGCATAGTATACTATCAAGCGATTTGTTAGTTAGGAAAAATGGTAATTATATTCTGTAACTCAGTAATGTATACCACTAGAATGCTCATGATGATGGATTTTTGCTCATATATAACATAATTTCGATTAATAAGTTATGAGTATCCATTCGATTCAACTAGAGTATGTAAACAATGTTGTTCAGATGAGTTTTAAGTTTCATCATCAGAATTTAATAGGTAAACTATTTTTTTTTAAGTTTGGCTGGACGAATTTTCTTTACAAATACTGAACTTGTATAATACTTATAATAATAACGTATTAATATGAGTGAATACTTTCTTTCTCTTTTTGTACTATCACATAGGCGTAGAAGATAGGTATTATGCGTTTTATTTGTTACATTGTATATTTCTAGAATTTCGAGTATTGGTATATTAAATAGAACTATTAAATATTTTGAAAACTAAACTGTTATAAATAATGGGAATTAGAAAATTTATAATAATGCATGGATCTGAATCTTTATTAGATTCGTATTGTAGTGGTACTGTTTTGACCACAGTTAGTGATGTGATGTTATGATTTTATAAACAGCCTTTTAGTGCACATGTACTATTTTCTGGTCTTGCCACTATGTGCCTTACGTACTGCCTTGCACACAATAAATTATGAAACTATTTTATTTTACTTTAGTTCTTTTTTTTTGTAATATTTTAGCCAGCATACAAATTAAACTAAATTGATTTGAAGCACAAATTAAAATGCAGTTATGGCCAAAAGAGGATTACTATTAAACATACTGCATCTTCTATGGAAGAAAAATAGACATACATTACATATATTGTGTTGAGTAAAATCAATTAAAAATTGGATTCACGTCAGGAGTCAAATTAAAATATCCGAATTTCTACCAGTGTGTTATGAGTTAATTGTCTTGTTATGTTGAAAATAAAAGTTATTATAGTACCAGTTGAAAATGTACGAATCATCTTTATACGAAGACTTACGTAAGTCTTATACGTATACGTTCACACGCTGCTCTTATTTTTCTATGCTATGTATACAAAAAGGTTCAATGATAAAGACTTCTTATGAATTATCTAGATCGATGAGCATAATTCATGACTTGATTGAGTTGTTATCTATGTAGAATTTATTGAAATAAGATTTTAAACAGCCGTGCCTGAAAGCAAAGTAAAAATTACGCCTATTTACCTATTCTGTTAATAAGTTATTTTACTAAATCGCTCCCGTTGATATACGCCTACATAACTAAATCGCTTCATTCAGTCGTCAGTTTACCAAAAAATATATAAGTAATTCAGTCTATTAAACTCTAAAATATTTGCACTTTATATAAAGCAGATAACTAGAATACTAGATACAAAACATATTAGAATTGTTGAGGTTTTAGGTTTTAGCACAACCTTTTTTGTTGGTAACCTTTATGCTAGCTAGTGGAACAAAAATAGTATGATACTAATTGAACTATTGTATTAAGGGAATTGACAGTTGAGATAAGGATTGCAAAACGTATTAAACGTAATTGACAATTGCTAAATGCAACGTATTTCCAAGCCAGACAATTTCGTAGTTTTTTTTAGAAGTTTCAACTTACATACACCGGACACAACAATACAACTTGATTAAAAATTTAAGTGGAATAAATTGGTATCTGTTTTTTTTTTTTTTTGTAAGATCAAAACTAAATTCAAGCTGACCCAAATTAAAAAATTCCTGAAGAAATACCAAAAGGATTTTCGTTAAATTTTTTTTTTTACTGACAAAACATAACAGAAAAAAAAAAACCAAAGCATGATAAGGGAATTTCTAGAACAATTGGGTCAAGTGTATTAATTAAGAGAGTAGTACATTAAAGTAGGGATAAGTGAAGTTGGTGTCCTTTTAAAATGGACCATTAATGAATCTAGTGGGTCATGACTCATGATTAATTTTGTCCATTAAGCTTCTACATGCTCTAATATGGAATAAACCCTAATTGTGATTTGAAAGATAGGTCCACTCAGAGGTATATACCTTTCCATTATTAGATTAACTCTAATTAATTTATTATTACCCATTACATGTAAATGAATTCTATCTAGTCTAGCTAGGAACTAATCAAACTCGATTTTTATTGGTTATTCATTTATCATTCAGACAACAATGGAAGGACCACAACATACGCCCATATGTTTGTTCCAACATCTATATTATATAATACATATATATGTTTAGTTAAAGTGAATTCAAAGTCATGTTTCCATCAAGGTTTAAAACTATGATGAAAGCAGACGAAATGACGTTAAAAGTAATATTTAAATATAACGAAATAAAAATGTTATGAATTTATGGATGAAATTAATTTTCCAGTATTATGTACTTGAGTTAAGGCCCAATGTAACTATATCTTTTGGGCCGTAATTTAAACACTAATAAACCAAAGAATTTAGTTTTGCAGCCAATCTCTGCCTGAACTCGCTGAAACGCCAAACGCTAGCGTTTTGCGTTGGGGTCACAATTTTTCGATCGATCAATCGCTGCTTGGGCGTTTCAAGATAAGCAAACAACTATTTATTACCCCTATCGAATCTCGACATTACCATTCACAGATTAACTGACTTCTATTTAAGTCACTAAATCTCGTTTATTCAAATTTCTTTAATCTGGACGATCACGTTTCCTTTTCCTTTATAAGCGGTCTAAAAGTGGAAAGTCCACAAAATTTAGGTCCTTTCCGATAATTCTGGCAAAATAGAAGGTATCACCGGTCGTCTAAAACAGGGGAAGATATAAAACGCATTCAGTCTCCCCACCATTTAAATCCTACTACGAATATGGAGACAAGGTTTCCAAATGTTGCAAAAATCACCCTTCCTCTTTATCTCCGAAGACAATGATCACAATAATCTCAGTTACACGAGCTTGAAAGATGTGATCTCGAGTTCCGATGGCTTTGGTTCGATGTTTTGTCACCACCAACACAGTGTTCCTTCGCAAGAAGGGTTTCTCTTGTCTGATATGGATTCTTCAAACATCGCAATTCGAAACGAGCTCGTGAAAAGAGCAGCTTCGATGTATCTTCAATCTTCTATGATTGTCTCTGTTCCTGACACAAACTGGTTTCAGAGATTCTGTTTGAAGGCAAAGCATCAAGCGGTTGCTGTGGTCGATTGTCTCAGACCGGTTTACCGGATTTTCGCTTGGTCTAGTTGAGAGATGTCTTTAGAAAGGGTGATTCAAAGTTGTAAATGTGTAAATACTGTAGATAATCAAATAAAGTTTCCCATTTTCAACATGACGATCTATAAACATCAATACCCTCGTAGAAAAATAAGCATCATACAAGTTTTTTTTTCTTCTAACGTTTTTTCTTAGCTCGTTTGGAAGAAGACCTCAATGTCTCCTTTTTCAGATCTTCTGGAGCTTTTGTGTCAAGAAACGGCTGCAAAATAAAGAAAGCAAAATTAAACAAGGTTACAACACGTGAAAAAACCGGTTTAGCCTAAACCGCAGTTTGTTTTGCCATTGAGTTTCACCTATCTGACCAAGTTTTAACAATTTCAATCTTAACTTGAAAGAAAACCGTCTGGATTTAATGCCCTCGGTGGTTCTTTGCGTTCAGGACTAAACTTATAACAACTAAAAATCCGATACTTAGAGTAATTCATTAGTTTCTTGCTCTGATCCGTTTTATATCTATAGAGCCGATATGTGTACCAGAAGGCTACAAGTTCATATACAAACAATTGGAACATACAAGGAAACAAACGAGCTTTAATGTCTTCACAATGAATAGAAAAGAGATCGGTTTCTAACCTCGTCCTTTCTCTTTTGGAGCTCCAGAAGTTCTCGGCAATAAGCAAGACACTCGGTGTGGTAAGCTGCAGCTAAATCCTTGATCAAGGCCTTCCTTTTGATGATCCCAATCACTTTCAAAAACAAATGAATTCAAAGCACTTGGTTAGCTTAATAGCGAAATTATCACAATGCAGATACTAAGGGTTTGCTTCAAAAACATCAGTGATTCATCCTGAAGATAGCGTTAATATATTGGAGAATGCAGATAGAGAATCACATAATACATTCACGAATCTTCATTTGAATTTTGTGAAACTAAGAAACAGAATGAATTGTTTACATCAATTGCAGCTCTAATCTCTCACTATCAAAGGAAAGTTAAGCTCTCAATACACTTGTCAAAATCGTGACTATGCAATACCAAGGATTTTAGATTAGAGTTTTTAAAAATGCGAGCTTTGGGTACTATTAACAATGGCGGAGAAGAATTTGGGGACTGCACATCCGAGTACGTGAAGGGAGATTAAACAAAAAACCCAGTAAGGTATGAGCTAAGAAGTAGAAAGCCAAACCCTAGAAATCAATTTTGATATTGCAGAAGAAAAGGGAAAATCAGAGACTTACTTCGACTAGGATCGAAATTAGCCGGACGAGTAGATGTTTCCGGCGGCGGATCTTCGGGTTGGGATGGAGATTCCGGCAGAGGAGGAAGAGGAGGTTCTGGTGAAGTTTGCTTCTCTTCTTCCGCCATTGAAGGAGTTTCAGATTTCTTTGCCCACAAAGATTTTTTTCTTTGATCATATAAACCCCTAATTGATCAATTGTTGTTCTTCTTAAACAACTAAACCCTCAATTTCCAATTTTCACTGTGATTTATTTATTTCCGTTTTGTTTTGTGTTTTCTGTTGAACAAAGATGACTTCACTAACAAAAAAAAAAAAATTAATGACTCCACTATTTTTTTTTTTTAATTATCTTTCTATGCCCATGATTTATTTCATGTGAAAAATAATATATAGTTGTTATGGAAGAAGTGAAAAACAATATCTCTACACCATTCTATTTCTATAACTTTTGATATATGTTTGAATATTAAAAAAAAAGCCACATATTTCATAAACGGATTCAATATTTAACGATAGAACTAATTTTTTTTTTTTTAACACAAACTATATCAATTTTAATAACATTTTTTTTTTCCACTACCCATCTAGTACAATTACATTTGGCCCAACGTATTAGTGATTCGTGGACCACCATCGGTGAGCTCGTTATGATCGATTTGGGAAAAGATAACGCCTCTTGCTCGAGCTCCTTTCGCAAGACTATCCGCCTGGACATTTAGATCCCTCGGAATATGAGATAAAATGCACTCTGAGAAGCTCTCTTGAAGGAGGCGGAAGGTATCTAGCTCTGCATTAAAGGACGGCCAATCAGCTGAAACCTCAGTCATACGCACCAGATCCAAACAGTCGGATTGAAAGTGAACCGAAAAAATCCGTCTCTCTCTCAAGCAGGACATAGCCCAGAGGAGGAAATCCATCTCGGCATGGAGGGCCGAGAGGCTTCTACGGCATCCCTGAAGTCCAAAAAGTTCAAATCCTCCGCCATCCACAAAGCTCCAACCGAGGCTGCTAACCTGTCCGTGATTGATCCACGAGGCGTCAATCCGGCATATTGGGGTTTGCGGTACCACGGGTATCGCAATGGTGTCCGGTGGAAGGCCTACTTCCTCAACTTGAGTGTCGTCGCTGTCTTCAGGTTGGTTCGCAACTCTCCAACTTTCTGCTTCCACTTTTGCATGAATCCATGTATCCTCCGGGGAAATTTCTTTCCCTTTGAAGATCTTCTCGTTCCTTGCTTTCCAAATAAACCATAGGATCCAAGGATAAATATCCTTTGTAGGGTCCGTCATGCCTAGCTCTTTTGTTTTCCAAAAGAGAAAGCTCATATTTTGATAAATAGAAGTACTCGGGAAGACACCCGGAAGGGACGGAAAGTCCGATAACGCCGAGACTTGTAATGCCGGGAAACATAAGAACAGTAGGTGGTTTATGGTTTCCTCGGGATCCCCACAGCGGGGACAGCGTTTGTCGGAACCCAAATGTCGGTATGTGAGGTTCTGGCATGTCGCCACGCACCCAGATAAAGATTGCTACATAAAGTGTTTCATCTTTCCAGGTGAACAAACTCTCCAAACATGTCGTTGTAAGGCCGTGATGTTTGGTTCCCTAAACGCTTCAGCTTCTCGTTCAATCTTCGTTCTTCTAATTAGATCATATCCAGACTTGACTGAGTACAGTCCCGATATGGAATGATTCCAGGCATATCCATCCAAGGTCCGGGTCTGGCTAGGTCTCAGCCCGAGAATAAGGGGAATATCCTCAGGATGGAAAAAATCTCTAAGCAAGGGAACATCCCACTGTTTGGTGTCTCGGCGGATGAAAGAGTATACCAGGATTTCCGGCTCTTGAAATCCGATATGCGGGGCCGGTTTAGGCGGCCGAGCTCTAAGGTCAGGAATCCACGGTTCGCTCCACACTCTCGTATTTAGGCCCGATCCAATTGTCTTCCTCAGTCTCATCCTCAAAAACGGTTTTGCGGCCATTATACTCCTCCACCCATATGATGGTGAGTAAACGTTCCGGTCTTCTAGAAGGTCGGACCGGTTAAAATATCTGCCTCTTAAGACCCGAGCCAAGAGTGATGAGGGATATTGGATAAGGCGCCATAGCTGTTTTGCAAGAAGGGCTAGGTTAAAGTCTTTTAAGTCTCAGAATCCGAGGTCTCCCATATCCTGAGGGACACAGATCTTATCCCAAGCAATCCAGTGTATTCCGCTACTATTCTGTTTTGAGCTTCACCAAAAATTGGCAATGGCACTCCGCAATTTGTCCGTCACTCCTTGGGGCAATAGAAAACATGACATGACGTACGTAGGGACGGCTTGTGCAACGAATTTGATTTGAATTTCTTTTCCACCTTTGGAAAGAAGTCTTGCAGACCAATTATTGACCCGATTGCTCAGACGGTCATGAACATAGGAGAAGACTTTCTTCTTTGATCCACAGATCTGCTCTTGGAGGCCGAGGTACATCCCCATGCCGCCCTCTGATGATATCCCTATAGCATTCTTGATGCCTTCCTTTAAAAGCGGATCCACTCTATTCCCGAACATAATGGAGGATTTTCCCAAATTAAGTTGTTGTTCCGAGGCCCCTTCATATGTATCAATAATCCTGAAAATCTCAGCTCCCTGCTGAATTTCCGCTTTACAGAAGAAGAGGCTATCATCAACAAAGAAAATATGTGAAACCGGTGGACTTACTTGGGCTACTTTCAGCCCAGAAATGATCAATTTTAATAACATTTGTTCATTTACTTTGTTAACTTTGTTTACAAAAAGTATATATACCCATCCAAAAAGAAAATAAAAATAAAAAATGATCTAATTAGCTAAACTTATTATATAATATAGCAAATGTTGAACATTTATAATAATATAACATTTAACAAATGTCAAACAATAGAATGTAATTTTAAAAATAAAAACGTCCCATGTCTCTATAATGGATTGCATAACAGTAACACAAGTTATAACAAACTTTAATAATGAGATTTTGTTGTCAGGAAAAACACCTTAAAATAGTCCAACTGGTTTATTCGGGTAAGTATATTAACTGTTTTTTATATGACTTTCTAGAATCTCTAAATTTAACACAAGAATTAAATTAAGAGATTAGCGCGTCGTTGTCCAGATATTTTTGGATATTGACATTTTCCCATACTTATATAACCGTAAAAAGTCTTCTAATCTTCTCTATATAAACCATTCCTTTGTTCCCATCTTTTTTATCCAACACCTTAATCTTGTTTTCCTCTGCCCATTTCAGGACAACAAAAAAACTTATCTTTCATAGTTTCATAGCAATGACGAATGAAATGAGGTTTATTCAAACATGGGGAGAGGTAACACCTTCACTGTCTCATCGGATTCAGCAGAGACGATTATCGAGGAGCTTTTCACAGCCTAAATTGGAAACGATTTTTGAAGAAGGATGTGATAGTTTTGATGTTAAGGCGCCAAAACGGATTGTGATCTTTCTTCCTCTTCTCCTCTCAATGCTTTTGTACTTTGTGTTGTACAAGACTATCAAAGACTATTGATTGCAATCTTTAGCTTGTAATTTTGGATATTTACCTCTTGTTAATAACATAATCTCTTCATAATTTTAGGTCCAAAAGAGTTAAAGACTTGAAAGTTGGTTCTGTTTACTAGAAATGTGTTTTGCAAAGGTCAAAAAAACAGTTTTGACCATGTTTTGAAGAATTAAACCGGCGCACAATTTATCGGCATAATTTGTTTGCAAATTTTGATAATAGCTAGTTTTGCTGATTTAAAGGGGGTGTTTTTGCATATGTATTCATTTGTCAAAAACTCGAGCAATGTTAGAAAAGATCTTGTTGGTAAAAACACTCCGAACTTATGAGCATAGACAAATGTTATAAATTCATATTTCAGAATCAAATGAACAAAGTAACATTATGAATTGAAACGGAGACATATATAAAAGATTGATATAACACCAAAAAAATAAACTCTTCTGCGTATACATAAAGTACATTGAAATACTTTATACATATGTAAGTATGTAAAAATGTTCAAGAAAATCGAACAACACGATCGTTTCTATACATCAAAACACAAGAAACGGCCGATATAATCGCCGGCAGGAGAAGAAGAAGACGGTGTCGTTGTCCCACGGCAACTTTTGAATGATAATAATCTTGATGATTAAAATCATCAGACCTTTCTTCCAAAATGGTCTCTAATGTCGGAGACATCGGACATCTCCGACGAGAAGTCATCTGCGCCGGAGCCATCTCAGCTCCAGATAAAAATCTCCTCCTTCCTAATTCTGTTCTAACCATGACCTCTAGATCTTTCACAAGTTTTTCTTCTTCTTGAAAATGTTTTAAAGAGAAAGTCAAGAGGAAGCTGTATTTGGTTTCTATTTAATCTCAGTGGTGAATTGTTGGTGTATATATAGAGCAGAGCCTAATGCACGGCGACAACAAAACAGAAAAACACGGTTTCAACAATTGTTTGGAAAGAAAATTTAAGGAAAAAAGAAACAGATGGATCAACGGCTGTCTCTGGTCCAAGTTGAGCTAGTGGTTTGTATACTACACACGTACGTTTTTCTTTTGATATTGACAAATTTAGAGATATTGTAATAATAACGACAAAATTTTCTCTATTATTTGATGATGCACAGAAACAAACACAAAAAAACAAAGAGGAAACAAAAATCATGATATCTTTAGGATACTTTTACAATCAAGATCTTTTAAAGATGATTTGAAGGCTAACAAAACCGGTTTATATCAAAACCTAAAGTGTGCATTAAGGTTGATAAAATAATTGAACCGAAAGTTAAATAAGGTTAAATGTCCAAGAAAAAAAAATCTGGGAATTGTTTAAACTAGACATACAATTTAGTTTAGAAAGCCTGATTGGCTGATTACTCTTCAGTCTATATTAATCTTTTCTATTCAACAACCAGAAAATTTTAACGTACGTGGAACGGGATTGAATACATCTAACAGAAAACATAATCACTACTATATTTTAAGACTTCCGATAATAGCATCATTCAGTTAATGCTCCTTGTAGTCAACTTATTATTTCCACCATTCACACTTAGTGATTCTCTGGAACCTTTCAAGTTTTATTGTAAACGTATAAAATATCATTTAAAAAAAAGTATTATTAGACTTTTAAACAATACGGAGTAATATTTAAAAATATCCGAAAAACTTTCACAACTTGAATACCGGAGAATACGACATGAGAAGAAGAAAGAAGAAAGTTCGGAGAAGTATACGAACAGTTGAAGTAGTTCTTAAGTATCGGTCCCACATGAAGTCTTGTTTGGTTAGCTCTATCTCTACGTGGACGAGAGACATGACAGATTTTCTATGCAAGTTTGGGTTCATTCAATTTCTTTTACTTCTAGAAGTCTTTTTCTTTTCATTCTATTTCTACAGAAACAAATAACTCTTTCTTTCTTTATAACTTCAACCAAATATCTCTTTCGATCCCCATAAAGAAGCAAAATACCTTTAAAGGGCACAACACAAACTTATTTAAGAAATTCAAATATCTTATGACTTTTCACAAAATACTTAGACGTTTTGTGGATAAGAGAAAATCAATTATAGTTCACAATTTGTTTGTTTAAATACTATTTTTTAGCAAAATAAAAGGAAGCCTTTTTTTTTTAAATAGGTAACAAAATTAGAAAAATCAGTTTGTAAGTTTACAAACACAAATGATCACCACAAGAACAAGAAGGTCTTTGAGGTGATGACACAACAAAACTTGGAGTAAATGTTAAAAAAAAACAAAACTTGAAGTTATAGACTTTTCGTAAAAGAGAAAACTTGTACAATGATCGAGGCTCAGCTTCAAGGAGGCAACTGAATCGATAAACCGTAACTTAATAACAAATTTAACAACAGGTGATGATGATGAATGAGGAAAAAAAATGCTTTGCCCTCCTCCATTTGAACCATAAACCGTAACTTAATAATATTGCTGCTGGTTGTTGAATATTTTTAGCGAACCGGATTAAACCGGGACTAATTTAAAAAGTCCATCTTATATTTAAGTATTAAACGAACAGATGTACGGTCACCAATTCGAACCACGGCAAAGTGGTAGTGACTCGGCATGAAAAGTGAGTCGCACCAGGGTTCGAGCAACATATTGGTACCCGAGGAAAGAGAAGTGAAAAATCTTCTCTATGGTCACGAGAAAGTCTCGTGGGATGCCGAAAATTCAGAAGAACCAAAATGTTCTCTCTGTGTGGCAGACCTTGTGAAGGTCTGTGGTCGGGATGGTTTTACTTCAGTAATCATGCTATCTGGGGTAGCGATTTGAGGTAATTTAAATTACCTTTCTTTTTCTTCTTTCTTTTTTTCTCTTTACATTAATTAACTTTTAATAACCGTATACATATGAAGATAATGCATGTAAGAGGATTTTGTTTGGAGAACATAATGAAAGAAAAATAATATATTTTTTTTTCCCCAATCAACTCAAGATTCAGAACCTCACTCCATCGTCCAAGTTCCACCTTTTGCCCACTAAGAAGGCATCAAATTTTTATATTTTACTGTGAGCTTCATTTCTGTAGCTTTAATCAAGATAGAAACACACCTCTCTGGATACTTATACTGTAGACGAATACAAACGGCTTTTTTGCTTATCTAAAGAGCCACGTGATGTTGTTGAATATGATGGATAGAACTAGAACTAGAACTAGAAGAAGCAGCTATCTATAAAAAATGAATGTCTCTCAATTTTATCTGTATTTCCTTGAACGTTTTTGTAATCTTTACCTAGTGTCTCCTCCTTTGTACAAGCTAGTATATATACTCTGTCTATAGATGCAATAACATTACAGTCTACTCCTACACGGTATCAGAGCCACCTACGACACCTAAAACGTAGTTTTTTTTTTGTTTTTTTCACTGGCTACTCTTCTTTTCATCTTCTTCTGTTCTTGCCGCCTAGGTACCTCCTTTCAATCTCTTTATTCGATTCTCACTACAGCTGAAAGCCTGAAACAGTTGACACCACTCAACAAGCACTACTCAATGTGTGAACATGTCGATTGTTACAAATATTAACTCCAGCAATTACCTGCAGTTGAAGATGATGGATAAAAGCAAATTAGTTGTTTCGTAGAAAGAAGCAGTCACTGGTGAGCGTTAATATCTAATCTCTAATCATAAAATATCGGACTTCTAAAATGATTTTGTATATTAGTTTGGAAGAAAGGCATGAGATAACATAGTCAACATTTACTACACATGATGAAGCTGTTATGGTGACTAAGCTTGCGTCAACTAAGATAATTTACTTAGTGCCCCTGTATTTTAAACTTCTACAGGTCAAAGGTATAGGATACATCTCATCTTCGACAACAACATCGGTTTATATGACGCTTAGTCCCATAAGAAAAAGGCAGCCTGAGCATCTAAATTACATAGGGAATATAGAATTACCTCTTAGATAATCTGCTTATGAGAGCTCGCATTCACCAAATAGAGTGGTTTTTTGGCTCCTTCTGAACTGTAACCATAATGCATACATGAAAAATGAAGAAGGGCAAGTCTGTTTCAGAGAAGTAGGCTTATTGTAACGATTACATATCAGAGAGATAATAATAGAAAAGCTTAACAAACCTTATCTTTATCTTCTCCATTTCTTGGTTTCTTCGTTTTTTCACACCTGTACTTAACACTTGACCATAAAATCCTAATCAAACAACTCTGAAACGACTTCTATCTCCGACAAGAAACGTATGTACTTTGTCTTTAACCTCAATCCAACTAACTCCTGGTTCATTCTTAACTCAACTGCATCACCTATGATCCCAACTCCTTTGAGAGAATAGATTCCACATATAGCTCTCGTTTAGCTTCACAAAGTAAAAATATATGAGACAAAGTTTGACCTTTCCATCTTCACAAACAAATCTAGAGCAAAGCCATAACGTTCATTAATAACTGAACCAACTATTATAGCATTCCAACAAGTCTTTCTCTCTTTGAAAACAGCAAGTGAATCTACAAGACTTTAACACACATACTGACAAGCATATTGAACGAGCAAGGGTCAAAATGATAAAATGAGATTTACCTATGTACCCCATTAGTTTGGCGATAACTTAAAAAAGCTCAATTTCTTCTTGAAAACGTTAAAATCAAGTGAACTCGTTACAGGCCAAGAGACTAAGCAAGTGCATCTATTTAAAAGCCAGAAGATTCTTCTTGGTCGTAATCGTTCTTGCATTACACCGAAAATAAGCGTTGACCAAGTAACCAAGTCTGGTTCAGGACTTTCATCGAGCAGGTGACGTGCGTAACAGAGCACTCTAAACTTGCCATAATATTTCTGAGACTAAGAACTCCGAAATCTCTAACCTTTCGATAACCCAAATACAATAACGTGGGAGTGAATCTTTTAGGAAACATAGACTCGGACAAAAGCGAAAACGGTAATCACAGTGATGATGATGTGGAGATAGAAGCATATTGTCCCTCCATCCATTTGAAACATAAGCGTTCAGTGATGATGATGGGTTCATCTTTACATCGAACTTACGGAACCAGATTAAACCGGGAATTTACTTCAATTATTAAAAGAATAAAATATTAAATAAATAGAGGTACATACACCAATTCCTTTAAACAAAATAAACATGACAACTCTCTGTCTGTTTGTATACAAAGGTGTAAGACAAATAATGTTTTTGTACAAATTGAAATGAAGAGACATTCCTCGAAAGGTTTGAATTTGTCACATTTTGCATAAACATGACAATCAAAATTGTTAAGAACTCAATAAGAAAGAGAGCTGTATACAAAAGCATCCAGAGGACAGAATCTAACCCTTTCTCTCGCTTGCCATAAGAACCAATTAAGCTGTTTAAAAACGTAATTATCCGACATGAAAAGTTTAGATAGATAAGAATGTATCATCTATTCATGGCCACTGCGTTCATCTTTTAAAATGCGACCATGGAAAATGCTTTCGATGAGCTCGACAAGGAAACATAATCGAGAGCCAAGCCATAATGTTAATGAATATCAAACAAGTTATTGATAGCAGTCCAAGAAACAACGTCATAGTCCTTTCTCTTTGAAAACAAGAAGCGCATCTCCAAGGCAACCCGGCTTTGGCATAGATATCGACAAGCGCATTTATCGACCGTACACTGAGTCCGATTGTTCTTCCTCCATTTACGTCTCCTAAGCTTGCACACAAGCTAAACTTGTGGTGTGGCTTTATTCCAGCATATTCCATGTGACCTAAACAACTCAATTCCTTCGGAACAAAGAATCATTTTGTAGATGAGAAGAAAAGAAGAACATTCCCAATAAACCACAACTTTTACAGCTAAAATTCATTAAAAACCTTCCTCGAAGCTTCGACTTTGTCGCATTTTTGCATTCATCACAATCAAAGTATTGACCAATAAACTAATCGGATATGTATCCAGTAACAATGGTGATTCCATGAACCTGAGTCCCTAATTTCAAATCCTTTTTAGCAGAGCACAATTTGACAATTCTAGGGGAAATGGGCTCGTTATATCTTAAACGAAGCAAAACCATCAGAACCTTTGGGATATAGATATACTTTTCGTAGAAGAAATAAAAAAAAGTTACAAAACGTACTGTACTAGTAAACCGATGGTGGAGGCTCAAAATTTCAGGATCGAAAACGAAAACGGTGACAAGAGTGATGATGGATGCGGTCGAGACTCGAGAGAGGAAGGTGCATTTCACGAACCGAATTAAACCGGGTATTAAGTTCCAATGGTTTAATTAAAAAAAAAAAGCTTATTTAAGTATTAATCAAACTGATGTACGGACACCAATTCGAGCCTAGGCAGAGTGGTTGTGACTTAGCATGGAAAATTGAGTCGCAACCAGGGTTCGAGCAATATATTGGTACCCGAAAGAAAAGAGGAGATTGAATTTCCTCTTCCTCTCTCGAGGAGATCCTCGTGGGAGCCTTGCTGCCTAATTAAACAGAGGGAAAGACTTTCTCTGTGGCCAAAAGGTCTCAAGTTATAAGAGATCTGGGATCGGGATTTGTCCGTCACAGAGAACATGCTTATCTGAGATGGCGATTTGAGGTAATCCAAATTACCTCTTTTTTTTTTCTTTCAAATCAAACAACTCTGGGGAAATCTTGAATCATGAGGAAATAATACAGTGAGTCGTCACTGTTTGGTTGTAGTTGTAAATTAAATTATAATTACTTGTCTCGAACAGAAATACTTCTTCTCATCCTTCACTTCAAGAGTTGACGCCTTTTATACTATGAATCTTAAACTTTTTAGTGGGCTCAGTTTATTGGGTTTCTTGTGACTTTTTTTTTTTTTTTTTAAACTTTTTAAATGGATTTGAATGTTTGCCCAATAAGCGAACCATTCTAATTAAACCGAGAGGTGAAAAACTTCAGGATATAACTAGGAATAAAATAGAGGTTATGTCACCAATTCGAACCCACACAAAGTGGTCGAGTCTCGCTAACGTTGAAGCTCCCACCAGGGTTCGATTCCATATTGGTACCAATTTCCGGGCATTAACTCCCCCGAGACATTCCGGGCACTCAAGTCCCGAGACATTCCCAGTATAATCTGGAGCAACTTTCCGCCACAGTGCGGCACATTACCAGTAAGATCTGGTCTTTCCTTCCGCCACAGTGTGAAAGCGACTTGTCTCTTCCATGGTGGAAGACCCAAATGAGGTAATCTTAATTACCTCTCTTTTTCTTTTTTCTTTTTCTTTGGTAACAAAACTATTCTCTAAATATCTGAAATCAAATCTGTTTCTCATGTGAAATCTGCTCTCGGCAATTATGAACTTAAATATATATTCTATTCTCTAGGGGTTTTAGACAAAGATGAATGATTTGGATTGAATCTCCATAAAGTTCCAATTAATCAACTCCGAAACCAGAAACGACACACATATATGCTGAATTAGAGAGACGATGAGGAAGACGCAACTGTCCTTTCATATCTTTGCCCTGGAATTGTTTCTGGTTTGTGAAATTATTTAACGAACCGGTCTAATCCGGGAACCGTTTGGTTTATATGTGAGCGTTTAACAATCATTGTTTTGTTTTAGGAATCAGATTATTTTCCCTTTTCGTCTATATCAACTATCGTGTTCTTCTGCAGATTCTCCAGTACGGCGGAGATAGGGTTTCGTTTGTGACTCGGTGGATTCTCAATTCTATTGGGCTTTTAATGGGCTTCAATATATTAAACGCTTATCTCATGCTTTTTTCTTTGTTTCCTTTGCCTGCTATTCTTTTTTGTCAAATTTCTTTGTTTGTAAAGTGTGAAAAATCAAAATCTTTAACTAACTAAACATTTTTATTTAAACAACTTAAATGTGTTTCGTAATTATTATTTTTTTCATTAAATCCACCCGAATCCCATAATGTTTTCTCATTCAGAAACACTTGTTTAAATTGATGAGCTTATAATATACGCAGACCTAAAATTAGCAAATGTAGTAAATACTCATGAAATGTTACGTACGTTTAGCATAAAATTATTATTATTATTGGCATCAATACATCTCTATCAGAAACAATTTCCATGATTTTTGTTGTTGTAAATAAGTCTCTTTTGAGAGATCATCAAAAGAATGAATATTGAACACACAAGTTACATATATAGATGCATATTACAAATAAATAAGAATATACATAGCGATATCATTTACTAGAAAGTGGGAAACCAATACCATTGCGTGTTGTAGGAAATGTCGCAAACAACATACTACAAAACACACCTACGCCTACCGGCAACGCCGTGAGAACCTCCAACGCTTCCGCTGACGGCGCCGGAAAAAAACAGTTCACCGCATTCCGGTCAAATAAAACCACCGCACCAAACACCAGCAACGACATGAAAGCATGAGCAAAATCTATAAACCTTAGTTTATATCTCTTAGATAACTCTTGAGGAAGCGTCGTGGATCCATCGATGATCCAAAACCCGTGGAAAGTTGCAAATCCGTAGCAAATAGTACCGTTTTTGTCTTTGTAAGAATCCGTGAAGCTAAGTATGAAACAAGAGAATCCACATATTGCCACTAGAATCGACGTCATGATCTTGCTAGCTAAATCGCATTGACCGCCATTTGAGAAAATTGGCGATAAGAGCTGAAACGCTAGAACCGTTCCTGTTGGTAAGAGATTAGCTAAATGAGCTGTGGTTTGAAACGTTTGACCTATTGCCTTTTGTATCCATGTTGTTCTTTCTATATCCGGAAAGTCTTTGTCTTCTCCTAGAAGTGGCTTTTCGATCTCTTCTTTAGTACTTCTTTGATCATGATCTTCAACAACTTTGATCTCCATATCTTTCAAGCTTTTTCCTTTGTTCATTCTCTATAAGTTTTTCTCTGATTTTGGGAAATTTTTTTGGTTTGATTGATCTAATTAGAAGGAATAAGGGAAAGGAATAATGATGAAATATAAGTACGTAGATGATATATAAGAGAGGTGAGAGAAAGCTACATTTTGTTATGCCTTGCAAGTAACATTTGAGACCAAACCAAAGTATTTGTTTAAGTGAAGTATGTTCTTGCACACCCCTCTTTATTTATAATTAAGTGATGATTATAATTCCTTTTGTTTCAATTTTATGAAATCGATACCTTAATTTTAAGTTTTTGTTTAAAAGAATTTTGTGACATGTCTTAGGTACTTTCCCACCATGTCGTTAACAAAAAAATAATTTTTTTTGTTGATTTTGTTTACATTTAAATTAATATCGTAAAATCCTAGTGGGATTCTCATTTGGACCGTGTCAAGTGTCAACGAGTATAACGTCGTATAAGAAATAATTTGTTTTGTTGATTTTGTTTACATTTAAATTAATATCGTAAAATCCTAGTGGGATTCTCATTTGGACCGTGTCAAGTGTCAACGAGTATAACGTCGTATAAGAATGATATAATCGAACGTTTGAAACAATAACTTCGAATCTTTGAACATAAACATATTTGCTTGTGTTGAGAATCTTTCGATTATCTCGGAATTTTTTTTGATAAGACTGATCCATCGTGGAGGTCAAGTAAGGTCTAACAAAAAGTAATTATTTGGTAGCAGAAATATCTTTTACGTAAAGTGCTTTGTCAACCACGAATTTTCGTTTTACTTTACCTTTATGGTTTCTTTTTAGATAAATTTTTTATTTAGATAAGTAGCACATATTTTAACTAACGTCAGTTTACAAAATCATATAAGACACGCATTGAGACCTGCACGTTACATATTTGTTTATTATAAAATTTCAAATTATTTTCTGAGGACTCGAGAAGAATGTCGATATGAAATTTAATGAAAATTGGGCCATTTAGTACCAGGAAACCCAAATGTTGAATAAATACTAGATTAGTTTTGTTTCAATAGAAAAAATAATAATAATCGGATGTGATCGTTCTCTTATCGAAACAAACGACCTGGAAAGAAAGCTGATATTTTTTTTTTAACGAAATTGTTAATTCTCAAAAGTTGATGAACTTTTAAGATAATTTTTTATATATTTGAAATCCGGTTTCGTTATTCATATGATTTGATCTTTGCGTGGTTGCTTTCTTTGCATTGTTCTCAACTCCAAAGCAATAAAAGAGGATCATAACTTATTATTATATATGATATTCGCATGAATCAATAGGACTAAAGATGCATATATGTTATGATGATTGTCAAGTGTACGAAACAATATACATCCGCATATTATTGCCAAGACTTGGAAGAAAGATCTTGTTATAATTTGGACGGTGGACCTAACTTGGCTACGTGTGGAAGATTTTTGGTTTTTGGCTAATTATTAAGTTTCTTTTTTCTTTCATTTCACGTTGATCTCGTAGATATACTTTCTGTTGTATGTATAACGTACTCATGTATATATTATCTTGTGTATAAAAGATCAACATTCTTTTAACAAATTAACCACAATGCAACATATTTCTATTATATCTACAATTTTTATATATATAAGAACATTTTTTTAATCATGTGGGACAATGTATCATCTATATCAAATTCAAAAATAGGATTAAAGATTGTCTCTCATGTGTTCAAATGAAAAAGCAAGATCTTAATTTATTTCACTTATTGCATCTAGTGAAGAAAGAAGAAGCGCGCAAAAGTGCTAACTTATTGTTGACAGTTTGGATTAGTATTACAGGAGTAGTAATTAAAGTATGGATAAGTGACAAAACCCGTAAATATTTTATGTCTACATTAAGGAGCACTATAACTAGGAAAGATGGAAATATTACATTTTCTAGCACTCTATTAATCTTCATACAATGTTTAAGCCCTCTATAGTGACTTAAGCCCACTATAATGTTATATTAACATTTTTTTTTCAAAACATTCTGAAATTTTCATTAGGTGTTACTGTTTTGATGCGTCCAAAGAAAGGAGTGCGAAACTGTGTAGTAAGTCATACCGTGAGAAATTGAGAATAATATGTAATGAGCAAGATGGGCATAAAACCCAAACCAGGTTTGAACTCGAGCTTGCTTCATATATGTAGGTTCTTTCCCTATGGTTTCTATCAACTTGACTAAACTACTTTGAACCCCCAAGAGATGTCCTTTTCCGGTTTCGGTTTGGTTCGGTTCTTGAAAAGGTATAACGACCTAATAAACCGGACCATGTCTTAATTGTTCAATAATAATACGTTAAAATTCGGTTTGTGTTGTAAAACCAAACCGGTCTCGTGACCCTTAAAACATATCCTCCCTCCAAAAAATCACAAAATTCAGATACAACCAATCCAAAAACAGAAACCTCCTTCCAATAAAACAGTTTACAAAAAAAAAAACAGAACAATAGATCTCAACCTGAGCAACAACCAGAGGATTTAACAGCAGTAACATCATCCTTGCTTCCGATATCGATGGTCTGTCCTTTAGGCAAAGACGTTGGGTCTCCAGTGCCATCAAGAGCTTTACGGCTCATTACACGATATATCTGAGTCAAGACATGAGTGAAAGCTTGCTCGACGTTTGTAGCATCGAGAGCAGAAGTCTCCATGAAGAACATGTTCTCTCGCTCTGAGAAAGATCTAGCTTCTTCTGTTGGGACGGCACGAAGATGACGAAGATCGGCTTTGTTTCCGACAAGCATGATCACGACGTTGGCATCGGTATGGTCACGAAGCTCCTTGAGCCATCGTTCAACGTTTTCGAACGTTACGTGTCGAGTTATGTCGTATACTAGAAGTGCCCCTACTGCTCCTCTGTAGTATGCACTCGTGATTGCTCTGTATCTGTATTACAACAAAACGAAATTGCTCAAAAACAGAGTACACTATCAGCACAGGGACCTAAAACAGAGAGTTTTATGGTTTAGTGTAGACTTTTTTTTTTCAAGTTTTACCAAGATTAATAAAAATATTGGTTTAGTTAATATTAGATTTATGTAATGACATCAATTTTCACATTTTCTTAAGTACATACATATATATATATATATATATATATAAACTTCAATAAACTTTGGTTTATTAACTACACTAAAATCAATTTCGATTTTAGTTATAGACTTATAGGATAAACTAATTGGTTATTGACCGGCGGTGAAACAGAGCAAACAGAAAAAGAAAAAACAGAGCATTGAGGAAAAAAACATAATTTAGATTTTAGAGAAAGAAAAAAAAAACAGAGAGGTCACGAGGAGGATTGTTTACCTTTCTTGACCGGCGGTGTCCCAAAGCTGAGCTTTAATGATTTTCTCGTCGACATGAACGCTTCTTGTAGCAAATTCGACACCGATGGTTGACTTTGACTCAATACTAAATTCATTTCTGGTGAATCGAGACAAAAGGTTGGATTTTCCGACGCCGGAATCTCCGATCAAGACTAGTTTGAAGAGATAATCGTAGTCGTCGTCGGCTCTATACGCTCCCATTATTGATTTTTTTTTTTTTGTCTAAAACCCAAATAAGAAATAAAGAAGAAAGTTGAAATCTTTGATGGGTGTAATAAAATCTATCTCAGAGAGATGTTGCAATGATCATATGATATGGAATGATGTGTTGTTGTGTTTTGTAATGAAATGAAAACAAGGGGTAGTGGGTAACGACGAAACCTTATTGGTTTTGTTTCTCTTTTAAAAATTAATCAATTAGGATCAATGATTTGTTATTATTGAATGCATGACTAGGCATATAAGTATTATGTATATGTTTTGAAAGTCGTTGAAAAGATTAGAGAACAAACATGTTTGACGAAATCTCAAAGGTTTATGGCCGCCATGAACTGGTAAACGCAGAACAAATACACTTGCAGGGAAATTAAAATATTTTTTTGGGTGTATGGAATATTTCTTCAATTTGTATAGCTTTGGTCAACTCAATTCACTAGGAAACTTTTCCATAAATAATTGATAGCAATGTGTAGAAAGATAATGAGATTATTGAGAGTCACATCTTTTAGTTGAGTGCGTTGAGAGAATTGGTAGATCTTACCAACTCTAAAGGAAAAGAAAAATTACAGTGCATAGATTTTGTAACTTTATTTGAGATTACACATAATAAAACATACATGTGTATATGTAAAAATGGTGACTATATAGAATTACCAGATAAGCTCTCAGTTGACAAACAATTCTTAACATTTTTCACAGTTTTGTTGATGGGATAATTAGTTGACTACTTTATGCATTCATATTTCTACATTTTGATCCATAAATCTTGTTTATTAGAAAAAAAAAACACTCGTATGAAAAGAAAAGAACTCAACTTGTGAACTCTTTATTATTGACTCCAATGTGTAATTCATTTTTCTTAATAGTTTATATAATCTGTTTAATTGCCATAAAATTTTATTACTTTTGAGAATCTTTGTACAATATGGTTTATAAATAAATAAATAAATAAATAAATAATAGTGGATCACAAGTTATATAATTGAAGACTTCTAGATCAAAGAGAGACAAGGATTAATTGGAGACGTCAAAATCTGAAATTGGAAAACATATAACTCAACAGTAGAGTACAAAATTATTCTCACCATTCTAAACGGCGATGTACAAATCATCATTCTATCAAATTTTTCTTTCCTTCCCACTTGATTTGGAAAAATAATAATAATACAACAACAAAATCTTATCACCAACTTGATCATCATCATCAAGGTCCCAAATGCACAGCTTCATCGACGGCCAAAGCTAATGCAGCAGCAGCACCAACATATGTGTGTGGAGTTAACTTCAAAAGTTGAGATTTTGCTTCTTCTGGCAAATCCAAACCTTTAATAAACTCTCTTATGCTTTCTTCATCCACAGCTCTTCCTCTTGTTAGCTCCTTCAGCTTCTCATATGGCTCTGGAACACCATATCTCCTCATCACCTTTATTGATACCATCACAATTCCATGAATTATCAATACATGGAGTAACTACACCGTTATAGAAGACTAGAAAGTAGAGGAGAAATTTACAGTTTGTATCGGTTCAGCGAGGACTTCCCAAGTTTGATCCAAATCTTCTTTTAACCGAGCTTCGTTAACCTATATCAACAACAACATTCTTAGGTCCATGACAAGTCGAAACCTTTCTTATGGCTACAGGAAATAATACCTGAAGCTTCCCAATTCCCTGTATTGCACTCTTGTAAGCGAGAAGAGAGTGTCCTAAAGCTCCACCCATGTTTCTCAAGACTGTTGAATCGGTCAAGTCTCGCTGCAGATTGTAAAGTTTTGAAGCTTAGTTTTATTCCCATAGCTCTAGCGGAGAAGATACATAGTATATAGAGAAATGCTCGAACCTGCATTCTTGAAATGGGAAGCTTCATGCTGAGGAAAGTAAGCTCTGCGTTTGCTTTTCCTAGATTCCCTTCACTGTTCTCAAAGTCAATAGGATTCACTTTGTGAGGCATTGTCGATGATCCGATTTCACCAGCTTTAGTAATCTGCTTCCAAATATCAAACAATGAGATGATTTTGCCATTCACACTCAAATGATTCAACATTTTTATTAGCTTTTCATTCTATCAACACTTGCCTGCTTAAAGTACCCCAGAGAAATGTAGCTCCATATATCTCTGTCGAAATCAATTAAGATATTGTTGAATTGGCTAATTGTATTAAAAAGTCTAGCCATGTAGTCATGAGGTTCAATCTGCAAAAACCGCAAGAAGAAACAATCAATGAGGAACTTTATAAATGCGTAGAAAAATCATTACACTAGGAATCTATATACCTGAGTGACGTATGGGTTAAATGTTAATCCGAGAGAAGTAACAAACTCCTCTGCAACATGAGGCCAGTCAATATTAGAATATGCGGACATATGGGCGTTGTAGTTGCCAACAGCACCAGCAAATTTCCCCTTAATCTTAGTTTCTGAAAGATATCTCCTTTCTTCGCTTAACCTCACAGCAAAAATCGCCATTTCCTTCCCCAAAGTTGTAGGTGAAGCTGGCTGCATTTATACAATCCAACGAAATTGACAGGATCAAAATCATGACAATAACTTTAACAGAAAGAGAGATAGATCGAAATAAACGCGGTCAAGGTCTATTCTATCGACATTACCTGACCATGAGTTCGTGAAAGCATAGGAACATATGCAAATTCCTTAGCCATCAGAGAGATTGATTTAATCAGCTGATCCATGGCTGGAAGTATAACTGTACTAAGTGCTTCTCGAAGCATCAAAGCATGGGAAAGATTGTTGATGTCCTCAGACGTGCAAGCAAAGTGGAAAAACTCAAGAACCTGATTGATTAAAAAGACGAGAGATTTAGTTACAGGGCATCAAAGAAGAATGAATAATACTGTATCTGAACAATAACAACTTGGAGCAAAAGAGAGATTCATAACCTTGGCAATCTCAGGATGCGATTCACACTTTTGTTTCAAGAAATACTCCACTGCTTTCACATCGTGATTAGTTACTTTCTCGATCTTCTTAACTTCCAACGCGTCATCAATGCTAAATCCATCTATTATGCCTTGCAAGTACTTCTCAGCTTCTTTACTAAAGCTTGGAACTTCGGTGACTTCAGGAATATATGAAAGCTTAAGAAGCCATTTGATCTAGCCAAACAAAAAAAAAAAAAAAAACAATTTTTGGCAAATGGGTGCATTAGAACAGACAACTAAACTACTCACACATACTTCGTCCACCCAAAAAAGAACAAGAGCAATCTTCCCAATCATAAACTATGAGAATTCCTAGTACAATCTTCTCAATCAGTGAATCAGATCATAAACCTTCACTTAGGAGTAACAAAAGCTTTAATTTCAAAACGAGATACCTCGACAAGTACTCGGAAATAGATCAAGCCAAACTCGCTCATAGAAGAGGCCAATTCCTTAACTTTCCCCCAATAACGTCCATCCAGAGGCGATAGTGCCGTTAAATTCAACATCTCCAAGTCTCTGGAACTTGCCGTAGCCATTGCTATAACCTATTACATCGAAAACATCATATTACATCCAAAACACAGCATCTCCGCATAAACCCACAGGAAAAAATTCGGCTTGAAAGGAGAATCCGGAGGGAAAAATTCGTGAGTGGAGAGGAATAAAAATTTTACCTTTCTTGAAGTCATTAGCTTGAGAGAATCGGTAGAAGAAAGAGAGAGTGAAACTCTGGGAAGCTGATGATGAGAAGCCAAAGACAGAGATTTTGATGGGCTTAAGAGTGTTCGAGTGGGTATAAGGCCGAAAGAAGGGATTTTGTTGTTGTTGGCTATAGCCATGGACGAAAAGTTGAGCTCCATTTGTGATATTAGAGATTTCAGAATCCAAGCTTAGATGAACGACGAAGTGAGTGAAAGCTTTTGGCGCACATGTACTGACGATAAATTAGTGTTTAGGGTTTTAGGGGATTCCGATAAAAAAACAAAAAAAAATACAGCAGGGGCTCATTTATAAATTACATATTTACCCTTGTTTTTACTACTTATTACGCTTTCAGGTTGAGTGAGGATTGTGATTTGTGAACAAGCTTTTTAGCTTATTTTGTTACAAAATATAGGTTATCGCTAATTAGCATTCAATTACTCAATAGTAGTGTAATTACGTGAAAAATCCATCTTATTAGATCATCTGTTTTTTGAAAATTTATCAAAAAAAAAGAATTTAGTTAATATTTGTTTGTCATCAAAACATTTCCTAATCATATACAAGAAAACGAACTAGAAGAATGATTCCTGCACAAAACTCTACAAGAATGATTCCTGCACAAAACTCTACAAGAATGATTCCATAGAAAAAGTTTTCTCTGTGAAGAAATAAATATAGAAAGAATGAATTAATTGTTTTGACATGATTACATTTATATACACGTATATACATATGTACGTATAATTACTAAAATCAATACCGGTGTTAATGTTTTTCTATCAAAAAGAAGATAATAACGTATCCAAGTAATCACTTCCCAAATCCTCAAACTCAAACAAACCAAACACATCGCATATTGTCTCGTCTCCAGTAACAATCTTCTTCATCTCACCAGTCTCAACTTCTTGAAACATACAATCTTCATCACTTCTTTGTCTCTTTCTTGAACTTAACCAAGTTTCTTCACTCCCAAGCAATGCACAAGTCTCCGAGTACTCCTTAGTTGAACAATAACTAAGGGCACAACGGTTTTCAACCATCCCATCAACGACTTTATCATAACCCCTAATGGCCTCTTTGATCGGTTGGGACGTATTTGATCGTTGTATCGGGTAGTAACTTGGGACGTAATCCATTTCCATAGCTTTAAAAACCGTCTCGAGTTGAAAATTTGTGTGAGCTTTTTGAATTCCTCTAATTCTAACCGCGGCTTTATCGTAAGCCATGGCTGCTTCTTCTGCAGTCTGGAACGTCCCGAGCCAAACCCTAACACCGTTTCTCGTCGAATCCCTGATTTCTGCTGCGAATTTTCCCCACGGACGCCTCCTTACTCCTCTGTATTTTCTTGTTTTGCAAGAAACACGAGAAGACAAAGAAGAGGAAGCGGTTAATGTGTTATGATTGGTTTCGTTAGGGAAAGAAGCAATCGCGTCAAGAATCTCTGTCCATTCCTTGGCCTCCATCGACATTTCTAGGCCTGGAAGGCTTTCTTTAGATTCTTTTGGTACGTCATCATCAAGGGTAGGCAATGCTTCCCAAGTTCTAGAAACTTCTGGAACATGGACTGGTCTTTCATCGGTTTTTTCTGGTTTTCTGATGAAATTCGCCCAAACATTCTTTAGAATCTCTCCGTCTGGTTCTTGGATATTACCAAAAGCCATTGTTGAAAAGGAGGAGTATGTGTTGGTGGGATTTAGAGCGTTTTAAAGAGAACGTTGCTTTGGGGTTTTTGTGTGAGCGTTGAATGGGAAATCGGCGGCAGGAAAATTGGGAAAGTACAGTTGGTGAAACTTGTGTTCCAAGATACGGACCACCTCATTTCATGGAGGGTTTTAGGTTCCTCGGAAAATCAGGGTTTTCAATGTGTGTACTCACACGTATCATTATGAATTATGCATGACTAGATAATCTGAATTCTTAAATTTAAAATATTTATTAATATTACTTAAGTTTTGAAGTATTAAGATTGTGTAACCTTGCTTATCAAATAAATATAGAATAATAGAAAGATTGTGTACTCTTGAAAAAGACCAGATGCAGAGTATTAATTAAACATTTGTTAAACGACTTTAACATAGAACAAAATTATTTTCTATCGATGTCTGTACGCAGACTAAAAAGTGGGTTTTCTTCACAACTAAAAGACAGCTTAAATGTCAATATATGTACAACAGTTTTTTCTATAAGACTATATAAACCCACGATTTCCGTGTTTACTTTTCTGATACATATTTTAATTCTTGAGTTTCACGCTTCATGAGAATCTATCATGATGTGTTCCCACGAGAGGTACAAATCCGTTTTGGAGAATTGTAATTATTGGATCAAACTTTTAGTTTAGTGTAGCTTCTAAATTACTAACTTCTTAAAAATCTATTGATGAACCTTAATATATACTAATTAACTTTTTACATAGCGACCATTCTTCAGTTTATGGGTTAAGTTTTTGATATTGTTAAGGACTACGATATAAAGAGGTATAGGAACGGATACAGGCTCGTGTCAAGATAAACTACATAGTAATGAGACATACAAATGTGTATACAATATGTATGTTGTTGTGTTTCACGTCAATTAAAGTCTAAAGAGAAAGAATAACGGTTTTTTTTCTTTTTCAAATTGAATATATAAGATATAATATATACTTAATGGGCGCAGAGTAACGAAAGTAAATATACAAATAATGGCACAGGGTAACGAATTCTTTCTGTTTCTCGACTGGTTTCTAACGTGTTAACTTTTGTGATTTTTTCTTCTTCTTTTATTTTTCTGATTTAAGCGTTTCAGATTCTTCGGAAGACACCTTATCATTATATTGTCGGGAATTTGATGCGTTTGTTATCTGTTCAGAAGATTAATTTGCCTTCTAATTAATAGTTAGACCCATAGAGACAAAATCTCCTAAGCAAATATAAATTTAATATTTCCAACTTGAATAAGATATGATATAATCCACACGCTTTGACACATACCTTACAGTTGAATAAAGTGATTAAAATCTTTATTCAATGTATTAGAGAGATCGATACTTTACATGACAGGTTCAAGTCATCTCAACTATCGAAAAATATAAAAAATACATAAGAAACTATGTATGAAGTACATTTCGAATAATTATGTGGACCTCAGTATCTTTATATATCATTCAAATATGAAATGCATACATACAATTTTTGTTGTTTTTACGTAGCCAGTTCATATTGTTATTGTTTTACAACAATTTATATATGTGATAGAACAATCAGAAATTTTCTTTTATATTATTTAACAAAAAAGAACAATTAGAAAAACTATTTCTAAAACAATATAGAAAATATCGGTTTTATACCGTTTTATAACAAGGAAAAATAGTCGGATTGGCTCTATGCATCAAGTCGTTTTATTCTTTTTAATTAGTCGATACTAATTGTTCATACTCGGATTGATTATAAAGTTGATCAATAAAACGTCAATGTTTGTTTTGCTCTAAGCATCAAAGGTGATACCAGCTGAAATGTGACTCTATACATCAAGTCGATTTTTTTTTTCCCATTTGCCAATACTGTTCATAGTCGGATTGATTAAGAAAATTAATCAGAGAACACATCAATATTAATCGACTTAAACATCCTGTTAATCGATTTTGGGGTATGATTAATATATTTATGATTACATATTTTTCCTTTAATACACTAAAAGAAAAACCAAAATATACTTAACCTCATATTAATTTTCGATTTATTAAAAAAAAAAGTATCGATCGGATTATTCACTCATTAATCTCCCATTAATTGACTAGATGTTGTGTCACATCCGAATGTCCATTAAGTGTTTATTGTTTTCTGAACATTTCCATCTGTTTTTAGAAAAGAAGAATACGTTGTGGCAAATTAGTGAGGTATCTAAAGACTCTTATGTAGGTGTTTAAGTAAACAAAACATGTTTTTAAGTTTATAAATCTAAGTTTAGAGAGAGTCTTCAAATCCGTTGTAGTCTAGCTGGTCAGGATACTCGGCTCTCACCCGAGAGACCCGGGTTCGAGTCCCGGCAACGGAGCAACCTTTTGCCATTCATTTCTTTTATGGCGGGAAAATTGTCTTCTGTTGAACATTAGGGTTCTACGAATCTCTCTCTCTCTCTCGTTCTGATTTTTGGGGTTAAAGATTTCAGTCTATTCTTCTCACCTTTTGTGGATTGCGAAAGACGAAGATGTCGAAAGATACGAAGGGCAATACTAGCAGAGTGATTAATAGCTATGGTGGTGGCTTGGAAGCAAACACTTTGGCCATGCTTGATTCCACCGGCGCTAAGGACAATCGCGACGCTAACGAAGATCGTTCGTCTCCTCATTTTCATTCTTTACTTAGTCTTCTTCCGTGAAATTCCGTTTTTTTTGCTGATTATATCGAATTCTATTGAATTGAAAAACCCTAGGTTTACAGTATCTGGAAGCTGTTCGTGCCGCTTCACTTGTACCCGAAAACGGAATTCCTCCAACCAAGTAAAGAAACTATAAAAAAATTGAAATTTTGGTTTTTGTTTGTAAAAGAATCACGATTTTGATCTTGGGTTTTCTTGATTTGAAGCAAAATGTACCAAGCGATTTTTAGGATATTGAGATTCGGAAGAACATTGGAGCTCATCACAGCAAGTTTCCAGCTTTTGACGCAATTACATCAGGTTCTTGATGGAGAATTGGTAGTTATGTCTCAAACTTTGTGTTGAGTTTCATTGTTTTGCTAATGCTTTTTTTTTTTTTTTTTTTCGTTCTTCTCATGTTCTTGGAAGTATAGCGGTATCCTTGGGTTTATATATCTGATTCAGCTGCTAGTGGGAAACATCAGTTGGAAACCGTTGACGAGGTACTTGTTTGATATGTTTTGTTGTGCTTTTGTTCATTCTTAGTTATGGTGGGATGGTTGATTTCATGAGTGTGTGTTATTGGTTTCTTCGGGCAGGCTTGGTCACCGTTTAATTTTGGGTCTGATGTTGTATCTGATGAAAATGAAACATCAGTGGGAAGCTCATGTAAGGACGTTGACTCCTCTTTTGAGATAGCTTTGTGTTGGTTCTTGTTCATTATGATAGGTTGTTTTGTGATTTCAGGGTTTCAAGAGCTGGTTCAAAATATGAACAAAGGAGTTAAAGAGTCAGAGGAATCTGATTTGAAGGTCGGTTCATGTGTTTCTACTAAACCTATTTTTGCAAATTTAATTTGTTCTGCTGAAGATAAGTTTAAGAAGTTTGCAGACGTTCACATCAAATTGTTTCTCTTGCTCTTTTGTTTCGGTTATTCCAGATCCTAGGAAACATGTTCCTGTTCGAGTATCTTGTTCATGTTCTTAAGTTAGATTTCACGCCCCGAAATCAAGTGTATGAAGGTACAAAATGATGTCTTCGTAGTCTTAGTATTTCTCTTCATCATGTTTTAGTTTGGGGAAAATTTCAGAATCTTTGTGTCTTTTGTGTTACAGAGACCATGAACTGGAGTCTTTTGAAGGAATCGTCACTGAATCTACTTCTGGTACATCTCAAAACTAATGGCTCGGGAACTAGTATATCTCCTTAATATAGTCACGTAGTTTATCCGTTGATTTAATGTTATATTGTTCTGTTTGTAGGCTTCACGAAAAGTGAATTTTAAATTTCTAACGAAAGATTGTCTATCAACAATGTGTGCGCTCTTTGATGCTGATGAAAAATCTATCAGTTCAGTAGAATTGCACAAGGGTGCACTTCGTGCTATGAAGGAACTTCTAGTCATTGTAAGTCGTTGGTTGTGACTTATGAGTATTACCGAGTATAAGTCACATTTCTCTGCCTTGTTTAGATCATGGAGCTTGATGCATCAAAGAAGAAAGCTGACATGGAAGGAATTACCAACAGAGGAGACGGCGTAAGGTATTAACATTTCTCTCTGTCTCTCTCTCTTAAACTGTATTTCTGCTATGTTTGTGATCCATTTTGATGCAGAACTCCTGCAATGGAGATAATTCTTGACGAGCTGACATATGATGGATACTTACTGTCGAATTTTCTTCAGGTAAGGGAGATAAACCATTTCTGAAACTTTTTTGTGTTGTCTGGATTCTTCTTTTTTGTAGTTCTGTGAGTGAAAACTTCTCAAGCAGGTTTTCGACGATCCAAAGTGGAAGCTAGAGATTGTTCTCCAATACCTCACCAAATACATTCCTAAGGTTTGTAGTTAGTCCTCTGGTTTCTCTCTGTTCATTTTCACAAATGGTGTTCAATCTGGAGAATTTTCTTTATGGTTACAGCCTTCTGTTCGTACCCGAAGATCGAACAGTTCTCAAGTAGAGGATTTGAAAACGCTAAATGGGATCTTGAAGACCTTTTCAACTGGCACAAACGCAAAGAGCATCACTAAAAAGATAGGACCTGACGTTGTTCAGATCCTCATTGGACATGCCTTTCTGGTAATAATAGTATCTTTGTTTCTGCTTTCACATTCTCATAGCACTTTTTGCCTCCTCATCCCTAATTTGGTTAATCAATCTTCAGGCTCGGCTCACATTCTCAAACACTAATGAAGGCGGCTCCATAACAGAGATATGCGATAGTATCATCTCTGCATTTACTAATCTAAAGCGAGTAGATCAGTAAGCTGCATTTTCCTTACTCTTATTTCCATTTCTTTGTACAACCAATATATTTTCCGTTGTCCAATCATAATTTTTGATGGTTCTTACAGGAAAATCGAGATTTTACCATTTGGGAAAGAAGTGTTGTTTACTGCAGAAATGGTACTCAAGGCAAAAGCTTAAGGCATCTAGGAGTCAAGAATTTAGCAAATCTAGAGATTTGCATTGGATTAAAAGCAGAAAAGTTTAATGTAGGACTTAACAGTTACATTCCAATGTACTATGAATGTTTCACATGAATAAATATTCTATAATTTCAGCCAAAAGAAGATGGGTGATGTTCATGATTCTACTGATGCATTTGTCTCATTCCTGAAACAAATCAAGATTTGCTTTAGTAACAAAACAATGCCTAAAAAGTTAAATGCAAAACATCTTTGCTTACTTGTTGGATTGGGATGAGTCGAGCTGCATCGTGACTGGACCATCGTTTACAAGACTGACCTGATTTAGTATAAGCAAGAGAACTCGTTTTAATCACTTAAGAAAACGAATTAAACTTGCCTATTGATTGAAAGATTTATCTCTTACCTTCATCATAGCTCCAAACACACCATCTGTTATAAAAAAAGAGTAAACCAATTCAGTCAAGAAGAGTCTGGAGAAAAACGTGAAGTTTTGATCAAGAAAGATCAATTAGAGCTTTATAAATGAAAGTGTGTTTGATACCTTTTACTGAATCAGGATTATATGCTTTCTGGAATTTCTCGACTAGAGAAGCGTAAAACGGTTTTGCTTTCTCAGGCGGCATTGCGACATGAAAATCAGGTTTGTTACCTTTCAAGAATCCGTACAATGTAAACTGACTAACTGTAATTAACACATGAGATCCAAAGATCAGTACATTTTCAAGAAGCTGAAGCTTTCTCTAATCAAAGGTAAATAAATCATTATAAACAGCTACAAGAATGATGCATTACCAAGTAAAACTCCATAATTCCTCTGCATTACCTGCAAAAAACAGTTCCCATTTCTGTAAGAAAATATGTTGAAAAGCGAATTTGTTGAACAAAAGCTGTTGACAAAACTTACATTTTGGTCCCATCCTTTGCCAGTGGTTTCATTAGAAAACAATCTCATGTTCAAAACTTTTCGACATCTATAAAACATTCAAGTATCATAATCTGCAAACTTTAAGATGGAAGAATTCAGATAGAACTGTCTGTAAACATCATATATACATGTAATCGGCGTCAGAATCGGTATCTGATTCATGGATTCCGATTAACACCAAGAGACCAGGACCAATCTCGGAAACAATTCGACCATCCACCTGTCAATATCTGAGAGATTAATTAAGAGCATTTTGCTCATTATATCGACGATCGAGAGAGAGAGAGTATAGCAAAAAAACTGACCGTGACGGAGGAAGATGAGACTCTCTGGATTACAGCTCTCATTGCTATGAACTGAGAATTTCGACGGCGAAGTCTCAGACTTTGGTGGCTTTGATTGCGGCGGAAAAGAAAAGGCGAGAGCTTGTTCCGGAGTGAAGTGGTGTGGGAAGAAGGTAACACAGAAGAAGCAAGACGAGACATTTTCCTTTTTTTTTTTTTTTCTTTTTAATGTTAAAATATATTTCTAAGAAAAGAAAACCAAACTAAACCGAACGAAATTGAAATTGAACCAAAATTACAATACATTTTTGGTGCCAATCAGATTGAAACTGAACCGAACCAAAACCAATCGCCGGTAACCGCCATCGCTGAGAATTCCTCCGCCGTGGAACAGTCAAAAGACATAAAAGTGGGAAAAGCCTTTACATTATGTAGTGAAACAACCGAAGAAGGCAGGCATAAGGTCTTTTGGGCGAAAAAAAAGATGGCGTTTTGGAAACCAGGGACTGAGAAACCTCGTTTCCTGGAGGATGAAGAAGGAGGCATAGTGTTAATGTCGAACAATCTCGCATCCTCTTCTTCTTCTAGGTATGATTGCAACTTATCTCTCTTTATTGCTTCTGATAATACTCGGTACTTGTTCTGGGGATGATTGTGTACTTATGATCGAAATTGTAGTTATGGGTATGTGAGTATAGAGAAGCAAAGGCAGAGATTGCCAGTTTACAAGTACAGGACGGAGATTCTGTATTTGGTGGAGAATCACGCTACCACCATTATCGTTGGCGAGACGGGCAGTGGAAAAACTACTCAGATTCCTCAGGTTTCTTCTTTGTTCTTTGTTTGTCGCGATTTTGTTTTGGGGGAAAATACACAGCTTTGGTAATTTCTGGGTTCTTAAATCTATAGGCAAATTTTGATAGAAGTGAAAGGTTGTGAATTTGGATTTGAATTGAGGCCTGGCAATAGTAGCAATGTAGTTAAGAGAGTAATGAAACTTACTCAGTCTTGCATAAGCCTGCAATGTTTAAAGCTCAGTAGCTAAGCTGGAGAATCTTCTTGTTTCTTGGCCGCAAATTTATTTCTCTAAAACCTTTGTCTATACTATTTTTCAGTACCTTAAAGAAGCTGGATGGGCTGAAGGAGGCCGAGTTATTGCTTGCACACAGCCAAGACGTTTAGCTGTCCAGGTTTGTTTTCTCTTTCTCCACCGAACGTTACAGCTCAAGTTTGAAGATTGATGTCTCAGGCTCAAGTTTGGAAATTCGTGCTTGATCACGTATACACTTCGTTTATGATTTTCTTAGGCGGTTTCTGCGAGAGTGGCTGAAGAGATGGGAGTGAATCTTGGGGATGAAGTTGGCTACACAATTCGGTTTGAAGATCATACAACTTCCGTGAGACTCTTTCTTCAACACTCTTGTACGCTTTTGTTGTCGTATGCAGTATTAGGATGATGTCTGAAAAGATCTTTTGCTTTGTTACAACAGGGTGTGACTAGTGTGAAATTTCTCACAGATGGGGTACTAATCCGAGAGATGATGGAGGATCCTCTCTTGACAAAGTATAGGTAATGATTCTGTTGCACAGTATAGTCTCGTTAGAACTATGATTTAGTTTAGTAAGTAGTGTTGGTAAAACCTTCTCGTATTTGTTATTGTGCAGTGTTATTATGGTAGATGAAGCTCACGAGAGATCTATATCAACCGACATTTTACTGGGTCTCTTAAAAAAGGTATAGCAAATAGACATAGACTTCATTAGATTTTTGAACTCTTTTAGTTTACAGTTTGCTTTCCTCAATTCCTACAAACTTTTAATTGCAGATACAACGTCGTCGTCCTGAGCTGCGCCTGATTATCTCTTCAGCCACAATCGAAGCAAAAGCGATGTTCAATTTCTTCAATTCCAGGTTCTGATCTTACTCAATGGTTATAATTAAGTATCGGGCTTTTGGAATCATTGGTACGATGTATTCTTATACATTATGTAAAATTAAATAGCAAAAAACGCCAGACGCCAGAAGGTAGTACCCATAGACCAAAGTTGGAACCTGCAATCTTATCTGTTGAGGTATATTGTAACTCTTATCTTACTTAAGCTCATTCTCTCTTAACCCTTGTTTCTATGTGATGTTTAGAGATTTTTGTTTTCTTGGTGAAATGTTATTAGGGCAGGGGATTCAGCGTGAAAATTCACTATGTTGAGGAGCCAGTTTCAGATTATATCAGATCAGTTGTTTCAACGATCTTGTTGATTAATGAGCGGGTACTTTGATCTGATGTTTTATAACCATCGAATAGCTCTTGTAATATATTGTTTTCCTTGGGCTGTGATCATTAAATTGTCTCTTCTTATGCTCAGGAGCCACCTGGGGATGTTCTTGTGTTTCTTACTGGTCAAGATGATATTGAAACTGCTATTAAACTTCTAGCAGAAGAAGCTCATAGCAATCAAAAGAATTCTTCAGGTATAACAAGTGTTTGTATATCTATAAATAAGATAGTGTCAATCAACTTTAGCACTTTGATTTCAGTTTTTAAGCACCACTATATAATTTATGTCTATTTCAGGACTGCTGCCTCTGCCATTATATTCAGGACTTTCTCGAGCAGAACAGGTTGATTTTTGTTGCGGGGTCCTCGCAAGCTAAACCATACTTTTTAAGAGTAACTGAAAAACTGAAACTGCTTTTCTCATTTCTTGATATCAGGAATTGATCTTTACGCCAACTCCCAGAGGAAAGAGGAAAATTATACTCTCAACAAATATCGCAGAAACGTCATTGACTCTAGAGGCACGTATTCTTCTTTACTGTCTTTTTGTTGCAAATTTTTGAAAATCTCATGGAATAAACGGATGTTTTTGCTCATATAAATATTGCTAACACATCATTGAGAATAACTTCCTGTGACATATTTTCATTCAGGGTGTTGTCTATGTGATTGATAGTGGTTTCTCAAAGCAGAAATTCTATAACCCAGTAAGTCCATCTTCATTTTGTTTATATCTTTTAGTTCCTTCTTTTGTAACATATTGGACATTCCTGAAACATCTTACATTTCTTACCCTCACAGATTTCAGATATTGAAAGTCTTGTGGTGGCACCAATATCCAAAGCATCTGCTAGACAAAGGTCTGGTAGGGCTGGGCGAGTTCGGCCTGGAAAGTGTTACAGGTAATTTTGTATACTTGTACAAAAGTGATATTTATGTCTGATCTTTGGCGTCACTTGAAGTTGTAATGATTGTAGTGTATATCTCTCATTTCTTGCTTTGTAACAATGAATGGGTTAATGCTAGTCATGCTCTGACATCAATCATCTTTGTGGTAACTAGGCTTTACACCGAAGATTATTTTCTCAACCAAATGCCTGGAGAAGGCATACCGGAGATGCAGAGGTCGAATCTTGTTTCTACTGTGATACAGGTAAAAAAGATGCTCAGCTCTCGTCATATACTTTTTTTTTTGTAAAGAGCTCGCAATTTGGGATGCCTTACATAAAACAACAAAATTTGTTTAACGTTTCAAGCTTTCCGGCTTTTTAAAGTAATTCCCAGATGAGAGGAATCTCTTTCTTCTAGAATGTTCAAGCTCTGTTGATTTTTTATTTTTCAGCTAAAAGCTTTGGGCATAGATAATATCTTGGGTTTCGATTGGCCTGCACCTCCATCCCCACAAGCAATGATACGGGCACTTGAAGTACTTTATTCACTTCAAATCCTCGATGATGATGCAAAACTCACTTCGCCAACAGGATTCCAAGTTGCAGAACTTCCATTGGTACTTTTCTTACTAACCTTGAGTTACTTATTACCCATTGCTCATCTAAAATGTTATGTTCATTTTCATTTCCTATTGCATTATTACAAGTCTCATTTTCGTCAAATATTGCTAGGACCCAATGATATCGAAAATGATTTTAGCTTCAAGTGAGCTTGGTTGTTCAGACGAGATCATTACAATCGCTGCAGTTCTCTCTATCCAAGTAAAAGCTCTTTACCCCCTTTTCCTCTGCTAACAGTTTCTTCTCTTTAAATGCATAAGGAAGATATTGCAAAATTGTAATGATTTCTTTCTACCGGAACTACGGGATTTGAAACTAAAACTGATGAAATCTTGAATATATTTATATGCAGTCCGTTTGGGTCATTGCCAGGGGAGTACAGAAAGAACAAGACGAAGCAAAACTGAGATTTGCAGCCGCCGAGGTATATATTGCTACATAGTGTTTAGCTAACTATATCTGTAAAAATATCTTAGTCGACCGAGTTAAATCATCATTCTTGTCTATTACAGGGTGACCATGTCACATTCTTGAATGTATACAAAGGGTTTCTTGAGTCGAAAATGTCTTCACAGTGGTGTTACAAGAATTTTCTCAACTACCAATCCATGGTGCGTATAATAACAGAACTGGCGATTAGACCTTATTTTTTCCATTCACTAATCTTAATTTGTTTTTTGTTTCCTCCCACAGAAAAAAGTGGTTGAAATCAGGGATCAACTCAAACGGATTGCTCGGAGATTAGGCATTACCCTGAAATCATGTGGTAGAGACATAGAAGTAAGAAACTGTATACCACCTTGGCTTCAATTAACAAAGAAAAAGAAAGAAGTTGCAGGTTTTTAATGTTACATTATATACTGTGTTTCAGGCTGTGAGAAAAGCAGTGACTGCAGGGTTTTTCGCTAATGCATGCCGCTTAGAAGTAAGTATCTGGATTTTATTTATCTCTGTTTCTGCATATCCTTCCGGTTTTATAAAGAAACCAAAATTTCATCTTTTTTTTTAATGATGTTTTAGCCACACAGCAATGGAGTATACAAGACCATTAGAGGCTCTGAAGAAGTTTATATTCACCCCTCATCCGTGTTGTTCAGGTTAGTAGTATTTTGTTGCTATTGCTTTAGCGAAAAAACTCGATAACATCAAAACGTTTGAAGTTTTTTTTTCCTTTTGAATGTGAAAGCTTATTTGGTATATATATTTTTATACAATCTTCAGGGTGAATCCGAAATGGGTGGTTTACCAATCCATTGTCTCAACAGAGCGTCAATACATGCGGAATGTCGTCACCATCAATCCTTCTTGGCTTACAGAAGTTGCTCCACACTTTTACCAGAACCGGCAAAACGCTTTGCCTTGCTAATCAGCTAGCGATTCTAAACAATTGGTCCTGCCAATGTTTCTTGATAGTTTTTTTAGCCTAAATCAATGCAAGAATGTTAACAGATGCAATGAAACAGAGTTCGATCAATTTAATGAAGAAAAGCATAGCTTTTTTTTGTTTGAACAACTGTATTCTATCAACTTAATGTAGAAAGCATAGACTCTATATTCAATCAGACTTGCCTGTTTATTGTTTCTGGTTCTTCTCACCGTTTACATCTCTTTGTTTTATTTCAGAACAATGATCCAACCGTTGGATTTGAGAATTGTACAATACTCATCAAAAGAGCTTTGATAAGAAGAAATTATTATAAATCTTCATCATGCTTTCCAGAGAATGATCATGTCCCTGCTGATCATCATGGGACGAGGGCTCTATTTTCTGCTTTTGTTACTGAGTCCCTGGATGTTAGAGGAGTTATGTTATAAGTATCAGAGAAAACACAATTAGTTGGATCCATCATTAATTATTGGGTAATTATAACTCAATATCAAATCAAAAACTTACTCTTTTCTTTTAGGCATACACTTATATCTCCTTATTTAATTTCAGAATGATATAGCTGATTGATGTTCAACCACAGTATGTTTTCCAACATATCAGAACAGCTCCAAAAAGAAGAAATTATATGGGTCCAGTGGAAATTAGAGTTGTATTCATACACTATACACAACACATTAGCAAAAAAGCGTAAGCAATTTCAATCATATCCAATACTATAACTATTTTATATAGTAAGCAAGTTCAATCATATCATGTGTACTAGAACTATGTTATATAGTAAGTAGTATTACTCACTTTCATATAAATTACAAACAACTAACTAATTGTGTTAACTAATTTTTTTAACTAAGTGTGATAACTAATCGTGTTAACTAATCGTGTTTAGTGTTCTATTTTAGATGAAACGGATAACCCAGCTCCACCGAATGCAGTTACACAAAATTATGATTATGATTATTAAGAAACTACACAAAATTTGCACTGGAGTATTGGACAACAAAATGGTAGCCAAAAAATCCAAACTGAACCAAATCGAAATAAGTGATTTGGTTTGGTTATGGTTTAACCTAAAAACTTATTTGGTTATATTTTTTAAAAAATTATGGTTTCGGTTTGATTTATTCGGTTTTTTTAGTTTTTAAAATTAAAATTAAAATAATTATATAATTATTTGTTATAATTTGGGTTCTTCATTTCCATTGAACTTATTTTTATAGTTTATAATTTATAAGATTTAATTTTAATTAAAAACAGAATCTATAGAAGAATAATTTCTCAAAACAATACAAAAAAGTTTGTGGTGATAGATTTTTAAATCGTATTATCCATTAATTTATTTTGGCTTGAATCAAGATCAATTTATTTTCAACCTTAGCATTACCGTTTGAACTCTCTAAAAAATTTGCTATTGTAAACCAAAGCAACATATCTTGTTTTCTTATGTGATATTATGTGGAATTAGAAATTGGTGATAGTTATTTAAGTTTTTTCTTAATCATAACTGTTCTTAGGTTGTTTTCTAGATCCATCTTATTTTATCTCTCACAGTTGAAAGTTATGTAATAAATTGAAAAAAACCCGAAACTTGAATCAAACCAAACCGAACATGTATGGTTTTTATATGGTTTTTTATTTCTATAAAACCAATACATTGTAAACTAGGGGTGGGCATTTCGACTATTGCTTTCTTTTGCTGCAATACCGTTAGTAACAGTTGGTCCTGACAATATTTCTTGACAGTTGTTTAGACTAAATCAATGCAATGTTGGCAGATGCAATTAAACAGAGTTCAATCAAACTTAAATGAAGAAAAGCATCTACTATTTGTTTGAACAACTGTATTCAATCAACTTAATGGAGAACGCATAAACTCTATATTCAATCAGATTTGCCTGTTTATTGTTTAAGGTTCTTCTCACCGTTTACAGAGCAGGAAAGTAAAGAAAAAATGATCACAGAATCGAATCTCCTATTCAGCTGAAAACCTCGGCGAACTTCTCGGAGACCAGAACTCCTGAATCGATAGATTCCAGTGGATCTTTCCTGAGACGGTGCCTTAAGCAATTAGGGATAACGGTTGCAACATCATCAGCAGTGACTCGATCTTTGCCTTTGAGAGCTGCAAGTGCTTTGGCTGCTCTGTTAGTCACTATATCTCCTCTCAACCCATCGACATTGAGCTCTGAACACACTTTAGAGATCTTCACCTTCAGTTCCCGATCAATCTGAACAGAGGAAAGATTGCTTCTCGCAGTTGAAATCTGGTCTTGAAGCTTATCCTGCTCGGTTCTGTAAGTATCACGGAACTCCTTCGGGTTGCTATCGAAACGAGCTCTCTCTTCAACAATCTTGACTCGTAAATCAGCATCTCTAACAGTCCCTACTTGTGCATGCATACCAAACCGATCAAGAAGCTGTGGCCTAAGCTCTCCTTCTTCCGGATTCCCTGAACCAATCAAGATAAACCTCGCAGGGTGAGAAATCGAAATCCCTTCTCTCTCAACTGTGTTCCAGCCCGAAGCAGCAGAATCCAAAAGAACATCAACCAAATGATCATCCAAGAGATTAACTTCATCAACATAGAGAATCCCTCTATTGGCTTTAGCCAACAAACCAGGCTCAAAGGCTTTTACACCTTCTGTTAAAGCCTTTTCGATATCGATTGTTCCACAAACTCTATCTTCCGTTGCACCTAATGGAAGATCGACCATGTTGATCTTGGTCGCAACAACAGGGACTTGCTCTCCTCTTTCGACTCTCTCCCTTACTTCAACACCCATGAACTCAGGATCTAATGGATCCGAGTTATACGGGTCACCTGCAACTACCTCAATCTCAGGTAACAGATCGACTAAAGACCTAACCGTTGTGGATTTTCCGGTTCCTCTGTCTCCCATTATCATCACGCCACCGATCTTCGGATCAATCACATTCAGCAAGAGACATAGCTTCATCTCATCTTGCCCTACTATAGCTGCAAACGGGTAAACCGGCCTCGCACTCTTCTTTGAATCAAACTTCCCTACCTAAAACCCAAAAGCCACCATTTTATGAAAAACCAACAACAATAATCATATGTTCCTAATTCTTTTGTAAATCAAGCAAAGTCTGAAACTTTCTGTAACAATCATCAAAATGCATATATAGCACAATGAAAAACTAACTCGTTACCTGCTCAGTAGAGTTGATTTCTGTGGCTACATTCATAACCGAGACATGTCGACGAGACTTGTTCTTCTTTGGCCTTATTTGGATCCCTGCATTTAACTTTGCTCCACAGATTTTCCCTAAACACAAAGAGTTCGCTTTTAAATCTTCTCCAAAATATCGAATTGAGAAAACAGTAGGGTTTAAGGCTTCGAGGGAGGAATACAATACCTGGTCTGAAGCAAATGGGAGACAGCGAAGGTGTTGAGGAAGAAGAAGAGAGAGAAGGAGAAGCCCAGATTGCCGAAGAAGAAGTTCCCAGAAGAGACGCCATTTTTTGTGTGAGCTTTGCTTCACTAGCTTCTGATTGGCTTTTTCTCCTTGAGAAATTTTGTTTTCATTGGTTATGTTTTGGTTCTTGTGGTCAGGATAAGAAGATAGATTTCCTTCTCTATCTTCGTCATTTTTTAATGTTTTTTACCTTTTTTATAAGAAAATTATTTTCTTAGATTAAAATTAAATCAACACAAGAGAATTGACCAAAAAAAAAAAAGCAACACAAGAGAATTGTTCTTATAAAAAAAGGAAATAATGTATTTTTTTTAACTTATTCTTTATATTTCACAATTCTATTTTATATTTTATTCTTGTTCTTCCTTTTTTTTAATATAAAAATACTATATTTTATCGGTGGACTAGGCATTTCATCTATTAATTCACCCAAAAAATGCTATAGCTCTACTAAAATTATATTAAAATTCAAATTAGAAGCAGATTAACAAAAATCTCTCTATAAATTAGATAAACAAATTGAAAATTAAACAAAATGTAGAAAGTTGGGGAAAAAGGGGAAAAGCGGCCGGGAAATGATCAAAAGGCCCAAGTCTTAACGAAATCAAATTACATTTCTAACTTCACAATAAGCTCCATTTACGAAATTGTTCGCAGCCCAGAGATTTCAAATCTTCTTCCCTGAGCTCCGTCGGCGATTGTCTCTCCGGTGTCATCGTCTCTTTCCCGTTGAACGTTTACCGTTAACGCCTACTACAGAGTCAACTGAAAAGCGATTTTCTCGGTAAGAAATTGCTTCTTTGCTCGTCGTTCGAGTGGAATCTCACTCTCATGCCTTGTTCAGGCTTCGGTTTGTTAAGCTTCGACGATAAGCGATCGTAATCAGTGATCATTCGTCCGTTGGAGGTAGCGATTATGCGTAGATTTTGAGTAAGAATGTTTGATCAACGTGAAAACTATGTTTGATATGTTCCATTTGGCTCCATTTCTCCTAAACTTAGTTTCGCACTGCTCCTTATACCTGAAATTAGTCTCGAGTGGCGTCTCCTTGCCTGAAATCTACGAATCGCGTGGATTTCCAGCTTAATTGGTGTTGAAACCTCATGATTTTAACTACTGCTACTTTTCTGATTTTGGTTTTGATCGCTTCTCGGATAATCACATTGTTTGATCGGTTATGTTCCTCATTCTTGCGGTCTCGCCGATAGTCAGACCTACGGTATTCATCATATCTCCTTAAAGATAGTTTCTCTCTTAGTAGCTAATCCTATAGGTTTTTAGAAGAATGTTAATGGAGTTTATGATTTGTGTGATTACATTCGTCCTTCTATGCTACTTTACTTTGTGACGTAACTTGATTTTTTTTGGTTATTGGTTGCTTTGTGTTCATCAGAACGGAACTGATAAGTATTTTAGTGAGTGAGTGCTAGAAAGATTATGATAGTAGCTTTTCTCTTTGCAGTGAATAGTCAAGAGTAATACTGAAGAGATTTTGCCATGTCTGCACCTGCTAAAAAAAGTTCTACAGAAGCTCAGGAGAACGATCTAATGCTGGGTAAGGTTTAAGTGTTTTAAGAGTTGGTTTCAATGATCTGAACGTTATTATATCCAAATTTTGTTACGAGTTTGATTCATAACGAACACGCCATTACTAGAAGCCACCTTCAGCAAAATTATTCCATTTAAGTGAAGGAATCGTCAAGTAGACTTTCTTGACAACTTGATGTTAATAGATTTACATCAGAAAATATCATGCGCGCTATCTTTCAGTCTTCTTTATCTGCCTCAGTGTTCTATTTTTGGCCAGCTGTGGAATTTTTTTGGACGTAGATTGAAATCTTCAGATGCTGTTCCCATTGTTTAAACGGATGATTTGTCCAGTCTCTAAATTTCCATGGATTACCTGCAGACAAAGATATGGAAAAGGATACATGGAACTTCAAGTCAATGACAGATGATGATCCAATGGATTTTGGCTTTGAGCCACCAGGAAATAAAAAGAAAAATGCCTTCAAGCTGTGAGTGTAACTTATATGATATGCTTCTTAAACTATGTTTGCGCCTTAGCTAATGTTGTTCAAATGGAAAATATTCTCCTCTATGATGGATTACCTCTGTAAGATGTTATTGCTTGACAAGAAGGCCTAGTCTCTCATATAGATTCTGTCTCCTGACTCCTTTTCAGGGATATGGGTTTTGATCTGGATGGAGATTTTGGAAATTTATCATCATTCAAAATGGACATGCCAGACTTTGATTTCTCAAGCCCTGCCAAGAAAACCACGAAAACAAAAGAAAGCTCTGATGATAAATCTAGTGGAAATTTGAAACAGAAAAAGAATCCGTTTGCCTTCTCTTATGATTTTGATGCGTATGAATCCGCTGAAACAATTTCCTTTTAGAAATTCTACTATGTCATTTTTAAATACTTAGCAGCATCATGCTTTTATCTGCAAGCAGGTTAGACGACTTTGATCTTGATTCAAGTCCAACGAAGAAGGGAAGCGAGACAGCGACCAAGACCATGGGTTCGGAAGAAATTTCTGGTAGAAGAAAATTTGATAAGTCAGACTCTTTGGACTTTGGTCCAGACTTACCGACAACTACTCAAGCTACCTCAATGGAATATACAGATGTCAAAGCAAAAGCTTCAGCTGAAAAAGAGAACCTACTTTCGAAGACTACAGATACTATGGTTGTTGATAGTAGCCCACACTCAAAGCAAGCTACACAAGAGTGCATGGAAACTTCTGAGGCAGTGGAATCACCTCAAGGTATAAGGACAAAAACCTCAATGTGTCTGCAACCTCGATCCGTAAAAACTTCACCACTGAAGACATCATGTGCAATGGTTGAAGATATAAAGACATCACGTCTTTCAAATGAGACCGCGGCACCCTCGCCATTACATGCTTCTGAGACTGCACATGCTGCAGAAAACAGAGAAACCAGTCCAGATAGCCATGAAATCTGCAGGTCTAACACAAAAGAAGATTGTCCTAGAGAGCCAGAACAGAATGCCAACAATGAAATGATTTCCACCATGGACTCGAGATACGAAAAGACTGAACAGACTACATTAAACATATCATCTCAGTTATGTTTGGAAATGGTAGAACATCAACAGGAAGAAATGAGTACAGGCACTCCGGCAAACATACAGGATCACACTAGGAGAACATTATGTGATCCAGATGCTGGAGAGTCTCAAACAACTCTCTCAGGAAAAGTATCACCAGGCACTCGTCTAAGCCAAACTCACCAGGTACGAGATTCGAGTGTAAAGCTACCACAGGATCCATCCCACAGGTTAGAAAAACCAAAACTACTTTATGGGTGCTTTATCATTCTGCCAGTAAACATGGAAACTGAAAAATATGTCTAACTGCTCTATTCTGTAAACTGAGTGCAGCGTGCCAGGGCTCAATGATTCAAAGGCCATGCAAAACAAAGACGCGGGACTTATCAGATCCAAATTTTTTAAGAAGGCAGAAAAACCACAACCACATGTGCTGGAGTCCTCTGCAGTTCAAACAGAGATTCGGCCAGTTACCCGAGAAAGGATTGGGTTGAATCTGAACCCTACAAATGATAGAAGGTAAATATTCTTTTATTCATCGTCAGTCTAACTATCTTCTCACTATTTTCTCCTCTCCAACATGCAGACATGAAAATAAAGATGCGCTACCGGGATCCGAAACTAGGACATGTCCAAGTGAGCTTGTCAAAACGGATTCCGAAACAGCAAATGTCAACATTAGCAGGTAATGTTCTGGGTTTCTATGTTCAAACATAGGAATAAACTTCTCTCTTTCTTTCAAGATGATATATATAAGTTAACAACCAATTTTTTTGTCAGCAGTTCTCATGAAAAGGTTATCCACAAGGACCACTCAAATGCCAAGCCTGCAGAAAATGTGGCTGGAATGATGGATCATTTAAAGCTACAAGCTAAAAATACAACTAGAGAGAAGTCCATCTTGCAGATCAATATAAGGTGAGATAAACTCATTATAAATTTTACTTCTTTCCTATCTCTTGCCGTGCTCTTGATTCCCTAAACAGGTTATTTACCTCATTATGTATAAACTAGTAGCCATTAGACTTTATTTCCTAAGAATTGTTATGCATTAAGCTTTCCTGCTTTTGGATTTTGTCACAGCTCAAAACTCGATGCTTCTAGCTTGACTCAGAAGCTAAGCAAACATTTGGGTTCTGGAGCCGAATCTTTGCAGAAGTCCAAGATCGCATCTCTTGAAAGGCCTAAACTTGGAAATTTCATGTCTGATCTGCGTGCAGCAAAAACTCAAAGGTACAAAGAAACACTCAACAGTTTCTTGTATGGGAATCTCACGGTAATATGTCAATTCAAATTCCCTAATCTCTTCTACTACAGGACCATTGGTGTAAACAAAGACCAACCTAGTTCTGCAGTGCAACCAGAAGTTAGCTCTTCCATAAGCAAGGAGAGAAATACCGAAGCACCAGTTAAAAAGAGCTCTGAGATTCATCATTTTGTTCCCAAAGACAAAAAACAAACCCTGCAATGCCCATCTTCTTTAAAGCGGAAAGCTCTCGATGAGGTTTATGCTTCAACTCACATTTTCATCTTCTTACTTCACAAACATACCTGGAGCTCGACTAAAAGTTTTTGTTTTTCAGCAGGAGGCAGATAGGTCACTGAAGCCACAACTTAAACGTTTTTCCATGTCTCCAAGAGAAAACAGGTTTCCAGTTTTGGTTATCTAAACTGTATCTATAAATTTGCTTCATTAGTTCTTACTTCTTATATATGATACGGCTGAGATTGCACAGGAACGTTGAGGAGCTCACACATAGAGTTGCACAAGGAAAGGTTAGATTCACCAACTGCTCTTTGAATATTATTATTATTAGTAAAATAACCTTTCTGTGTTTAGTTTGCTTAACACTTCTCACACAATTGATCTTCCAGTTCTCAAGCCAAGAGAGTAAAACAGATAATAATATATCCAAGGAGCTTGTGAGGGAAAGTCCACAGCCTAAGTCTCATCACCAGATCATAAACATGGCAAATATGGAGATCCCAGTCACGGAGAATGCTGACAACATTGAGAAAGCTGAAGCGTATACAAAAGAACTCGACAATGTAATTTTCTATAAATATAAACAAGGCTTCTTGATCATAGTACAACATTTCAAAACTGTTTGATTGTGTCTTTTTGTTCCATTTGCAGATCTGCAACATTCTGAAGAAAAAACATGAGGAAGCGAAAGAGTTACTTGTCCGTGCTGTAGTTAACAACAATAAGCTACTGATGCTCAACCATCCTTTATATGAAGACAAGATATCCTTTTTATAGCTTTTTAGACATTTGTGTATTTATACATATAAAAAATTCTTGTGTGTGTTTGTTTACCCTTAATAATCAGAAACATTCGTATGATCCAGAAGTTCGCAGCGAAGTTGACTATAAGGGACACTCAAACCACACTTGCTTAAGAGGTAAGATCGTTGACCTTTTCTTTTCTCAGAAACTATCTCAATGGATTTTATCTGAAAACTCAAGCATACTCCGATTATTCATTTCTTGACCTGGTGGCATCTTCCCATTGGCCAGGTTCATTGAACTTTCCACTATACGGTATCTTCAAAAGTCCAGAAATGTTGACGTTTAATTAGTCCAAGGTACTTCGATCGTCTTTCTCGTTTTGCTGGTTTATAAACAAAAAACGTAAAATTTGGAACATAATAAACGTTGATGCTAAACAGAAAAAGAATTATGCTTTTACGATCTTGTAGAGGAACCAATTCTTTCTCGCTGAGTCTCTGACAACTCCAACTGTATGATCTGGAAACGTCCGAGTTAATCAAGAAAAAAAAAATATGCAAAAAGTTGGGAGTAACAAAATTAACTACTGTAACAGAAAAAAAGATCTTTTTTTAGTCACAGAAGAAAGAAATCATGATCCGGATGAATTAGAAACGCTTTAAATCGGTTCGGTCAATTGTATTGTGTGTTGTTTCAAAACACGTAAAAGGAAAGCTCAAAATATCTAGCCCAATAATAAGTAGTCTTGTTAAGCCCAAACTGATAATTGTTTATTATTTTTTTAAATAACATAACCCGGTTACCTTCCCTCTTCTTGGCGCACATCCTAAATCAAATGGCGCGTAAAAAACTACTTTGTCTGGCAAAATTATGAAATGATTTTGAGATCTGTTGAAGTCAAAAAGTCAATACTTTTTTTACTTTTTAGTAAAAACAAAACCAAATTTTGGAACCAAAATAGAAACAGAGAATCTTCTTAGTTTTGCCACGACCAGTTCCCTCCATAACAGAGAGCCCTTTTTCAAGTTTCAGAAATTTTTCTCAAAAAATCCCTCCACAAAATGAAAACACAAAAAACTTCAAAAACAAATCTCAGATCCATCACTTCCAAATCTGGTTCAAAGCCTCTCCTATTCGCACACTTCATATACATTTCCTCAGTTCATCCTTCTATCCTCAGTTCCATCTCTCGCTCGCTCTCTCTCTCTCTCTCTCTGTCTGTCTTCTGATTCTTCCCTCTTTCTCTCTCGAGCTTTACATCAATGGCGGCTCTCGATTTAAAACCTGAAAACGACAACAAAGAGAATCTCCCACCTTCAATGATGGCCACCATTTCTGCCAAGCCTCTGGATTCTTCATCCAGTGATAAAGACAAAACCCAAATCAGATTAAGAAGAAAAAGATCTAGAAGACAGCCTCTTCAAGACATCACCAGTCTCTTTGTCGCATCATCTCCATTGTCCTCTTCGTTTCTGATTCGTCACTTCCCCTCTTCGTCATATCTATCGGTTGATCCCAAATGCATGAAGAGAAGATCTAGTGTTGGTCTCAAGGCTGCTGCTACTTCTTCCACCTTGTCTTGTAGAAACTTCAGATGATTTTCTTCTTTTGTTATGGAATTGGTTTTTAATCCTTTAATTTAGAGAATGGGTTCTTTTCCATGTTTGATTTTCGTATCACTTTTTGTTTTGTTTTTTTTTTTTAAATTAGGGGTATTAATCAATACCCTGCCATTAGCATTCATGTACCCAATACACAAGATATGTTTCCATGAATATATACTGGTTTCTCAATATACTGATTCTTGCAAGAATTTTTGTCCAGCATCAGTATACTTCTGTTCTCCTGATTTCAACAGAGGGAACTGTATGCATGTGAATTGTGATCTGATCTGTTTTGACTAGCAATATTTGAGATAGAAATAAAAGTTGGTGATTGCAATTCAATCCAACTGAGAAGTGAACCGAAGTTGTCTTTCTGCAAGTGATAACTTTGTCATTGGATTATAAGGCTCATACATGATACGTGATAACTGTGTCATCAAGTTTTTTAGTAGATAAATTACATATTTATATAAAGGGATCCCTTGTATAAAATATAAAATAAAGAAGTAATGAGCTATTATTCTTCAATCATTTTTTGTATAAGTTATTTTACTTTCTTTTTTATCCTTTTTTGTCAAAGCTTATTTTTAGGCTTTAAAAGAATGATATTCTTATGTTCAAACCTAATCTTTCAGAAAATTAAAAAAAAAATATATGAGCATGAATTTTCTCAAGATTGTGATTAGACTGGTTTAAAAGAATTATATTCTTACTTTCAAGTCTAGTCTTTATATATTCTCACTTTCTATTTGGGAAGATAAATTATTTTGTCAAAAAGCTCTTTTTCCCAATAGAAACATATTAGAGCATCTCCAACCCAAACCCTTATTTTGAGGGTGACAAATCCCTAAAATGAGGGTTTGAGGGTGCATTGCTCCAATGGTAAAACCTCAAATCTATTTTTAAAAAAGTTTGTATTTTACATTATGGTCCTCAATGTTCATAATTATTAACTATAATGATAGAACTTTTCTATATAAATATAAAACATATAAATATATATATATATAAAGAAAAATTACACAATAACAGAAAATTACATATAAAATAGAAAATAAAACACACACAAATCAAATTATAAAATTACATATATTTTTTTGGTTTATTTTGTGTAATATTTATGTTTTTGTGTAGTTTTTAATATCTTGTGTTGAATTACTTTGTGTGTTTTGATATTTTTTTATTATGTTTAATTATAAGAATGCTATGTAATATTTCTTTTTTATTGGTAATTTTAATTTAAAATTTTAAGTATTTATTTTGACCAAAACATTTTTTTAAGTATTTATTTGATTTTTATTAATAATATTTAAATTTATAATGATATATTTATATTTACAAGATATCTAATTATATTGATTAAAATGAAAAGAAGAATAAAATGTAAGTTTATTGATAAGATATAAATTTGAAGGACTAAAAAGTAAAGTAAACAGTGTTTTAAAGGTCTGAATAGTGGATCCTCAAATTTGAGGTTTTACTATTCAAAACCTCAAATTTTGAGGGTTTGAAAGTTGGGTTAGAGCACAAAAAACCTCAAATTTGAGGATTTAAGGGCTGGGTTGGAGATGCTCTTTAGTCAATAGTATAAAATAGAGCAAATTGATTTTCTTTCTTTTCTTCTTTGGTCAGACAGTAAGTCTCTTTCATCTGTTAATTCTGTCACTAAAATGCTCTAGTGCTTTACTGATGTGTTGCATAATATTTTGGTCAAACAATCTGCTGACACCATTAAATGATGAAATCTGGATTTGGATAAGAAATTTTTCAATTAAAAACGTAATTACAGTATAACTAACAAGTGTGATTAGTTGGAAACTTATCCTTCAACTCAATCACTCTAACCTCACCATATAGAGTGGAATCCTAAACTAACCACCTCCTCACAAATGTAATAAAGTAAAGATTATATATACCTCTTCTCGACTGAAACTTTTTTGAATATTCTTCTTGTAATGAACTCTCCTGATGAATCAAATGTGTGAATAGAAAATATATAATTTTAAAATTTCGACTCACCAATCCAAAACCAACACAAACCTGTAAGTGCTCTTGGCCTTTGACTTGCATTTTCATATTTTACTCCTTTCCTTTTCTATCTTATTGGATTTTAATGAATCACTCTCCTCGTCCATTATCGTTACCTCGTATTATTAACTCTATCTCTCTCTCACACACAAACACACACATATATATATATATATGGAAATATATATATACATATATATATATATATTATTTGTGTGTGCGCATGCATATATTATATATACTGTCACTGGATAGGGACGGCCGAGATGGAGATGGTGTAATGTATTAAAGATTTGTGCTTTATCGAAAAAATGTTTATTAAAATCAGCACTCGACGCCGTCTCTTATCGCTCCTTTTTTTTTTTTTTCTTATCTCTCTTTTTATAGACCAATGTAAGTAAGTATGTACTTTCAGGTAAGTAACTGTGTATAATATTCATGAGACTCATATCTTTCTTACTTTGATGATGTAGTTTCGGAAAACTATCGGACAAGTGTATAAAACTTTATCTTCAAGTATCTCTTGTTTGAGTAATTCATATTTCATTAATTAAGGGTTTAGTCTTATTTGCTGTTGACCGTGCAAATACATGAGATTAGTAGTTTTTATTTCATAAACCTAACAAATCAGCGAGTGTTTAAAATGGAAGATCGCATGCATGACTGATGACTCAATAAGGGTTTGACAAATATTGCACGCCGTGCCAATATATCCTGTTCGATTTGGAACTCGTCTATATATGCTTAAAATAGTTTCAGAGATTTAGCTTTAAGATCATTTTATATTTGATTGTAAGCATTTACCACCGATTCTCGCTGAATGCATATTAACAACTACGATATATTCACATAGTTTTATTGGTATGAGTATAAAATTCATCCTAGAGACAAGGCCACCTAACAAATCAACGAGTGATTAAAAATGGATCGCACATGAGTCTATAAAGGGCTTGGCCAATCATAGGCCCTAACACAATATAAGTATATATTAGGATGTCGATCGTATTAAATATGTGTACTATACAATACCATAATGGGGAGATCTTTATCATTTTTATACTATTCAAAGCACCAATTTGCATTTTGCAACTCGCAAGAGCCACTTGATAAACTGGTTACACAGATTAAATATGATTATGACTATTATAATTGTTTTTTGGTAATGAAAAATATGAAGGCAACGAGAAAAACCGTCGTCACACGTCGGTGACAACTCACGCTTGCACTTGCCATAAGCACTAAAGCCCTAAGCTAGCTAGACCCATCTCCACTACCACAACTAGAAACTCTTGCAATGTAACACTATAAATAGAAACCCTCCTGATATCTCTTCTTTCCTCATATAACACTCATACACACCACGTCAACTACTTCACATTTCCATTCCATCTCTCTTTTTATATTGCCTCTCTATACATAGAAACTTATTGCAATATACTGTAATTGTAATGGCTAAGTTAAGCTTCACTTTATGCTTCTTGCTGATTCTTCTGCTAGCCTCAGTCGCTGTCGGAAGCCGCCCTCTTGAGCGGAATCCAGTTGGGGTGAAGGTGAGAGAGCTAAGCCCTACGATCGAGGCTACGAGACCATCTTTAGCCGATGATCAAGCGGCGGAGAGCATTGGCAGCCACGGGAAATCTCCAGAGAGGTTAAGCCCTGGAGGACCCGACCCGCAACATCATTAGTTATTTAGGGTTTACCTTTATAATTAAGAGTTGTTCTCAATTTCTTCGAGATGTGTATTTTTCTTATCAATAATTTGGTTGCAATGAATCTGTTTTTTTTTTCTTTTGTAATGAACTTGTGAATTTTCGTTTGTAAGATTATTACAAAAGTATAACGGAGTTTTTTTTTTCTTGATAAGCAAAGTATAACGGATTTACTGATACATTATTCTAGGTTTGTTAACGTACGTTTGATTTTCTAAATTTCGTTATGTTCTGACTGAAACAAGGACCCCATCATTATTATCCACCTTTTTAAAAAAACGTTTTCTGATATTTCTATCATCATGTGCCTTTACAATATATATATATATATATATATATATATATATATGCGACGCAAGTTATGAGGATGATTTAGATGGTCCTGCGTATCTATTTGATTATGTCTTATGGTTATGTCGATTGTGACTAGTATGTAAAATACAAATTAAACAAAGAAATACATGTTTTTTAACCGAAAAACAGTAGAATGGAAGGAAAGTACTATTTAGACGTGGTTAATTCAGATGGTATACTTGCAGTTGTATATGTTGGACGTCGTCCCATAATCAAGTCGTGCTTTTTACTCTTGATTAGTAATTTAGTATATCAAATAATGGATTATTGGATGCGAATCATGCGATCGATTTAGATGGTCCTTAGATCATAATTAACTCGAGTAAACGTTAGAATCAATAAATTGAAACTATAGAAAGTTGATTTTGATATATGCTTTAAGTTTTATAAAGGTTAGTTGATTTTAACAAGTATTTGACCCCAAAAGACCAATATAAGAAATACGATGGAGTTCGTATGGCTGACTGAGATTTTTATTGGATTAATTAAAAAAATAAAGACTTGGAATAAATAGTATAACTAATTTCCATTGGATACTGATAACAATAATAAGCAAGAGTTTTTTTACATGTTGCTGCTCAGACAATTTAGGCGCAAGGATGGAGAATGGTCTGGTTCGAAATAGATAACATGGAATCAGATGACAAATTTGATTAACCAAGGAGGAGAGAATACAAAGATTAGCAACATCTTATATATATGACATTCGTCATTGGATAACAAAACTCCCTCTATACTCTTTAGATCAGGTAAACAGGGAAAGAAATCAAGCTACAGACATCTTAGCAAAGAAGAGTTATGTTTCATTGTTTACTATATATAACTCTCCCCTTCTTTGGTTGGAAAAATTCTTGCATTACCCGTTTACCGTTTAATAAGATAATAGATATTAAAAAAAAAAACAATAATAATAAAATATCAGCAGAACACTTGTTGCAGAGTATTTTGACTTTCGAATATGCATGTAGTATTATCACATAATTCAAAAATTAGGATATGCAATCATCAGAACATACCATACAAAACCATGTTGTTATAGTTAGATTATCCATTCGTAAGAGTTCTTAAACATTGTAAGAAAATTTATGTATATAAGTCGATGCAGTTGTTGTTTTTAATTCAAGAATGACCTCAACATGTTTATGTTATTTATAATCTAGATTGGGTAGCTATTTAAACTTTAAGCGTGGTCCATGAATTTATTCAAAGATCGAAAGTTCTGCTTATCTTTGATTAATCATGCTTTACAGTAAACAAAACACCTAATAGTCTAATACTATGATAACCCCATGGATGATAGATAGGTCATGAGTGAAAATGACAGATTTCAATGAAAATCAAGAAAATTAATTAAGGTTAACTAAACATTACACACGTATAAAGAGATAAATCTCTATTTCATAAATTAATAAAAAAATATGAAAATCGAAAGCATTTGAACTAAAAGTTGACGAGCGTGAAGACCAAAATGGGATAATCAGCTGAAAATGGCATAATATAAAAATGTTTCTTTATCGACGAACAAAAGACGGCGAACGTGCAGCATTCTTCTTTTATTAAAAAGCAAATCGTATTTTTACGGTTAACGCCAAAAACTAATAACTTATCACACGACCAAAATGGACCCCATTGTAAATTGTAGTAACCTTTTCTTTTCTGTTTAATATAGACTATTAATCACCCAAAATTTAAAGCATCGTGACCTTATCATAGTGTTAACATATACACAATTTGGATGATATATAAATCTTTTGAATTTTCTATGGTTTACTATCATAAATAAACGATAGTGTTGACATCAATTGGTATAGCTTTAGTTTTTAATTAAAACTCAAATATATTATATATTACTAAGCACAAAGACTAGTAGGTGCCTTTATAGTATATACTTTACAGGGCATAGCTAGTGTGTACTATCCTAAAAGAAAAATAATGCAATACATATGAAATACGTAGTTTACGAGTTAACATCTTTAGAAAGACGAAATGTTTTCACAGTATCATAAAACAGTACTATGAAGGGGGGGGGGGCAAGTAATTGATAATTAGAATTTGGTCTACTAACTAGATAAAAACAAACTGGAATATTCATTCATCAAAACATATTGAAAGGGTCTTATTCGACAGTTAAGATCTTGATTCAAACATTAAGATGGAAAAGTATCAAACTTTAGTGATGAAAATATAATCATAAAAAGGCCATAAACTAGAGGTACCAAATCGGTTCATTGTGCCAAAGTGGGGACCGTATAATGTGTATTCTAATTTAAGAAAAAAAAAAGAATATTACATAAATTGAAAAAAGTAATTGTCTTTTTAAGCTAAGGGAAATTCCTTTGAAACATTTGATCATTTACCATGTATAGCATATTCTATTATTGTATATCATTTTTCGTATGTAGTATCATTGTCAAATATATTTAGTTTTATTTTAATATAAGTGATTTAATCTATCAATCAAATCTAACTAATTGCAATATATGAAATCATGATAATCAGCCACAAACAACTATATAATAGACAACTCTCCTCACAACATATACATTTACGATGAACAATTCTATACAAATCTATAGTAGATATTTTCATATTTGAACAAACAAGACCACAACGAACGATTATATCTACGGCACATTAAATTCTGTAATAAGTTTTGCATCCATGATCTACAAAAGAATTAGTTTTTTTTTTTTTTAATATCGAACCAGTGTAACAACATTACACCTATGTCAATCATTGGGCTTAGGCTTCCACATATAACGTATTATATCATTAAGAAAATGTTTATTAAAGATTTTATACTTAGAGGATTATTAGTTGAATAATACATAGTGGATTCAAATTATTAGTAAACAAGATCCAACTTTATATTATTTTTTCATTTCTCACTTTATTGGCACCTCGATTGAATCTTGTATTTTTAATCGCAAATCATACAATATAAAAATGGATTCATACGAGCTTAAAAAGGAAATTTGTCAATTGTCAATTGTCACTATTCACTAAGGCCTCTAAAAGTAAAACCCATTAGAGCTAGTTATTAGTTTTTTTTAACAATTCTTGGGTTCACCCCTAGGGATGAACCTTTTTATTCACCTCTTCTTTTCTAACCAATCAAAACATATCACCTGATTTAAAATAAAAATCAATATTATGTTAATCAAACAATTAAAGTAAATTGACATTTTTATCACAGAAAATTAAAAATTTAATATTATTCAAATTAAAATTCGATTTAATTATTAAAATACTTTTGTTTATTTACTCTTTCTTATTGTAACCAATGGAAATAAGCTAAATAATGAAAATTAATTAGGATAATTTATCAAAATAACACATTTTAAAATTTCTTTTTCAATAGGAGAAAACTAAACCCTAAATTGGAAATAATGAACCCAAACATAATATTAAATATTATTTATAATTTATTTTTGATAAACATATATTTTTTACATAATAATTTTTCTATTTTAAATTTTAAATCATAATCTCTAAATCCTAAACTCTAATATGTATACCCTAAACCATAATATACAAATATTCAAGAAAAAAAAAAAAACTAAATCTAAATCTATAAACTCTAATCTGTAAACTTAAAAAATATTAGAAATAAAAACTAAACCCTGAACATTAATCCCTAAACCCTAAATTCTAATAAAAGATATATATATTTTTAAAATTTAGGGTTACCAAATTAGAATTTAGGGTTTAGGAATTAATGTTAGAGTTTAATATTATGCTTGGGTTCACTATTTCTAATTTAGGGTTTAGTTTTCCCCCATTAGAATTTTTTTTTTAAAATATACTATTTTGATAAAGTACCTTAATCATCATATATATTATAAACAAAGTATTGTTCTTAGTTATATTAAACGATGGAGACGAGCGGCGGCTTTAGGGTTTTGGCGATCCCTAGGGCGATTTTCAAGTCTCGGGAATATTAACACACAATTACGGCGCAAGTGTACCCTTCCTCCTTTACACCAATACACTCTGCATAAGTTCTTTTGTTCCCTACCTCTCGGTGTGTCGGCTTGATTCTGTGAGGACATTGTACTCTGTTTTGCTTAGTTTTGTGCTCTGTTCTTATTCCTTTTCTAGCTTTTGCTACGATCCAGTGTTTGTGACTTTCTAGCATCGGTGCTAAGGTTTGGGCAACAGATCTAGGATCTCTTTCCCTAAAGTTTGTTTTTTCTCCTCGGATCTGTACTTTTGGTGTGTAGCTTCTTCAAAATGTAACCTACGAGAATGTACAACTTCTCTGGAAACTCTCGTCATGGTGGGGGTTCGAACCAAACTCGTCGCCGGCTGATTGAGGAGGAGGAGATCATCAGAATTCCTGACTGTGATCTCACGGCAGTGGTGGAGAAGTTTAAACTAACACTTGTTGGTAGGATGTTTCATACGGAAGGAAGAAGCATCGATGCTCTCATAACTTTCATGCCTAGATCGAGGATCTGGGATGTGGAAGGAGTGCGTGGTCTGAACCTGGGCAATGGGAGGTTCCAATTTGATTTTGACGAGGAAGAAGATCTTGTTAAGGTCCTGAACCGGCGTCCATGCCATTTTAACAGATGGAGCTTTTCCCTTGAACGCTGGGAGCCAACAACTCGGGTCGACTTTCCCAACACTATGACTTTCTGGGCAAGAGTAACAGCGGGTGTCCCGACCTATCTCTGGAACGACAACACTTTTACTGAGATTGGAAGAGCTCTTGGTTCGGTGGCTGAAATTGATGCCAAAAATGCACGCTTTCAAGTTACGGTGAATGCAGATC